GGTTTCCCCAAATATCCTTTTGCATGCGTGCTGGGAAGCGTGCGATTGGCACCCATGTAATAGCGGGGGCTCCCCCTTTAAAAAAAAAAAAAAAAAAATGTCCCAGTGCTGAACCAATGCAGGCTGCGCGGCCGGAGGAAGGAAGGCTGAGCAGGCGCAGGGAGGGCGATCTCGGGTGAGTCATGGCTGGGAGGGCCGCCTCGCAGGCGCGCCCTCCGTCTGATACTTCTTGCTGTTCCTGTGCTTCTGCGGCAGCGGCTTTGTCGGCTGCTGAGGGAGCCACCAGTCTGTGCGCTGCTGTCGTACGCGGCTAGAGTGGCGGCGTGGCTTGATGCCTGTGAGGGCGTCCTGTGCTGCCTGCTGAGCGGCGTTAGTGGCCTGGGTGCGCTCCTCAAAGCCTGGCGGAATGGCGGGCCTGGGCTGCTGCTGAGGCAAGGCTGCTGCAGGCTCCGTGGTCGCGGCAGGCTCCAGCACCTCCGCATCTGTGAGGGGCTGTCGCCGAGCAGGGGCGGCTGTAGGCTCCGTGGGCGCGAAAAGCTCCGTGAGCTCTGCGTCCGTGAGAGGCGGTGAGCCGTAAGAGTCCTGTGGCAGGCTATCTGCTCCATGCGTGCTGCGCAGGATGGCACACAGGGAATCGTGCATGACGTTTCGCGCCATGGCCGAGTCTCCTGACTGGAGGAGGAGGGGGTGCTGGTCGTACAGTGCGCGAATGGCCGCTCTCGTCTGCGCAGTGTCCAAGTCTGTGTGGCCTGCTAGCCAAGTAAGGCACTCCTCTATCCGTGTGCTTTTTTTTTTTTTTTTTTAAAAGGGGAAGCCCCCGCTATTACACAGGTGCCAGTCGCACGCTTCCCAGCACGCATGCAATAGGATATTTGGGGAAACCTGTCAGAGTTGGGGCACGCAGAGCACTCCCGCAGGAGGATAATGCGATACTGAAGAGAAGCGCAAGCATGAAGGCATACCACAGAAAGGCAACAGAAAGGCTCCTAGCGATGGACATGTCCCAAGCACCAGAGGGTAACCTCATCCCCAGAGGCGCACTCCAGCCCGCCGGCAACGCAACACCGCTGAGGTGACGTTGGAGGACCCACGGGGCAAGCCTAGGGCTTGCAGCTGGAGGCAGGGGTCACAGCAAAGCAGGCAATCATCAATCACTGGCAGGCAATTATGGATGTGCGGGCAACCAGTGGTGGAACAGACATGAAAGGCACGTTTATACGGTTGGCCGACAGGGATGGAACAGGATCGCGTTCGGACCCATTACCACTAGGTGCCGCTCGGGGCTGGCAATGTGACCCTAAACTATGCCTCAATCTGCCAGCAAGGTGGGGCACAAGCAAACGGTGGCATATGGGAGATATGAAGCCGCAAATGAGGCGAAAAACAGGTAGGCTGGTGAGAACTCGACCAGATACACACACCCACCACATTGGAGGCGGGGATAGGCAGGAGGCATCATGTCCAAGGTCCTAGACACCCGCTCAGGTTCAAGGGTGGATACTGGGGTTGGAAACCCTAAACCCTTCAGATAGCCTTCAATGAACTACTGTGAATGGTGAGGAGGACAGACACTAAGGCAGAAGGCCACGGATGACAGGCCAAGGGGATTGTTGGGGCTGCTGGTGAGACAGAAACATCGGAGGATCACTGGAAAACTATTGACGGTGTGCTGGGAACACCGGAGAGCTCGAGCGGAGGCTGGCTCGAGGTGCATGGCTCGGCGACGTCTGGCGCTGTGTGCTCCATGGGTGTGGGTGGGCAATCACAGTCCATGGTGACGGCGGCAGGTAAATTGGCGGCGGTCTGCACCCTGCAGCCGTGCGGTGTGCGTAGCACTGGAGCGGCTGCTGTGTCGCACTCCATCGGGCTGCCTGATGGAGGCGGTGGAGGTGGAGGAGGCTGGACATCAACGTCCATGTCTGCTGGTGTGCGGACCAGCGGAGGCAGGACCTCTGGACCTGGCGGTGGATAGCAGTCCATGGGGGTAGGTGGCTGCGTGTCGCGCGCAGCGTGGAAGGAAGGGCCCTGCGGGCTGGTCCTGGTATCTGCTGTGCAGCCGAGGCCTGTGCGATTGATGCCTGGGGTGCGACTGGACCGCACACGGGCCTCCAGCTCCTGCAGCTGTGTGCTGGCTGGAGGGGTCGAGGACGGAGCAGCGTCGCCTGCACCTCGGGAGAGGGCCTTGGCGGCGCGCTGCCTCTGGCGGATGGGGCGCGGTGCTGAGCATGCTGCCGCCTGTGGAGCGGACAGCTCAGCCTGGAAAGAGGCTGGCTGGCTCGGCTGGCGCATGTGTGCGGGCCGTGTGATGTTGATCCTGATGTCGCCGTCGATGTGGAAGTACTTCGGCAGGCGGCTGAGGTGCCGGTCATCATCAGGCGTCTGGATGTAGGCAAGGCAAGCCTTGCCGCTGCCTACGAGAGGGCTGCCGGCGGCGAGATCCGAGGGCAGATCGCCGAGGAACTCGCCGCGGAGCACATAGCTGTCTCTCTCACAGCCGGCGCAATCTAGGAGGGTCTGGGTGAGCCCCTCCGTGCTGTACTCATAGGGCAGCCCATGGACGATGACGCACGTGTGCTGGCAGTGGAGGCGGCCAGCTGTGAGCTGGACTGGGATCCCGACATCGCCTGTGCCGGGAATGTCCTGCAAGCGCACCAGCTGATCCTCTGCCGCGGAGTGCCGTGCCGCGACTGCCGCTGGGATGGTGTCGAACCACAACTCGACGCGCCTGTCTGCTGCACCGGGTGTGCCTCTGTCTAGGATCCCTCTCACATGCGGCGCGAAGTGCGCAAGCATGCCTCTGGTGGCCTGGGTCTCCAGATCTCTGCGCTGCATGCTGCCATAGGGGACGTCCTGTGGCAACTCCATGCGACCGAGAGCAGCGACCAGGAGTGGCTCGCTGTCTCCCCATCGGCTCGGCCTGGCCTGCAGAGGCCTAGGCCGGGGACACTGCAGCGCAAGATCGTCTAGAGCGCGCTGAGGCGGTGTCTGCCAAGCTGGTCTGACGGCCTGCATCGTGACGGTCTGACCTGGCGACAAGTGCGATCCGTAGATTGGCCGCGGCCCGTAGCGCGCTCCGTATTTTTTTTTTTTTTTTTTTAAAAGGGGAAGCCCCCGCTATTACACAGGTGCCAGTCGCACGCTTCCCAGCACGCATGCAATAGGATATTTGGGGAAACCTGTCAGAGTTGGGGCACGCAGAGCACTCCCGCAGGAGGATAATGCGATACTTAAGAGAAGCGCAAGCATGAAGGCATACCACAGAAAGGCAACAGAAAGGCTCCTAGCGATGGACATGTCCCAAGCACCAGAGGGTTACCTCATCCCCAGAGGCGCACTCCAGCCCGCCGGCAACGCAACACCGCTGAGGTGACGTTGGAGGACCCACGGGGGAGGACTCCGTAGGGCCTAGCTCGATCCGTAGGGTCCAGCTCGATCCGTAGGGTCTAGCGCGATCCGTGGAACCCTGTGGGGAACCTAGGGTCTAGCGCGATCCGCAGGGTCTAGCTGGATCCGTAGGGTATGATCCCCTGCTACGGAGAGCGGCCGGTAGTCTAGCGGCCGGTAGTCTGGCGGCGGGTAGTCTTGCGGGCGGTAGTCTGGCGGCGGGTAGTCTTGCGGCCGGTAGTTCTTCTGCTCCCTTGTGCTCCGCTGAGCTCCTGCTGTGCGCTGCTCCTGACTGTGCTGCCTCTGCTGCAGCTGCTGAGGGGCGAAAGGCTCCCTCCTAGTGGCTGGGCAGAGTGGGAGGAGAGTGACACAGGTCTAACCTCTGTGCTGTGCTGGGGCACCAATCACAAACAGGACCCTAACAGGGTGTTGTGACTGGATCCCCAGAGAGGGAGGAAGGAGCAGGTGTCTCAGGGGCTGTGGGAGAGGACCGTGGCAACTCTCTACCCTGAGCCTCACTCCCCTTCACTAGAAGTGCTGAAACTGGCTGTTTCTCTGCTCCTGCTGAATCTGAGAGCTATGGGGAGAGAGACCCAGGTGTCCTAGCTGGCATCTGCCCCTGTACCTGCACTTACCTGGAACCTACTAAACACCCATCAGGGTCCCCTCTCACTGTGCTGATCACCTAATGCCCCTGATAAGTTTTCTTGTGGAGAGTGAGTGGGGAAGGAAAGTGAGTGTGTAAGAGGATCCAGTCACAGAAAAATAGCAACAGTGAGCACTGTGTAGAAGTGTGGAGACATTTACATTGACTAGAGTCAAGGACAACAAACAAGGACTCAAGTCAAAGGACTGTGACTGCAGTCAAAGTGGTCCAGTAGCACTAAAAGCCCCAGCACAGCAGAAATCTAGAGATAAGGTGAGAGATAAGCCTGTCTGGATGGGCGGAGATGGAGAGTGGGGCAGAAGAGTGGATTGAAGTGTTGAAGGCCTGTGTGGCCTGGTCTTGGTCTTCTTGGACAGGCCTCTGGAGCCTGAGGGCTGAGTCTTGGTCTTCTTGAGGGCCACTGGGGCCTGGTCTTGCTCTTCTTGAAGGCCTGTGGGGCCTAGGGTTGAGTCGAAGTCTTCTAGAGGGCCACTGGGGCCTGGTCTTGCTCTTCTTGAAGGCCTGTGGGGCCTAGGGTTGAGTCGAAGTCTTCTTGAGGGCCACTGGGGCCTGGTCTTGGTGGTCTTGAAGGCCTCTAGGGCCTAAAGCGGTCTTTTTTTTTTTTTTTTTTTTAAAAAGGGGAAGCCCCCGCTATTACACAGGTGCCAGTCGCACGCTTCCCAGCACGCATGCAATAGGATATTTGGGGAAACCTGTCAGAGTTGGGGCACGCAGAGCACTCCCGCAGGAGGATAATGCGATACTGAAGAGAAGCGCAAGCATGAAGGCATACCACAGAAAGGCAACAGAAAGGCTCCTAGCGATGGACATGTCCCAAGCACCAGAGGGTAACCTCATCCCCAGAGGCGCACTCCAGCCCGCCGGCAACGCAACACCGCTGAGGTGACGTTGGAGGACCCACGGGGCAAGCCTAGGGCTTGCAGCTGGAGGCAGGGGTCACAGCAAAGCAGGCAATCATCAATCACTGGCAGGCAATTATGGATGTGCGGGCAACCAGTGGTGGAACAGACATGAAAGGCACGTTTATACGGTTGGCCGACAGGGATGGAACAGGATCGCGTTCGGACCCATTACCACTAGGTGCCGCTCGGGGCTGGCAATGTGACCCTAAACTATGCCTCAATCTGCCAGCAAGGTGGGGCACAAGCAAACGGTGGCATATGGGAGATATGAAGCCGCAAATGAGGCGAAAAACAGGTAGGCTGGTGAGAACTCGACCAGATACACACACCCACCACATTGGAGGCGGGGATAGGCAGGAGGCATCATGTCCAAGGTCCTAGACACCCGCTCAGGTTCAAGGGTGGATACTGGGGTTGGAAACCCTAAACCCTTCAGATAGCTAGATAGGTCTTGAGGTAGTCTTGAGGGCCGCTGGGGCCTGGTCTTGGTCTTCTTGAAGGCCTCTGGGGCCTGTGTCTTGGTACGGTCTTCTGCTCAAGCCCGTTGAGGGCAGGACGGTTGGAACGACGGTGGTAGAAGATTGAAAATGGGACGTAGAAGGTCGAACCGGAGGCGGCTGAGAGGGTGGCTGCACTTGGCTGCTCCTGTCGGGGTGCCGAAGTGTGCGAGGTCGACTGGGGCGGTCGGGGTGAAGGTGGACAATATGGGTATCAATGGAAAGCTACAAATCTCAGCTTTCCAGTGACACTTGTTGCACGGCAAACAGGGGCGTATCGACGCGGCAATCGCAAGAAATGCAAGATCCTTCAGGATCCCTATTATTTTCCTATACTGTTTGTCATTTTCACCTGCGTGCAGCCGGTAGCGCTCGGCTGTGAACAGCCGCTCAACCTCCACGCGCGCCACGTACACATCGGCGCGCAGCTGCTCGCTGATCAGGTGCGCCATGTCTTCGTACGGGTGCTCGCTGCCACGCAGGCTCTCCAAAAGCCGCAGACACTCTGCGGCCATGGCAGCGTCGCCCCTGCCCTGTGCTTCTCCCAGAAACGTCTCCGTATGTCGACTTGAATCAGAATCTCAGGGTCGCTGCCTGCTCCTCCAGGCTGTCACCGGGATTGATGCCCCATGACGACGGTGTGCTGTCATCCAGGCTTGTCGCTGCATGCAGTGTGCAATGCAGCAGGCAGTTTCCTGCAGGTCACCAGCACATTCCACCTGTCAGTCAGGCACTTCTTTGCAATGGCAATTCCGTCCACCATGTCAATTCTGCATGTGCACCTCTCTGCATCCTATCATATAAATCACTCCAGCTCAGGGCTTTCCAACTCGCTTGTCTGGTATCGGTCGCTTTCCACTTCTCACTGCCAAATCTATACATCTGTATGCTTCACAATTCCAGACATACCTGCCATCCCGGACACGTTGATGACGTTCACGTTCACGAAAGATGTCACGGCCGCTGCTGCGTGCCCCAGGTTCGCCCTCCAGAAATCCTTGAACTTTCTTGCCTCCGCCACATTCTGCATTGCACACACGTACGTCAGGGCCTTTTCGTCAAAATGAATGATCTCCTTCAACTTTACAATGCTCTCAGCAATTCTTTCCGATTCAAACGTCCATATCCGTCCGCGTCTGCTCAAGCATCCGACCAAACCCTGCACTTCGCTTTTTCACCTCCCCATCTTCTTGCTACGCCCACCTTTGAGGATGACAAGTACCTGTTCTGTCATCGATAACACCCAAGGCCTCTGCACCGCCAAGTGCGCCTGGACCTCCTGCCGAACATCCCCTCTGCGAGCTCCGTCACCCCAACTGTGCGTGATCTCTCCCAACTTCAGTGGCCGTACCCCCTTGTCGCCCCTAGCGGACGCCATAATTGCTGTTTTTCGTTTTTTAGTAACTTTATAACACCTTTCTCAGCGTGCAAGATCTGCTGCAATCCACACAGCACCTAGAAGGCACGTGCCAGCCTGTCCCCAACTCCACAATTCCCCACAAACCCCACAAAGCACTGAAAAACACTAGTACCTCCCCGATTTCCGCCCACGACTCGAGTTTTGCACCTTTTGAATTTTTGGCTCTAACACATGACATGGCTAGTTTGCAGAATGGGTGTTGATGTGACATCTTCGTGTGCAGGTCAATCTAGAGGGCGTGTGACAGGAAGGAAGCCTGGGTGTAATCTAGCCGAATGACTCTATGCCCGTGTCCTTGCATGATAAGATTACCCCATCCGGGTGCACTATGCGCATCCCGGCACTCTGCGGTCAGTGTAGACACTTTATGCGGCAGTACCAGAATATGATAAGCGTTGGTCTAAATTTTGGATTACTGAACTCAATGTACCAACACTCACACCGTATGAAATCCAATTTGAACAGCTGCATGCACAAAGCTGTACAGATGTACACATGTGCGCTCAATGCCAACACGTATTTCATTCAAAATTATGAAAGTATCTCATGTGCGGTGGGACATAATCCAGGCCAAGAGCTCGAAATATTTCGCCTTCACACTTGCAGTCCAGTGATGGACCCAGCTCCACCTGTAATTTATAAAAACAAATTGACTCAACCATGAACACTTTTGGTGACAGTAACAGCATGTGCCCCATCTGAGCACTTCACTTGTTGACATCAGCAAAGTATACAATGTGGTGCACATGACATCAGGCAGGAAATGGATCGTACTTCAGCATTGTGGTAATTGGACGCCTGCCGGGTAGGCTCCTTGCTTTGGATGGGCACTAATGCGTAGTCGCTTAGCTTGAAGCCATTCGCACTCGGCTGAAACCTTCGTGCCTCATTGGCGCGCGACCGTGCCCAGTATCGCAGCGCTCTTGAGAAGGCGCCGCTGCCTGTGAAGTGCATAATGGCAAAGGGCAGGACCCTGCATAGCAACAGCACAACACATTGGGATGCGACCTGAACCTTGTGCTGGGGTGTCACCATGGGCTGTTCCTGATATACTGACGCAGACTTTGCTTTTACCAGCAACAGACGCAGTCCAATCTCTACCTGCGGGGATAGAATTTGATGTCCACGCGCCGGGCGCAGGGGGATGTTGCGTGGCGAGCCACACCCATGAAGGTAGCGGCACCATCCCCCCTGGCAGCAGGGGCAGTGCTTGCCATGTCGTCCAGGAGGAGGCCCTGATATAGCACCCGCAGAACTTAAGTTTAGCACAGTCATCTTAATGTGCAATGCTGCAAGGAAGTAGCACACTGAAAGTACCCATGTGCAAATTTACAAGAGAGGGATGTGTTGTTTCTTGCAGGAAGACGCACCCGCTTCTGGAGACACTTGCAGATGGCATGCAGTGCCTGCCTGCTGTCAATCTCGCCGCAGCTAGGAGGAGGTGCAATGAGCATGTCCACATCGCCTGTCAACGGCTTGCCTCGCGTGTAGCTGTTCACACCCCCAAAAGCCCTGTTATGAAAGGCTTGAATATGAAAAAGTACTCCCTGACTTGACAAGATCAAAGGACTCCATGCCACTTAGGCAGTCTCCCTGCAAATGGAGTTGTCAGCAAAAGACAGGAGAGAGCACCTTCCCAAAACGCTGCAGAACAGCAGGTCGCCATCTGGCAAATTGGAACAGTCAAGCACTTCCTCAGCCGCATCGCACACGGTGGCGCCCATGGCAGCAACCTCGGACCGAGGGATGCGCTGCTTGAAGTCCTCAAAGTACTTCATGCCCGTCCTCTGGCACACAACAGGTCAGTCAATGCCAAAAAGACGTTTCGTTGGCCCAGCAAATGGAGTGTTCACATGACATGCCACGATGGCTGCCAATGCCTGTGAGCGCATGACGATGGGCGGTGCCTTTGTACGAATGAGAATGTTGAGAAATCTCGGTCCAATTTCAAGGTCAGACTCGGCCCCAATCAAAATACCCACCTGCTGCATGCTCAAGTCAGAGCGGCCTTGCACATCCTCCAGTGAGCGGCAGCCATCCCGGTACCAGCGCTCTGCAGTGGCTTCACCAGTGCCCCACACCTCCATGAACTGCACACCAGTGAGTGAGCAGCCAACTCCTGTTCCTACTCCTTTGTGCGGCAAACATGATCAGGGCAAGATATCAATAAGGGGCCAGCAGACAATGAATGAGCAGCCCACTCCTGTTCCTATTGCACTGTGAGGGGAACATGGTCAGTGCAAGGAATTATTAAGGGGCCAGCAGCCAACAATTGTCTCACCAAAGAGATGGCACGATGATGAGGGTCTTGCGCCATGATTTGATTGCGGCGGTACTCTCCCGTGCTCACAATTTCCTGCAGTTTCTCGATGGACTTCTCTCCGATGCCTAGCTTCTCACAGTCATCTGCTGTCACCAGAGCACTGGTCGACTCCACCACTGCCTTGATTGCGCGCTGAATGGCCTGTACAGGAGCTAGGAGTCAGTGGGTCTGGCAGCCTTCCTTGGCTCCTGCACAAAGTTTCTCACATTGTAAACATGTGGTGCGCAGGGCACCTTTATCTTGAACTGATCTCTCCCTTTCCGGTAGTTCATTTCAATTTCCTCGAGTTGATCCACTATGCAAAACTCCTGCGCAAGTCGGGAGGCATGCTCGCTGTGAGGCTTTCTTTCCCAAGCTCAGTATACTATGTCAGTATACTCAGTATACTCAGTATACAACAACAAACAAAAGTCAAAGCTTAACCTAGTGTAAACGCTGCATGCAGTATTTAAAAATGGTCACCTTTGCCGAGCATGCCGTGTGGGCACAGGAATTGTTCAGCGCAAAGGATGCCAATTCCTGGCTTCCATTATGCCCTGGAATCCCACCGTTCACAGTAGTCCCAGGTCCTGAAGAGCGGTCCCCACTGCCGTCAGCTGCAGCATGCTTGACACTTTCCACCTCCTGTCGGTGCCAGTGCAGGCCCAGCTTCCTGACAGTCTCCTCTGCTGCACTCTTGTCATAGGCCACATCCCACACTCCACATGATCCCCGCTCTGTGACTGTGGAGGAAGTGTCCATATGGGGCACCAGTCCACCAGGAGACTCTGCGATGACCTTGCTGTTCAAGGAGGGCTTGCTGACGTCAGATGCCCCCTGATCTCTCTCTGTGACATCCACATCTTTGCTTGTAGGATAACTGGTCGGGGCAGCATCACGTGTCTTGCTGCCATGCTTGCTATTCAGGGTCGCTGCAGGTGCAGGCACAAACCCAGCCCTCTGCCACTGCTCCCACACATCCTGCGACATTTCGCCACCGCCATGATGTTCCGCATGTACCCGGCTGGGCTCCCTCAGATCCCCTCCATGCCTGCTGTCGCTGTTGCGCGCAGCCTGCAGAACATTGCTTTCAGCACAAGATAATTGTTGCATGCGACTGAGCGACAGACACAGCAGAATTGCAGTATGTGGGCGACGGCCGGTGAGACTCCCTCGAAATGCATGCACTAGAAACCCCCAACGAGATTCTGTGCCAAGAGCAGCTGGCATGTTGAATGGTTAGGACTTGCCTCGGTGCCGGCCTCCTGCGAAGTTGATTGATCATGATGCGCTCCTCGTCTATGCACGCTGCCTGCCATGGTGACATCCAGATCTGCGATGCCCACATCCTGGCCAGATACATGCTAAGCTTGACAGTATCCAGCCAGCCACATCAGGTCTTTGCAGTTCCAGTGAAAGCATCGCATGTGCTAAAATTCACAGTAGAGCAGCAACTGATACCTGTTGTCCAGTGGCCAGAACAGCCATGCGCACTATGTCTATCAAAAACTCCCTCTCGGGCTGCAGTTGACCATGCGCGAGGCATTCGCTCACAAATTCTGGCGTGACAAAATGAACCTCCTTTGGCAGCCTCAAAAGCTTGCCGCCGTCATATGATACCTGCATGTCTGGGATTGCATGAGTAGTTTCCAGCACTGGCATGCCTGTACTGTTCAGGAAAGTAACACAGCAGCCCTGCTGCATTGAAGGTCCACCCGTACCTCATAGCACTCTGTGGTTGCATGCATCTCCACAACTTGTAGCTTCCTGGCAGCCTCGTCTGCATCAAAGTCTCTGCTTGCAACCACGTGCGTGGTGGTTCTAATGAGCAGCTCCTCTGTCACTTCCGCACCAGCCTGCTTTGCTCTAGGAGCAGAAATATATTTATTGGGAATCTGTTGCGGTCGTCCATCTGATCATTGCTGTGCTAAAGGCTCCCTATGGGGAAGTGAGAGGTCAGGCAGCAAGCATACTGCACCTGATCATGAGAGGAGTCATGAATTGTGTCGTCCAAAAGACAAAGGTGAGGCCACAGAATACGTCTGTGGTGTTCACTGAGCAGGGCACATCACTTTGTGCCTTTGGCCCAGCAGAAGTGGCTTTGGGGGCTGGATGGTCCTCCCTGCCCTGGCCAGAACTTCGCTGCCTCTTGGAATGCGGTGATTGTTTGAGAGGGGGATACTTAGGTTGGTGCACATTGCCAGCCTACCAACAGGAAACCAGGATTAGCACTACGGCAACGTGATAATCAGTATAAGTGCCACGACGCGATCTGACACGGCATTCATCCATCAAGCAAAGCTGCATCTGCTCCAATCGCGGCCTAAGAGACAGGGAAGGCACCATGAAGCTCTCTTCTTGCCTCACATGCACTCCAACTAGAAGTGATCTGGGCAAGGGCAAGGTGGGCATGCAACTACCTCTTGGTCACGCAGCCGTGACCCGGGAATATCGACAAAGAAACCGTGCTTGAATTGACTCCCTTCCTGGGTGAGATACAGTGTGTCCCCATGAAGCAGCTGCATCAGGAAGGGCATTCGATTAACCTCTGAAGCGCTTTTTTGCATAAATCAGTCTTCATACAGAGATCCATTACAGCTAAAAAATCTAGCACCTCGGACAATTCCCCCGCATGCAGCGTTGCGGCTTCGCCGTGACGAAGAATGTAAACTTTCTTGTTTGCAGAGACGACTGGCCGTACAAGATGCCCGGAGCCGACACCTGTCGTGACCGTGCAATGATCCCTGCTCACATTCTTTGCACTGATGCCGAGACTTGCTTTCCGTCCCAGCGAGAAAGTATCCCCCGAGCCAAGCTCAAGATGAGCATCCGTATCTTGTGAGACCAATCTCACCGACAACTGAATGCCGATACAAGGACTTTGAGGAGTCATGCACGATCTCTGTCCAGCGGATTCTATTGTAGGACTGTGCAGGACGATTTTCATGTAGGAATTGGGTCGTCGGCGACTCGTCGCTATCTCCGAAAGGCGCAACCCAAGTAGGGCTCCTGGGACCAGCTCCCTTGTATTTGAAGCGGATGTTTCCAAGACCCTGGCATGCCATCCAACAGGGGGTACTAAAGACTACTCTTTAGTCTTTAGTAACCCCTGCATCCAGAGCACTGTGTGGCCTCAAGGATGGGACCTCAAGAGACCGTTGACAGGTGGTGAGGCATGCTGGTGTGGTGTCAATGCAGGTTTTGAGAAAGTTTCCTCATGCACTTCTGGTGTACTCGTAGGATTATATCCTGCCAGGCTGGCTATTTAATTCAATTTCGAAATATGTGGCGTCAAACAGTACCAATCATGATGCCGCGGCCGCCCGGCTCGGAACCATCATCATGGTCCTCCATGATGGCTCTGGCCAACGGGTCCCAACTGTAAGAATTGAAACAATCACAAGGTCAAGAGAAAAGCAGGGTCAAAAATAGATTACAGTCATCAATGACATCCGGCTCCCTTCCAGAATGTTTGATGTCCCCCGGTGGGCCACCATATATTGTACCGTACAACACATGTGCATGTGTGGTGACCTTAAGCCTGTGCAGCTCAGGAATGCGTCGGTCTGCTGCACGAGGGCCTGGCCAGCTTCAGTGCAATCCATTAACCCAGCTGCTGGCCGCTGGCAGCTACAGTGACATCAACTCGGTGCAGGCCACAGGGAGCATCAGCAGGATTTCTTAGCATCCAGCAAGGGGTGGCACATCCCAAAGATTTCAAATCATCCATCACCATGACTTCATGTGTCGGAGCTCTGTGACAACCACGAGTCTCTCCAACGACAGTGACGCCTGATGACCAACTCAATTGTCCGTGCTCAAGCCTTGTTTCTTTGCCAAAAAACATTTTGATCACTTGGTGTTGCACAAAGATCAAAGGTACATCCAACGATGCATGTTGAATGTCTGTCCCAGGCTGGAAGTCACGAAATGTATGACCACATTCATTAGCCATTCTAGTCGGCCACCTGAACCCTCTCCCCAGCGAGAAGGTATCACCGACAGGACAACAAGCTGGTTAACTATGTGTAAACTGTGTTAAACCAGGGCACGCGCATGCCCTTTCTTTAGCATGCGCCGGCACTGCCGTTGTCCTTGTGAGCAATGCACAGCTCACAGCAAGGGCTCAAACACAAGGCTTGGAATATCGCCAGAGAGATCACAAGTCATACCGCACACCCCAATAGCCCTGGAAGTTGAAGAAGAGGGACCAATTATTCTCCTGCAGGCGTCCGTATGGCGTCTGCGCAGCCAAACAATTTGCTTGAGTGACAAATTGACTCGTTTGCATGAGTGCTGGACTCAATTCAATGAAAGGCAGAGCAATATGTGCCCCGACGCGCACACTTCATGCAGGTGTGCACCATGCTGCAGCAGTTCTTTGCGCCACACAAAGAAGCAGATCTGCATACCACTTTGATGTGTCCCGCACAGATGCAATCACTGCAGCACATACAGGACGCCTGTCATACCAGCATACAAGCAGAGATCTGACAGCGCACCGGCGTGATCTTGCCCTTCTGGTCAATGTGGGCTTTGCAGCCCAGCACCAAACGCAGGTCCTGCATGTCTGTGAAATTGTACACTGTTTTGCTCAGCTGCACTCGCCCCACACCATCGACCTGTGCAGACAGGCACAATCCATCCTCCAAGTTCCAAGCAACGTGACTGTAAGCTTCTCGTGTCTCTAGGTTTTGGAACATGACCAGGTATCTCTGCCCAATTGTAGATCAGGCACAATAGATGCATCCTATGCCCACTCAAAGTTGATGAGTATGATTGTCACTGCTGGTACCAGCGCAGGAAATACCCACAGTCTGGAACAATCTTGGCCAGCAGAAGACCTTCATGCAACCTTGTACAGCTTTCCAGGCGGGTGTTATGGTGGTCACCTGCTGCGTTTGTGTGTTGTAGTCGGCCTGGGCCTTCACTTTTAAAGAGAACGGATTCAGCGTTTGCCCAAAGAAGAACTGCTTTTGTGCTACCACACCCGTGAGGATGTCATCAGTGCCTGAAAGGTAAGTCACACCCAGGCCCACCTGCAGAGCCACGCCATCCTCAGCTGCACAGAGATGCAGGCGTCCTGTATCATGGCGTCCGGTTCCTCTGATAAACAGGAAGTAATTTGTAAGCTGGAGAGAATTAGTTTCCATTCGTTCACCGAACTTCACCTGACCCTTTCTTTTGAGATTCAGGAAGTAGTCCTTTGGCAGTGTATTGGCTACTCTTGCACGGGGCTTTGGCACTCCAAAGAACTTCCGAAGCTTTGCACAGTATTCTAAGCCGCCATTTACTGTGTTCAAAACGCCGACAACCTGCAAAGAAACGCTCCAGTCTTGTAAGCCATACCAAGCAGTTGGTAGAATCAGGTGCAAACGTAAGGACTCCTGCACATCTTTCGTAGCGCAAACATTTATCATGCATCGATTGTCATAGTAAATACTACTAGTAAATACTACAAGTAAATACTACTCCCGTATTGCCTGCATCATCAAAATGCACCGAACATCGGAGGGACACAGTCACCTTCAGTTGCAAGTTCTGGTCTGTGGTCAGCCTTTCCTTCACCAGTATACCAAGCTGTTTCCCCCTGTTGTCAAAAGTCAAATGCGTCTCCATGTCCTTCAATTGAACTAAGTTCTGTAGCTGACCTTACAACGACATGAAAGATGGAAGAAAGATCTCGAAAGAGATAGTGTGCACCCAAGAATCCAGCAATCTTGTCCCCCCAATTCTTTGCACGGCTTCCACACAGGAACAATAAAGAACATCAACCGACAGACTCGTGCTGTCACAGTGTGGATGACATGACTGGACTGTGGAGTTTTTCACACTAATTACAATAGTGTATACATACATGTACTGAGCTCAGGGTTCTATAACGCAAGGGGAACTCTAGGATGTGAAAAGCAAAGCTATGCCTGAATCATTATGAATCTGGCTGAGTGTCCTAAACTCGGATCCATGCAGCACCTTGCGAGAAGCAATGCAAATTGAATCCCCAAAGCAAGTCGCGATCGCGGGTCCGTGATCTGCAGAAGCCTGCAGCGAGTCAATTCAATGGGGAAGAACAGGAAAAGGAGAAAAGTCTGTGCTGAACCACGCAATGCTGAGAGAGTACCTGTCAGACAAACGCTCTCAGTGAATCGGAAAGCAACCGTGAAGATGCGAAAGTGTCCTACCCTTCCCATCGAGATCTGGGCCATCATTGCCAGTTACCTGCCGTCAAAGGACTGGGCAGCCACCGCTTGCTCCTTCAAGGGGCTTCAAAAGGTCCGGCACATTCTATTTAGATAGACAAATGGTGTCTATCGTAATGCATATGGAACGAATCCTAATACTTGAAGAAGTGTCTTATGAGCTGTCTTGATGAATAGGTGCACCCTGGAGAAGGACGTATCTGCATCGAGGGAACACATTCCGCAAAGTGGTTAGCTGGACACGCATCGAACTTCACGGGCCTCTCCGTGCACTTGGACATCAACCACGACGGCTTCGATGACTTTGTGGACTATGCATCAGGCCCTGCAAGCATCCCAAGGGCACGCAACCTGGTGCAGCTGGTGGTCAGCTGCTCACCACAGAGAAGTGAAAGGAGCAGGGCGGCCCAGAAGTACCTTGAGGACATCGTCGTGGAGCATGCCGCAAAGCTGACAGTTCTGTCTCTCAGGATCCGGGCTTTATATTCTGCCCCGCCCATGCTCCTGCTCAAGCACCTGGTGCTCATAACCAGGGACCCTGTTTCTCCAGAGTGCTGCGGAAGCCTGGCATGTCTGCCTCAATTGGTCACAATTTTCATTGAGCCCTTGACTGTGCGGGATGGTCAGCAGTATGCTGTAGACCTGCGTGGCTGTGTGCAGCTGCAGAGGGTCTGCTTTTCCACCCGGCTTCCTGCAAAATATTGGGTGCCGGAGGCATGCTCCGTGGCTGTCAAGTGCACAGCAGCCAGATTGCTGACTGACAAGTGCTCGTGGCATGAAGAATGGAGGGTTGCTGAGCTGTCCTGGGATGGGAGGTTTGAGTCCATAGAATATGTGGATTGGATTGACGTGCGCGAAGCGTTTCAGGGGACACAGCAAGTGCGCTTCCCTCAACTCACTATGCTGAAGCTTGATGTAGAGCAGCTGGGGACTCTTGGCGATCATATGGTGATAGGCAGCGACACATTCCCAGAGCTGCAGATCTTGCGGGTCAACTGCAAGACTGCGTACCTGACATTCAAGCCTTCAGTCAAACTCAAGATCTTTTGCATTTACTCTACATGGGCGATGCGCCTGGATGTTGAGGATCAGCCAGCCCTGTGCGAGCATATGGAACGCCTTTTCTGCCAAGGAGTATGGTCGGACGTGGCTGGGGCTCCCGTGTCAATTGGGCGTGGTGTGATGAACTCAGAGCGCTACAAGGGCTCTATGTTCAGATGTGTCATGCAAAGGTATGGGGTGCTTAACAACTGCGGGAAGCCAAAGAGAATGGGCAGGGTTGTCTTCCCCCAGTATGTTGCGAGCTATGATGGCGTTGGATGTGACTGCACGGCATGCCACTCCTGCCTTGGGATTGCTGGCGTCTGACCTCCTCGTAGTCAAATCTGTGACAGGACTGAATTCTATTGCACAAGTAGTGATGCAAGCTTGTTCGAGGCCGGGATGTCTGTAACACATTGTTTGCTTCATCGCTGGTTGATCACCGTGACAGCTATAAAAGAGGTTCTGTGGCTTATGCCGATCAGAGCCCACAGCTCATGAGCCTCTGAATCTCATGCCAGTGACTCTCAGATGTTGCTGGCACCACCACTGGTAGTAACAATGAGCAATAAACATCACTAGCATTATTGCTGAGCAGCTCTGTCAGACTGAGCATCCTACAGTACGGTGTAGCTATCATGATGAAGCGTCTGCTAGCAGCCGCCCGTGGCAGCACTCCTGAGTGAGTCACTGCAGTCTGCTGACGCCGCGGCAAACATATGCCTCATGCCATACCGCATCCGATGCCGCATGCACGCGGCGTCATTGGTCAGTCGCTGTGATCATGAATATATTTCGATTGAGTCATATTATGTAGTACAATCATTGTCTGCATACCTCTTTCTCTAATCATTGTATGATACTGCCGGTGTCACGGCGTGTGTCTCTTCATGCCAGCACGTGCACGTGCACGATCATGCATGATCTATGCGCCATGCGCATCATGATTGATGATTGATCAAGACTCCAAGGAGACAACCGTTGTGACATTGCAAAACAGGCTGCACTGTACAGGAGGAATTTTGGACCCCATGGCATGCCTCCATCTCCTGGCACCATTCTGATGAGCGCTGCAGACAAATTGTCTGAGACAATCAAACAATCACACAACAATCTATTCCCTTCAAGCCCCTGTAGGGCTCACCCCTGAGAGGGTACTGAACATGAGTCATCCACCCCTGGGTTGCCCAAGCTTTGATGGAAACCAGTCCCTTTAAATTTCTGTCTGTTTTGGTTGCTGTATTTGAGTCCAAGTCCCGGAAAATAATCCATCTAACCGATTTGCAAGCGTGTGCGACCAGTGTCTTCGAGACTAAGAAGGTGCACATCCCAATCACCCTCACTGTGGGTATTCCAGGCGTTGTTGGTCAACTTTCCGCCAATTAGATAGACGGTGGCTAGATGACATCCAAATCCAAAGGATCTGGCCTTTCATCTGCTGCCAAGCGCATCCAGAAAGAGTTGGCTGAGATTTCCCTGGACCCTCCCAGCAACTGCTCAGCAGGCCCCAAAGGCGACAACATCTACGAATGGGTCTCCACCATTCTTGGACCGGGAAGTGAGTTGCGATCCATCCGAGCTTGTCACAGCATGTGCTGTTCTGGGTGACGCCAGGAGCTACTCCTGATGTGAGCTGTTTGTAGAACAGTCAAGCAACAATTCGGTGGATGTGGACTGCATGCAGAGAAGAGCTTGCCAAATTCAACGATGTACATGTCTGTTGAGCTCTGATAATTGCAGGTTCGCACATTGACATGTGGGTGTGCTCTCAACTGAGACTGGTGTCCCTGCAGGCTCACCATATCAAGGAGGAGTTTTCTTCCTTGATATCCAATTCCCCATGGACTATCCTTTCAAACCTCCAAAGGTATCGATGCTCAATGAGTCATCCATTTGCATGTCATTCATCACAGGTTGCATATTGATGTGCAGGCAACATTATGGAAATGATTGGTGCATGCAGCCGTACTCCTACAGCATATGTACATGTGCAATGTCTTTTACAAGACAGCAACCATTTGCCTGCAATGTGCCCTGTGCAAGCTCGTCACCACAGGTCTGATGTCCATGCATGCATGGCGCAGGTTGTGTTCCGGACGCGCATCTATCACTGCAACATCAATAGCAACGGCCAGATTTGCCTTGACATTCTGAAGGACCAGTGGAGCCCGGCGCTTACTGTCAGCAAAGTGCTGCTGTCCGTCTGCTCCCTCCTCACCGATCCAAACCCCCGTAAGGCCCTGGACTTCAAGCTAATTGCTCCCATGCTGGTGTGAATTACAGCAACATGTGAATGCCAGTGCATTGCTGCGTAGACCACTGTATGTGCCCTGCCGCATCTGTTGAAGCATCCAAGCATTGGCATCTACTTGTCGGCCCTTTACGCATGGCTTCGCATATGTGCCAGCTGCCAACAAGTACAGGTTGCACTTGTGCTTTTGGGAATGGCAATTGCTTCAGTGTGGCATGAGCCAGTGGCACTGTCTCTGCAAATTCATTTTGGCCTGTCATGGCCAATCTCCTTGTGCTCTTATTCAAGTCATTGCTATTGTGATGTTCCTGGGTGCACCATGAATTGACCTGACATTGTGTGTGGTGCAGAGGATCCTTTGGTGGGCAGCATTGCCCAGCAGTACCTGACCGACAGAGAGGCCCACGACAAGCAGGCTGCAGAGTGGACACGCCGATTTGCTCAGGGGTAGAAGGGCAGTGCAGTTGGCAGTGTAGGGTGTGTTGGGAGGGCAGCAGCCACTGTGGCTCTGGGAGTGTTGGCCTCAGATACCATGCGTAGCGTGTCTAGAATGATGGCACAGTCTGCGTGAGGTTGTCTGCGCTGTTCCTGTAGCCTCTAGCGTGTCTAAGAAAATTGGGACGATGTCCTCAGAGTTGTGGGTCGCGATATCCATTTTTTGCAGCAGCATGGCTATCAGGGATGGCAATCTATGGCATCTGAAGACATCGCTTGCAACGTGTACACATGCATGTTGGAATCGGTCATGTGGTGAAGACGACACTCTGCATGTACTGTACACCTCAGCAATGGAGCAGGTCTGCTCTGGACTCCAGCGCTACTAATGGGAGTCTTGGCTTGAGTGTGGACAAGCCCTGTCACAGACGGTCTTGGCACCACGAAGGCCAGCAAAATCCATTATTATCGCTCCGTGCCGCACAGTGCAGCACCCGGACAAAAGAAAAATTGAGCTTGATTTGATGAATACAAGATGCTCGGCATCTGGTATCAAAGTAGACTATTACTATATGAAAAACTTTGATAAAATTGAATAAATAAATTACTAATTAGGATTATGAAACTCCGACTGCCGATTGGCAATGAGTCTGAATGCACAAATATAATGACTGCGATTGGGTGGAGCTCAACAACGGTCCCTGGTGTGTGTGCATTGTCATGTAGTGCTGCACAAACACCTGCATATCACATCATGTCATTTGCTTAAAGCAAACCCTCTGTTGAATCCCTGTATTTTAAGGACCCTTGATTTGTTGAATTTGCGGTCACCGTACGAAACCAAACTTCGACAGGAGAAAATGCATTGGAACGACCAGTGACATTCATTCAGAGAAGACAAATTGCGATCCTGTGATTTGAAGCCTTCACTATTACCTGACACCCCGACATGGTCTAGATTTTTTTAATGTGTTCAAGACACAAAAAATCACAGGCCTCTTTGTTGCAAACAGGGTTGAACGTAAGGAGATCCCAGGATAGCAGGGAGTGGGAAACCAGCAAGCGTATTATCTAATGAAAGTATGATGCCCTCTCTGCACAGCAGAAGCAGTTGATAACATTTGCGCCGTCAAATAAATACAAACAAAGAAATCACATTCCAGGACATCTTCTGATGTAGGGGTGCGGTTGATCCTATCAGGCCGAGAGAGGAGAGCGGAAGCTGTACAAAGTCCAATCCCTCCTCGGAGTGGCGAACAAGAGATGCGAATTCAAGCCTGTCATGTGAAAAGTCTTTTCTTGTTCTTTTTCGGGGGTTCATTCATTGAACAGGAGTGCTTTTGAGTCTTGATGATCTCCCTGACACCTTGATAAAAAATTTCAAATCACCTGCTCTCTTCTCTAGTAGGTTTCCAGGAGGGGCCCCTCCCCGGGCCCGGGGAAAGCGCGAGTCAAGATAAGTTTTCATCATGATACAACCACATGATGACGTGCAAATCTGCCAATGTCCGGCAAACTGCCATTGAATGTGGGCCAATGTGTCCAGCACACTCTGCATCCAGTGGTTGGTTGGGACTTGTCCTTCTTGGCGTCGCCAACTTGGCGGATCATCTATGATAGCTTTTGATGGTGCAGACCCATTCGCATGACTTTATATGCACTACTCATTTTGGGCTACTACTACGCACTGCATATTTGTTGCTATTTGCATTAAATGCATAATTCACAGTACACTTAACGGTAGCAATGGTGCGGAAAAGGTGGTGCCAAGAGAGGCGTTGAATCTCTTGCAGTGATCACAGTTTCAAGAGAAAGCAATTATCATCCCGTATGCTGCACCTGCCAGTAAAGAAATTGCCAGTCCCTCGTCAACCCAGCCGCGCAGTACACTGACCTCAACATTAACGGCAAAAAGGGCAACCTTGGCAGTAACAAGGGGCAAACGGCCACACTCAGCAACTCCACACCCACCAAGCCCAACAGATATACACAATTCAGCCCTCCCAAGAGGCGAAATAAGCTGCGCCTCAGCCCTGGGTCGCCAACTGTCGACTTTTTAGAGACTCCATCTTCCCTCACAGGATCCTGCCCACATTTACGCAACAGTGCACAGCTCGCCAGCGATGATATGACAAGGATCAGCATCTGCACACACAAACCAACCAGGCTGATCAGCGCTACCCATGCCTCAAAGAAAGTCCTCCGAGCAATGCATTCTGGCTTTAAGACTGTGTTCAAGGCAAACAATATCGCAGGCTTCTCTCTTGCAAACAGGGTGGGACAGCACAACAAGACCCCAGGTTGGCCGGGAGGGTGAAAGGGAGGGCTCACCTTCATAGGATATTCGTTCTTGGTGAAAAGCAGCGGCAGCAGGGCATAGTGCCCTGTCATGCTGAGCATGAGGAAGCTGCGTGCAGCTGCCCTGCTGTTGACAGCACCCAGCGTGAGCGGCAGGATGACCATCAGAATCGCTTTTTCATGGACGTGGTAGCCCGCCATGAAACTGCAGACACATGGCACATGCAAAGCTCAGCCCATGCAAGTCTGAGAGAGTCTAGCCAGCAGAAGTCTGACATTCAAAACGAGAGAGAGGCATCTCCAGTCAGGGATCCTATTGCACGTTTCAGTGACTTAAAGAGCTCATGGAGAAGCAGAAGTGAGTGCAGTATTAGATGGATTACCTGCACATGCACGCGTAGGCAGCAGCACCAGCAAATGCCTCTGGCTTTGGGTTCCTCCAAACGCAGACAAGCATTGGGGCCATTGTAAACAGGACCACAATGAGAGTGGTCCCTGCAGTGACATTGGGCAGCACCGCAAAGCTGCTGACCTGAACCAAGCCACCTGCATCATGAATAGGGGCCATCACTCATTAGCATGAGGTGCAGGAAACCACAGCCAGTGACCTTTCATTTATCTATCAGTCAGGGCACCCCATGCACTGTCCAAAAGCCCAAATGCGACTTGCCACTTGGACCTGCCAATGCAAAGCTCATCTACCACACAGCAGAAAGCAAAATCACATGGACATCCAAGTTATTAAAGTACCGGTCACTCCACCTGCAGCTCATTGACAGACTCATTGCAGCCTCAAAGGACAAAGAATAAGTGACAGCAACACAACAGAGTTCCAATAGCAGGCAGCATAAGAGGGTCACACCAGTCATGAGGCTGGCTGTTTTCTCGACAGGGAAGCCGAAGCGCGGCAGCAGTACAGCCAGTGCCCTGTCTGCAGCAGCATACAAAGCCCATAGATTGGCGGCCCAGTAGGCATGCATGAGGCCTCTGTCAAAGGGAAAGAGCCGGCCCAGTACCTGCATGAATGCACATCACCACTGACGTACATGCCTCTCTCTTGTGGCTGACTCCGCCCAACTCAGACTGGATTTTCTGGGACTGAAAGGTTGATGGGACGTGGCAAACAGCCTCAAACATGGCTGGGCAAAGCGATTCAATAGCAAATGTTATACACAACTGCACACAGGGACAGGAGCATGTGCAGACCTGCTGCAACTGGCCTGCCAAGATGAAGGGCCCGAAGGAAATCGCAAAAACAGCTGTAACAACAGCGCCCAGCATCAGAAACCTGGACACTGCCTGCTTCCCTCTGCAGGCACAGCATGCCGTCACAATGAAGAAGTATAAATCTGCTCGTCTTGATCTTTAGTATGTACATGCAGCATCAGCACCTTTTATTTAGCAAGGCAGATTTATCACCTGCAGTAATGGCGCAGTAGGTAGACAAAGTACAAGGGGCCCAAGCAGGCAAACAAGTGCTTCATGTTCAGAAGTACTGCAAACAGCAAGCCTCCGAGCAGGTCGTGCCCCTCTTGAATCAGCGCCATGGACCAAAGAAGGATCCCTGATCACCACATCCCACAGTGACTTCATCGTTGGAATATCAACCTCTCGTCAACACTATTATTAAAAGATTGCCAAACCCTGCTTATGGCCAGCAGCGATGAACTACTGACAGCTCACAGCAAGCACAGAATATAGATGCATGTCCACACTGCAGTATATTAAATCCAAGTATTTGCACACCAGCCCTGTGAGGTTTTTTAAAATCAACTGAGCACATGAATGAGCACATGAATGAGCTGTCATTCTTTATGGTAACAATTGCACGCGGCTTTCTCATGCCGCTTTTAATGCCATCTTGCGCTGCTGCTCGATTTCTGGCTTCCTAATCAGCCACATTTGCTTGTCTGTGTGACTCTTGGAGTGATCTGCTGACAGTACGCTTCAGACAAAGCATGAATGGGGCTTACCCAACAAGAATCCATTGTACTGGAAGTGAATGTGATCCACTAGCAGCAAGCCTGCATTGGCAACCAGAAGCAGAAATGCTACAGTGCGCTGTGGCTCTTTGTACTTCCTTGTGCCAAACCAGGCTGCTCCATACAGCACTGTGTCTGTGAATATGACGCTTATACGCTGCAGGAGTCAGAAATCACTAGCATTAATTATTGATTGCCATGAACACTGCACAGGTGGAGATTGTCACTGCATCTATCATGGCCTGACGCCTTCAGGCCCTGACCCCACCTGGAAGAGTACTGTTTTGGGGCTGGCGTGATTGAGATTGGAGACATCTAGCATGGCTGGGTCGAATAGGTATGCCGCATGTGATAGGCCCCACTCAAACCATGCGAACAGGGGCGGGTAATCCAATGTCCACTCCGAAGTTGCCTCTTTGTACCTGCATTATTACACAAGGTATATAAGTAAGCCACGCGCATAGGAATCAGGGAAAGTTGGTGGCGTTCGGGCTCAGCAGGAGTCCTGGACCGGTGAAGAAGCAGCAAGTCAAGGCAGCTCACCATTGCGAGAGGGGCAAGCTGTTGGTGATAGCAAGCCAGTTCCTGTGCACTTCAAAATCCGTGGAACGATATGACGGTAGCAGAACCAGCTTCAGCGCTGTCAGTGCTAGCAAAGCTCGCCACCTCAGATCCATTCGTTGGAGAAGCTTGACATAGGCTGGCACGTCTCAATTAGCTCTACTTAATCTGACATCAGTTATTGTTCTTTGCAGATCGTCTATCCAATCCGTCAATTTTGCTAGAGAAATCATTTTCTTGTTGCAGCATTGATGCAGATGCAGTCTCGGCTGTTTTGGAGTGCGCCTGAAAGTGTATATGTAGCCCGATCTTGATCAGTCAAGCCGACCAGAAAACTCAATGTTAATGCAAAAGCTTCGATAAGGCTTAGATTTCTTCTTCGGCATCAACATGCCACTTCCAATCGGTGTCAGATTTGTTCTTCACTGTTGCCCAGGCGTTCGACGTTGCTTTAGAGCTTCTCACGTGTATTCCTGCATCTCAATTCAAACACCAATGTGTGAATTGTTGCAGCAATTGACCTTCAAGCCATTGCTGGGATACCGACCCCTCCAGCGACCCCTCAGTGACTCACAAAACCTTCTGACCGTTTGGTCGCGGGGTTTCCTCTCCCCTACGGCTCAATTTCGTAGCGCTGCTGTTGAAATGACTTAAAATTGTGCGGAAGTGGGCTTGATTACCGCGTTTTGGGCTGGCTCCATGGCTCTCAAGGCTTACTTATCCGTTGAGAAGGATGTTCTCCTTCCTGCAGTGCTTGGTCTGATAGTGGTCGCCATCACTGTCGTTACACTCTACGTGCTCAGAAGGAAGAAGATTGCAGGGTCAGGACCGGGGGGCACAGAGTACGTGACCAGCATAGACGGCCAGACAGTCAGGAGATCTACCAGGTGCGCAGCAGATTTTCTTCTCATGGAAGGGACGGATGTTTCGGCGTACACGGACCTATGTCCAAATTGCAGCAGACTCAAGATACTTGATGATGTATAGGTCGCGAAAGTCAGTTGCAAGGTGGAGCCCCGACGATTTAGCGTCTCCAACAGGCTATGGTACCCCAAAAACTGCAAAACCAGCTGAGAAGGTGAGGCCCACCCTCAGAGTCTGCTGCAACGCTGCAGATTAATTCTGATTTATTTGCCCATGTTTTCTCGCAAGTATACCTTCTGCAGCGCTTGTCTTACTGTGGGAAGAATGCTCCAGATGTGTTGCTGACGTTGTTACTTCAAAAATTTGAGACTCCATTCCATGCTTTATTTGTTTAAAGAAGACTATTATCTTTCAGCAGGACCAAAGTAATAGTATGTGCTATTTGTTTTGCATCACTCTGTTCCTTAGCTTGCATGAAAGCAAGTCCTCTGAAATGTTGCAGGAGAAGGAGCCTAAAACTCCAGTGTCTGTGAAGAGCGTCAAGAAAGAGGTTGCTGCGATTGCGAATGACGTTGCTACACCAGTAGTAGAAGCAGTCATAAAGCGGGTGCGCAAGCAGTTGCAACACCCTGCATCAGTGACTCAGCTTGCGTGCACTCGAATGCTTGCAGTAGTGAGGAGAAAGCTTCATCAGCACAAGATCTGTTGCTCTATACAATTTTAATTACGTTGGGTGCGACGAAAGTGAGTGGTCTGTTCCTTCACTGTTGCTCAGGAAGTAGGAATGCAGCTTCTGTTGCAAGCTGCAGCTGCTCAGTAGCTACAGATTTGTGCAGCTGAGTCAAAGTCCACATAAGCTTGTGACAGCTCCTTGCCCACACATCCTGACAAACTTCTTTTTGGTATACAGGGGCCTGGCCGGCCGCCCAAAACCCCGGGGGCTCCCAAGACCCCTGCAGCGGCGAAAACCCCCGCGCCGCCCGCAAGCCCGCGGCGCACCAGGCTTCGGTCGACGCCCGCCAAGTGATGCGCCGAGCTGCTCCGCAGCCGCCACACTGCTGCCAGCGCTTAGAAGGCAGCACAGATTACTGGGCTGGTCAAGCGCCCCTGTACCTGTGCCTTAGCACGCAGACACACTTGCCAGGTGGAGAGGGGTGCAGGGAGACAGAGGTCCGCAGCAGCAGGCAGTCTTGTAGCAGCACAGCCCAGCAGGGAGGCACATCTTTGTTGGCTGTTCTTCCACAGTTTTGTGGGGAAGTGGACAGAGCACAGTGCAGCTGTCCATGGCAGTGGGGAGGGGTGGGTTGAAGTGTGTGACTGCAAAACTGGAGCTGGGTTGAGGCAGGGTGAGCACAGCAGAGCCGCTTGCACTAGCAGCTGCAAGTAGCTCCACACTGCTGGATTCTTGCACTTTCTGTGCCAAGTATGAAATATCTTTGTTGGCAGCAGAGACGGATTTAATGACATGACTCCTGACAGCTGTGAAAAGAAAACTGCATGTGCACATTCTTGAACGTTGCTTTTACTGTCCGGCAGTCGTTTCACTATTTGATTTGACGCTGCCTCTTGTTGAAAGCGTTGAGTGGCTCTTGCTGGCCGAGCTTTGGCTGCTTGTATCGAGGAGTTCCGTTGCCAGTGCATGCAATGTTCTGTGAGAGGACACTCAACTTTTGTACAGGACAGGGAATGTATGCCGCCAAACTGACTCCCATTTATAGCACGGCATGTAAAATGTTTGCAATATCTATTGCCAAAAGCAGTGCTAGGTATGATTATAATGATGGCATGCACTACATGCGCATGAGCAGCTGCGGCAGTGAGATATGCGCACAGCCCGTAACATGGGCCCAGGGGAATGCAGAGGCTCCTCAGGTGGGTTTGCATGGGCCCTTTTATTGTTATCTATGTGTGGGGCTCTCTGTGCTTCGATGAATTCAGTGGCAGCAGTGCACAAGAGAAGGCGCCAAGTGGACAGACATATATGCTATTCTGCAGGGTCAACCCCAATTGAAGGAACGTGCAACACCATCCTCAAAGGCTGCCAGTGACTATGAGATGCGATGATACAATGGAAAGCTACCGAAACATTTTTCACTCGGGGTTTTGAGTCCAGTTTTGAGGGTAGGTGACCCCTTGACGCTTTGGATTGGGAAACGACAGAATTTGGACGTTTACACGGGACAGTTCAAGTGGACTGCTTGCCGGCCATCGTTGGACTTGCAAGCTGAAAGAGGGATATTGCATCCCATTTAAGGGTCCAATATGTCGGAAAACGTCCTCAACAATATCATTTCGCACTTGCGAAGGCACCCTGACGATGAGGACAATCGCAAGTCGAAAATCATCTGCGCTGTGACTTATGGCATTAGCATCATCACGGCGGCTTACCTTTTGTCTACTGGAGTCACAAATATGGGTAGCGGTACTGCTCGACAACAAGCACAACCAGCACGGTGAGGATCACTGTGTCGATGCGGCCTCCTTCCGAAGAGGTTTCAGGCGGAGAAGGCACCAAGAGTTGTAATTGGTCAGAATTGGGACAGTAACCTTACTTGAATGACTGCACAGGGTTGCAGCTTCAGAAAAACTGCAGAAGAGGCGGCCACGGACGTGATAGAGCTGCTGTGTTTTCCATCTGCTCTCAGAGTCTGGCTGCACACTATCGAGGATGGAAAGGTTGGCCTATTTGATTTGCCAAGAATGTTCCTGCCCCAGTGAGTGATCCTGGGCACCTGTGCATCTGTGCTCTGAGGGTCACAGTATTCTGTACTGCTTCTGGTGTCCCAATAGCCATTAGCACATGACACCAGCAGGCGTGGGGCCACTCAAATGCGCAACTCGGGTGACAGCCAGTCATGTGCCCATAGCAGATTAGACGCTGCACCTGCGCTACTTATACAGCTTGGCTCCCTGAGCACATAGTATGTGCCACATACATGCTGCAAAACAACAAAACATGTAATCTGTGGCAACAGAAGAGCAATAACGAACACCTGATTTTTGAGCTAGGGTGTCAGAGCAATGTGAGCAATAATCACAAATTTTGCTGGATGTTGAATATGAGGCCCCTTGACCAGGGGATCGGCGGTGTGATGCAGCCACAATGCAGCAGTGTCGGTGCTAGTTGATCATTGCGATTAAAAGTGCAATGGACACAGGATGATTGATGGCAAAACGGTGAACTTACATCCATTTCATCAGCTAATAAAATCCTACTGTCATTTGCAAGCATGCAAAGAACACCACTGTCACTGAAAGCCTCGGTGTCACTGCTCCGACACGAGCTTCCCATCTTCCATTCTTGCAAACAAATTGCACCACAGTCCGTGATGGTACACCAAAGGACACATGACAGTCAGCATCTTGCCAGTCTCCAAGCTATTATTACTCCATGGACTAGTGCCATCCTATGGGACTTGAAAGAAGGAAGTGCAACTCATCGGTGGCACTGTGTGCCATTCTCATTCCATGTACTTCCCACGCTGTCGGAATCACACATCAGTAATGGGGAACATTCTGCCATCCCTCGCGACTGCATTACTATTGCAAAGCAACTTGCAGACACCCACAAGTCTCTCCAGGACTGGACTTCAGCACTAGTGCACTAGTTTAGTACTAAACATCACAGTATGCACGGGTGCTATGACTTGCTGCATTATGACCACATCCATCCCAGTTCACTTATTGTCACAAAGCCCTGGCATTCCCTGGCTCTGTGCGAACTGCTATGGTGAGACGAGCGGCTGCCTGGAAAGTGTTGCAGGCACACGCTCTCCAAAGAGAGCTACGTTTGCGGAAATCAAAAGCAGGTTCGAAAACAGCAGAGGCAACGCCTCAGAAGGTGTGGCTCTGGCCGGAGGGTGTCTGGTCGCAGAGGAAGCATGCGCGCGCAAAGACAGGGAACACCGCCTGATTGGTGTCATCCTCCAGGCTGGAGCGCTCCTTGATCTCGGGTGAGTTGATGCCGAAGAGGTTGGCCGGGAAATTGGTGTCCCAGAAGTCCTTCATCTCGTACTCCTCCTGCTTGAACTTGCCGTGGAACGCGTCCTGCACACGTGCCGGCACATGCCTGTCAGCTTACTTGCTCCCAACATTCTTCTGAATCTTGCATATTGGACACATTTCTGGCAATCTCTATTGCACAAGTCAGCAGTGGTGTTCTTGGGTGCAAATGACTCCTGGCGGGAAGCAGTGCATTCTCTTGGTAGCAGAGAATGACAGGCTTGCTCAGAAAATGCTTCCAAGAGGAGGCTAAGCCTGCTAGGTATGAAGGCATGACATGGCAAAAAACCTGATCTGGGCAGGGATAAGCGTGCAAGAGGAAGGATGAGGGTTGCTTACATCAGGTGGGAGGTACAGCTGGCTCTCAGGCTTGCTGACAGCAGACTCGCCCTCCAAGTAGCGGTCATAGGTTCCTCCCACAATGCCCTGCAGATAAGAACAATGCACCAGTCAGCACTCTGTAGAGAAGACATTTGGCAGCTGTACAGGACCTGGCTAAGAGACAGCCTCAAAGAGACTATAAATAGGTATCGAATCTGCATTTTGAGAGGTGGCTTCCATACTAACGGCATTCCTTACAGCTGGGGGCATCCTCACTGAGAGGACAAACATATTCATGATTGCAGCAATCAGTGCATTATATAAGACAAGTGGGAGAGCGGCAGAGGGGTCTCACCTGCATGATGCCGTTGGCGGGGGGTCCCAGGAGGGTGATGCCAAAGTTGAGCCAGGAGGGGAGCACAACGCCGCCCTCATCCACAATGCCAGCAGGTGTCTGCCAGATGGTCATCCGGAGCACATCTGCACACATCAGCCCACTCAGCACATAAGCTCAACGCCTATAAATACTGGGAGCACCGGAACTTCCGGTGACGCTTCAGGAGGCATGCAAGCAGGGGAGAGGATGTGAAAATCCCGGATGAGCTGGCCGCCATGCCCAATGCAAACTACTATAAGTAGGTCATGATGCTTTTGACAGTACAGCATGAAAGGAGGAGGAGTGCGCGGGCAGGTGCAGGCAGGTGCAGGTAGCAGGCATTACTCACCAGTGGTGACGGTGACAGTGTTGCCCAGGCCAGGCTTGTACTTGTCCCACACAGTCTCGATGTATGCGCCGTTCTCAAAGCGCCATGCGTGGTGCTGCGCTGTCTTCTTCTCCTTCAGCACCTTGCCCTGCAGCGACACTGCGCGCACACACAACATAGTCCAATCAGCCGCCATTTTCAGACATAACAGACAGCACACCAGGTATGCTCAATCTTCATTTTTAAAGCCTGCTGGAAAGCACGAGCAGCACAAGGGCATGCATGCTGTGCAGCGCTGGCATGATAAGCAGCAAGGCAGCAAACAAACCCATTCGACTCGCCTCAAATCACTTCCAGATACGCCTTGCTCGCCTGAGTGAATGCATGGGCAGAAAATAAATAGGAGGATACTCCTGCAGGATCAAACTGTGGCGTTGAAGTCTTGCATGCACAGGCCAGCAGCCTGATCATTGCAGGGGGTTTGAAGGGATAAGAAAGGGGCGCGCACCGGTCATTTCCTGGTTGTCATCGAGGGCGATGAGGACCTTGTAGGTGCGGTACATGAACGCGATGGCCTCCATGTTGGTGCCCTCATGGTCCCACATCTTGGCCAGCTTCAGCTTCATCGACACCTGCGCCAGTCACACCAGCCGCCACATCAGCCGCAGCGCTCATATTGAAGACTTTGACACTCTGCCCTCATGATAGGACTGACTCTCCTGCAATTGGTGCCTGACAGCCCTAGACAAAACAGCAACACCCAGGGCAGCAACACCCAAAGCCATTTGGATTCAGGAATCCACCACTATCTCTTCAGTTTCTCTGGACAGCAACGGGTCATGTCTGCATCTCAATCTCAGCATGCGGCCAGGGCTGCGTGCTCAGATTGAGATGCACACAGCTCTGGCCACAGTGCAGCCTTCCAGAGTTCAAAATCAAAGCAACCTGAGCGCGCACCTGCAGGGTCTGCGTGGAGATGATGCTGTAGATCTTGCCGACCTCGCCCATGAAGTTGAAGGAGCGGCCCGCGAATCCGTACATTACGGGATCGGAGTTGCCGCCCGCGCATGCCGGGTTGCCGTCCACTCCGCACGTCGCCGCACTGTTTCACAGGCGCCAATCGTGTCAGAACTCCTTCTTGAAGACAGCAGCACGATTGCAATGCCATGAGCTCACCGACAGGCATTATTTTTTGTTGGCAGTGTGGTGCTAGTCTGAGGGTCGGCGACTGCAACTAGGAGCACAATCTTTGTACTCCATCCACCGGGCATCTGGCATGACGAAATCCAGCGGGAACTCACACACATGAGGAGAAGATTCTCTCAAACCAAGGGCATAAAGTCCCACTTGGTAGCATGGAAGAAAGCATGATAAGACTTCAAGGGAGGGAGAGGGAACGCACGTGGCAGTGCCGCCAGAGATGACAGCGGATGTTCCCCCGGGTGCGGTGGTGGTGGTCGTGGCTGGGGTGGTGTCAGCCCTCCCGGTGGTGCCCGTAGTGGTGGTGGCAGTGCCGGACCCCCGCGTCTGAGAGAATGTACCTGCGCAATACAATGTGATGCCTTGAGAATCACATCTTTCTGACCTTTCCCAGGAAAATGAAGAGGCTTCAACAGCAATGGGCTCCAGTCTTGAAGCATAGCGGAGATGCTTGTTAATTTGCAGGCTATCAAGGTGCTCGGAGACTCTGACAACTCTGGTGACACCCCCACTGTGTAATAGCAACCAAGGAGCCTCCTCATTTAGTTTCTGGAACCAATTTAGTGAAAAGATGTGAACTCTGCGCAATCTTTTAAGACGTGCCGAGGCTGTACCTGAGGACGAGGAGGAAGTGGACCCCCCGGTGGTGGTTCCGGTGGTTCCGGCGCTTCCGGACCCCCCGCTGTTGCCGGCGCTGAGAGACCCAGGATTCCCCGTGGCCTGCCCGCCAGACACGCCGCCGAAAGATCCTCCCAGCGTCCCACCCGAGCTGCCGCCCGATGTGCCGCCTGATGTGCCTGCAAAAGGCAACGCCCCCGACCGGTCAGCACCTATTTACTCTGTCACACATGAGTGTGCGGATAACTAGTATCTGGCAGAGCTGTTTATGCTTGGACAGTGCCCCACAAGCCACTCAGGGTGGCATGCACAAGGCGCCTGGGTGCTGTTTGATCCTCTGAGTCAATGCAGGCGAGGCTGGGCGGGGAAGTCAGCGCTGGCAAAGGCAACAAAACGAAAGACAGTTCACCTGATGAACCTGATGAACCTAATGTTCCGGCGCGGGTGCCGCCGGATGTCAGGCCAGCAGAAGTGGTTGCAAAGCCGCTGCCACTTCCACTTCCAGAAGTGGTGCCCCTTGCGGATGTGGCGCCACCTGCATGCCAAAGCATGGACACAGGCTTCAGCTACAAGTTTCACTCAAGTCACACCTTGCCTCATCTAGTGGACGATCGACTGAACTTCCGAGCACTCCAGTGCGCCGTGTAGGGCAGAGCTGATTTATGGAGGAGAGACAAGCACGGACGGTGGCGATCTTTCTGCGCAGCTGGGCTCAAAAGGCTGCTTGCAGGTTTGGCATCAAGGGCGCTCGATCAGAGCGTGCGGCATGCACTGAGCAGTCTAAAGATTAGGTGGAGAATGCGCGCACCTCCGCTGAGAGTTGTCACAAAGCCGCCGGTGCTGCCCCTGTCGTCACTGCTGCCACTGCTGCCGTATCTGGGGGCTGGGGGGGTCCTGTACCCCCCTCTAGCTCCACCGCCTCCCATTGTGCCACCCCCGGCTGCTGCCTCCCCCCTGCTCTGTCCATTGGCTGTGGCTATCAGCAGGCAGAACGCCAGCAGGCCTATCTGCCAGGCCCTGCTGGACATCTGGTCTCTTCCTGCGCAGCAGATCAGCAGTGCCTTTGAGTTCGTTGCCCTGCTTACAGGAGCTGAGTCCTGATGTAGATGGTCACATCGACCTGGTCCTTCAGGAATGACACCAGCTGGAGTGTTCGTGCAGCTATCTGGGACCCAGAGCATCACACAGAACTCTCTTGTGCTCGCTCAGCAGCAGGAAGTCGGCTTTGCAGCTTGTGTATCCGCACCCTAGCGCTATACCCGCGATGGAATTGCGTAATAGCGTTAAGAAACACCTAGCAACGAGAGTTTTATTCACGTCTCCGCGGTGCGTTCAACCGCAGCGGTGACAAAAGGCCGATCGTTTGCACTTTCAAGCCACCGCCTCAGCTTGGGCAAGCTTGACGAGGCTGACCACGCTGTGAAACAGCTCCTGAGGGCCACATCGAATGTGGTATCTGCACGAAGGAGGCATCAGCCACTGCTGACGTTGCCCATCCCCACCGCAGTGGTCACCATGCGCTTCCGGAACCAACTCTCCACCCAAGAATAACACTGCGGATTTCTGATGCGCTAGCGATCTGTCAAAGTACATAGAAGTCACCTATGGACTGCCGCTCACTGATTCTCCGGCTTTTACTTTGCTGCCGGTCACTGTTCGTTGCCAAAGACTGCTCCGACCCTTCAGCCTCCTGCTGCTACACTCTCCGTGGATCCCTCTCAAAGTCCTACTAGAAGTAGGAGCTGTGAGCACTGAAGTCCAGGACTTTGTGGTGCTTGATCCTGCTTGAAGATCGCGAATTTGCTTGAACCGAGGTGTCGGTGACCTCTTAGAGCAGCTCGAACTTCACAATGATTCATCAGGACGCGCTCTGTCAGTCATCGCTTTGATCAGTTTGATCGAAGGCAATCCCCTTTCTGTCCCTAAGATTAGCGGAACCCTCAAAAGCCCTCCTCAATATGTTCGATATCAACCCTGTTCCAAAGCCCTGACCAGGATGCTGAGCACAGGGCTTGAATAGCTTCAAGCGCACAGCCCGATACAACACTTCAGTGCCTGCTAATTTCTCACCTGTTGCTTGGTAAAGATGCGTGTACGACCAAGCAGCAACATGTGGACAGCACCCTCATATGATCGGTGAAACAAATGTTGGGATGACGCCTGTTTCGAGCCTGCTGCTTGGTTCAGGAGCTCTCCCAGGCTTGATCTCGTTTCTTTTACGTATTGTAGCGACTGAAGGTTCTTAGAGCTGGTTAATGAAGTAAGTCAGCAAACGTCTAAATAAAAGGAGGTTTTCACATCTCTGATTGCTGTGCGGAGATGGAGCAAAACTCCTGCAGATCTGCTTAACAAATCATGACAGATAACCCTGTCCGCATATATGAGTCTTGTGCCAAGGATTGAGCCTGGTTCTGCATGTAGTTTTGCTCTGTACGGTTCTCCAAAACTCACCTCTGCTGGCTGAAGCCAGCTGGCTGACCAGCAAATTTCTTTGCTGCAGCATCAGATGATCCTTGCATGCATTCAGCAGTGTTAGCTTCGGGTAGGTTCTATTGTACTGCTTCTTGGCATTGTGGGGCGCATGCCCTTGGGGCAATTTAGGATAGCAGAGTGCAGGCAGCTCTGCCTGAGTGTCACTCCCAGCACAGCCCTTCTGATGATAGTATGGGAGTGTGCACATCTTTGCTGCCATGGCCTGAGGGGTTTTTGTTGAACAATCCATGCTATGACTGTTGATCACTTCATCAAGTGGAAGTGCACAAAATGCACTGCAGCTGCCACAAATGGTTTCCAACAGTGACATCCTGCTGAAGTGGCCATGTGGCCTGCTCACAGAATTAATTGCAGTCAATTCCTGGCCATAGCTCAGGAAGGCAATGTAAAAAGGGGCCAGCCTTAAGAAATCCAGCTGGCAGCCTGAATATGCTTACAAGGTACTGTGCAGCCAAGTCGCAGGCACTTAAAATGCAGGCTGCAAGTTCTTCAAAATCGTCCTGATACTTTCAGTTAGATAGTATCAGTTCAGAAGCAGCTCCAACAGAACAATCCCAAATTCTCATTAAGTGCACTCAAAAGAGCAGACTCACTCAGATCTGCACATGAGAGAAGTTCAAAATTGCTGCAAATAAAAAAATTGACCCTGATGATCATAGCAAACATGCAGATGGCCTACTTAGAAATCCAAGAGAGACCAGACCCAAGACACCTTGCTTGAAATTGCAGCGAAGGTGCCAAAGGAGCACTCGCTGTACATAAGTCAAGCACACAGTAGTGCTTGGAGCGTAATAGAAAAGTCAGGATACAAGAGCACCAAAGGTGCACCAAAGAAAACACTTTGAACTGCGCCAAATGCTCCGTGCATTGAAGTTAAGTACTCTGCCAATACATGGCAATTTGTCAATGTCATTGGCAATCATTTAGCAGCAGCGCACAAGGCAAATCCAATCGAGATGTACAGTAACATTGCTGTCACCAAACAATTAACCTGTCACATAATTTGCCTGGTGAACTGCCAATAAATAAGCGACCACACCCTCTCAGTAAAGAAAGGCAAGATGCACGGTGCTACGGTATTCTCAAGAATGTCAAGGAAACTCACTTCCTTTATCAGCTGGCGGCCACACACATGGCAGCAGCTTGAGTAAAACATGTCCGATCTGAAGCTGCACAACACCAACTTCTGCACTGGCCCACATACCCCAATAATACAGTTATGAACCTGAGGATGTGCCAACAACCAAGAAAGGTCCCGTTGCAAAAGGTTTGAAGCAATTGCCTTTGTGCAACGCCTGCTGATCAAGCCTCATGATCCGCATTCTACTTGAAAAATGCAGCATTCTCAGCCTGATCAGCAATGACCCCAAGGTGCATTCAATGCTTCACTAAGACTTCAAAATATGCCTGAACCAAAAGATCAGTGAAACCACATAACTTCCTTTGCCGCAGGACAAATTGCACGGCTGCAGGATGTGCCACCCATGCTTCCCATGACTATCCAGGGAAAGAAAGAGGTTGGAAACCAAGCATCCATCACATCTGCGTATGGCTTTCTTCCACAGTGACAGTGCTAAAAATAGACAGCACTGAAGGAAGGGCAGTGCCAAAAAAGGTTAAAAAATGCTTCAGAAAGTGTGGCCAGAGGGTGTGGCCGCGCAGAGGAAGCATGCGCGGGCAAAAGCTGGGAACGCCCCCTGAGGCGCGTCAATCTCCAGATTTGACCGCCCCTGCTGCTGCGTCTGGGAAAAGGGGTTTTGGACCCCGAACAGGTTCGCCCTGAAGGTGGTGTCCCAATGGTCCGCCATCTCATATTCCTCCTCCTTGTACCGGCCGTGGAACGCCCCCTGCCAAACACATCCACCTCAGCAAAGCCGCTGATGTCATCTGCGGCACCATTAACTATGCAGTGCAGATGTCAAGAGCAGTATCATCCATGAAATCGTAAAAGAGACATCGCATAAGTGCCACCCTTGTAGGGCCATCTGCGCGGGACCAAAACCTGTCCTCCTTGCTGCATGCAATACTTCGCTTTGATGCTCATCTATGTACTGTACAAGCAGATATTACGCAAGGGAGGTGCTTACATCAGGAGGCAGGTAGAGCTGGCTCTTTGGGTCGCTGACGGCCGTCTCGCCCATTATGAAGCGGTCATAAGTCCCGCCCACGATCCCCTGGAACCATGTCAACTTGCCGTGTCAGCTTGCCACTGAATCTTTCGTGTATGCCTGCCAACGCTGAAGCCATACAGGGTCCTGCAAACGAACTGCCGAGCTGTTTCTTGGCACTGCTTTCCCCCAGACAGCGCAAGCGAAAATGCCCCCCAGTCGGCCAACTTGGTCATTCTAGGTTCGGCTTGTGGGTCACTTTGCTTCACGAGGGACTGGAGATCCCACTCTTGAGTTGGAGCCACTACTGTGTCCCCATTCTACAAAGCCACATGGCATTCCAGACATTTGTCATTGATTGAAGACAGGCAAGGAATAAACAGCGCCGCGCACATGCATGAGGCCATTGGCCGGAGGCGTTTCCAGGCTGAGCCCAAAGTTGAGCCAGGCTCCCAGGATCATGCCACCCTCGTCCACAATACCGGCCGGCGTCTGCCAGATGGTCATCTTCAACACATCTGCACACACAAGGAATTCAGCTGAGCACTACAAGCAGTACTGCACAGCAGGAGTGCAACCATCAAGTTCTATGCTTTGCTGCAGTCCCCAGCATGAAGTTGTCTGCCTTTTGGGTTGTTCAGCATGGTAGACCACACATCCCGTGGCACAGCCAACAAGCCTGAAAAGCAACCATCACTACGCGCCACAGTGCTCGAAAAATGGAATGGGCTGTGTCCGCCTTGTTGGCTCTCCTTTTAACTCTGCCAACCAGGCATGAAGGCATGGAAAGAGCAGGCTATATACTGTGGATTCTCACGAGTCAGAAGGTGTCAGATATGTCAGATTGGGTCAAATTGTCAGATACAGATTTGCAGCGCACCGGTCTCAATGGTGACGGTGTTGCCCAGGCCCGGCTTGTAGCGCTCCCATGTCGTCTGAATATATGCACCGTCGTCAAACCGCCATGCGTAGTGCTTCGCCATGTTCTTCACCTTGAGTGTGCGCCCCTGTGCCGTCACTGCGGGCACACATGCCAGCACATGTCGGCACACGCTAGATGGCTTCCTGATACTCTCTGCAGCATGCACCCGCAAGCTGGCTCACCAAGAATGCTCCATACAGTAATGCACAACAATCCTGTCTATGCTGTTGCCATGTTTCTCGGCTTCGATTTGACTACTTGTGAAAAATGATGACATTTTGTCTTATTAGGGTGACTAAGGGGTACTCACCGACCACGTCCTCCTTGGCGTCCAGCGAAACCAGCACCTTGTAGTTCCGGTACATGAATCCAATTGCCTGCCCAAAAGCAGTCCATGCTCATCGTTGCTGCATTCTCCTTGCTGCAGACTGCAGTGCGTTCCCATCCATAAAGTTCTGACAATCATGGGCGCACGCGTTCCTCAAGCAGCAGTCTTTGTCATGAATATGTCAGGGAGTGAGCGCACCTCCATGTTTGTGCCGTTATGGTCCCACATCTGTGCTAGCTTCAGCTTCATTGACACCTGCAACAGCAAAGAGTCAGCATTTAGCATTTCCAGCTGCATCTGTTACGTTATAATTGTTCTTGCTTGCCCTCAAATCAAGCCAGCAAACCGCATGCCAAGCAGATGCCTTGGCGAGCTGTGAGTGACTTCTGTGAAGGCATGTGCAGTCATGTGCGGCCAGGTGTGCGCACCTGGATGTTAAGGGTGGAGATGATGTTGTAGATTTTGCCGGAGTCGCCCATGAAATTGAAGGCGCGGCCGGCAAAGCCATACATCACCGGATCGGAGTTTCCACCTCCGCAGTTGGTCAAACCCCCGACTCCACATCCACTCCTGGCCCAGTGCAGCCACACATGGTAATTAATTTACTGGCAAACTCACCAGTTGCTTGGGTGTGCGGATTCCTGCATGGCAGCAGGATCATAAGCTGCCTCTTCACACGCATGCACGGAATTTGTGCTAGATATTTCTCACAACGTGTACCAAAAACACTGTATGAAAAGCGTCATTGGGCATGAGGGTGTCATCCACACAGCTGTGCCTCACGTGGAGGTTGTACTGGTGACTGTGCCAACAAGCTTGGCGGCAGAAGTGGTTGCTGCTGTAGTGGTTGAAGTTGTGCCATCTGTCAGGGCCGATGTGCCCGTGCTAAGGGACGCCGATGTCTTTGTGGTGGTAGTGCCCGCAGACTGTGAGCTGCCGCTGCTCAAAGTGCTAGTAGTGTCCTGGGACTTACTGCTGCCACTGGTGGACAGGCCTCCTCCTGGGAAGGAGGAGTCCTGGCTGCTGCCTCCACGGCTGGAGGACCCATAAGAAGAAGAAGCAGCTGACGATGAACTGCCCGAGAGGGTTCCAAATGCGGACCCCCCGCTGTTGCTGTTGGTCCCCCCACCGCTACTCCTGGAGGACGACCCTGCAGGGACATGTCCACAGTCAGCTTCTGAGCTAGACGGAATTGCGCCATCATGCACGGACACTGTCAATTAGGGCTGCGCAGCATTCCTGAAGCATTGTGCTTCTTGCTGCAGGTTTCAGAGGCCCTCCTCTGCCACAGTCTCAAGTTTGGCTGCTTCTGGGCCAGGTACTCTGATGCATCTGAAATCAAATGAGACACTACATGCGGCTGCAAGCGGCGGCAACGTTGGTACCAACAGATGGCCAACAGATGGAATGCACTTGTTCTTGCAGCGCGCGCTGCCGCGGAAACAGAGGCGGCTCTGCTCACAGGCGGAGAGCTGAGCGTGCAGGGAGTGACATCAGAAGCGCAGGTGTGCACATACCGCCGCTCAAGGTAGTGACAAAGCCGCCGCTGCCGCTGTTGCTGTCCTCCCCACGGCTGCTGGACCCGGCGCGCGGCGGTGGCGGTGCGGTGGCCCGGAAGGACCCCCCGCTACGGGACGAAGAGGCAGTCCCTCCGGACGAAGTCCTCTGCGCAAGCGCTGTGCTGTGCAGCAGGCAGGCCGCGAGCAGGGCCAGGTGCCAAGCCTTACATGCCATGCACCGCCCTGCGCATGCACTGCTTCTGCTCAGAGCGATGAAGCTTGAAGCCTTTAAAGCTATCAATCAAATCCTTCTGGGATAGTGAGAGGCAAGGTGCAGTCCTGGCTGTCGATGTCAGAAGCAGGATTGCCTGGTCAAGTAGAAAAGGTCACTTGTAAGCGATATACAAGCGTGCGTATCTCTGGGGCTGCACCTTTTGAAAGTTCAGTCCCTCATAGTAAACAGTACTGACGCTCCACTAGTTGTACGAGGTGGAGTAGAAGGATGGTCGATGCCATGCTTTCGCAGACATTTGCTTGGTCCCCTATATACGGAGCAACTGAATACTTGTAAAACTTGACAATGATATATATGACTATACCAACCCGAGGTATATCCCACGTTACTGAACGCTCACACGCACGAGCTCAATCCAACGACTACGACAGTGTACAAACGTCGACTATCTGTCCAAGGATCAACACATCCACGTGAACTGTCGCACACAATACATCGTCATCACCATGAAGTTGCAACATAGATCTCTTCCTCGAAAATTCATTCCACTGCGAGAACTTTCGAACTTCCGCATGGATCTAGGTTATTTAAATAAGAGAGATACCCTCAATATAACGCCAGACTCCCATACCCTCTGCTAACGCAAGGGATTTGGCCCTAGCAAGGCCTTGTGACTAAAACAAGGGGATGGCCCTGTTTGTGACCTCAATCACCCAAGCCCTACGCTAGCACAGGGGTAGTGGCCCTAGACTTCTTTCGGCAAAAGGCAAACTTCCAAGACTGGCGGCAAGCAACTTGACATCATGCTTGATTTCCCAGCAAAACTGCAGTGGTAGCAAGCTTAGCATCAATTGCGATCGCGAGTAAGGACCAAGTACTAATATCCCAGCAGGAAGAATTATTTGGTGGCTCTCGCCGAAACCTTAGCCGGCAATTTGGCGATCAGGACGCTTTAACAATGAAATTGGATGTCAATGCTCTTCGATATTTATCGCGGGATGAAAGCAGAACGCTGCAAGCCGTCGAGATCGGCCAAAAGAACGTGAGTATACATACCCAAGAAGTGCAGTCTGGGTGCATTTAGTGTTGAGAAGATGTCAACCAACGTTTCTGTGTTGAATTGCAGCACGATATCGTCCCTGTCCCTCTGGTGGACAGCATCGCAGGCCTCAAGTGAGTAGCCCCATTCTCACCCTGGTTGTAACACTGGCAAACATCACTGTGACGAAGGAAGCATGCGCAATTGAGACTGTTGCAGGACCATCTCGCTTGTCTTGCCAGCCAGACGCTAGTATGGCCTAGAATGGTGCCAGGGGGCAATAGCCTTGTTCTCTGATCTGGGAGCCTGGCGCCTGCACAGGCATGGGGGCGTGGTGCGCTGCCTGAAGGCACTGCTGCGACAGAAGCTAGTGCACCATGACAACAGCCGCTACGACGGCTACCGCCTGACTCCCCTCGGTTACGACTTCCTGGCGCTCAAAGCGTTGGTCGCGCGCGGCGCCATCACCGCCGTCGGCCGCCAGATCGGCGTCGGCAAGGAGTCCGATGTTTTCGAGGCATGCCCCCTCCCTGGTGCAGCCGCTGTTGTTGGTTGCCTCCTCCCTGTTGTGATGTACGCATGGTGGGCACTAGCAAGGAGGTGCAGGAGACTGAACTTTGTCCGCAGATGAGAGTGGGTGGGATTTTCTGCAATCCATTGGCGTATTCTTGTATATCCGCTTTTCCAGACCTAGGTTCAGAGCCACTCATCTGGAGCAAGGATATGGCCCCGTGTCCTGTGATGTATCGTGCCCTGGGGATTGGTGCATGTTATACGGAATCAGCAGTAAAGTCCAATTGGCAAGCATGCATGCAAAATATCACAAGGAGAGCGACGCTGTTATGCCTGCGCAGGTACTGAACGCTGATGGCGAGGTGCTGGCGATGAAGCTGCACCGCCTGGGGCGTACCTCCTTCCGGGCAGTCAAGAAGAAGCGCGACTACCTGCAGCACAGAAACTCCTTCAGGTGCCGACGCAGTCCTTTCTGGAAATGTGAAAGTGAAAGGGTCACACTACAACCATGGTGTTGACAGCAGAGAAGCATCCTTAGTCATGTAGGAATGCACACTAGTGCTGTCCCAAGCTGAATGGTTGTGATATTCTGCAGCATAATGTGCTTCAACGTCACTTTGACTTGTGCCCAGAACTCCAAATGATTGCGGTGTCAGGCTCAGATCAGGAATTTTGGTGCTCACTTAGCGTCCTGGTTTGTCAATATCACCTAGATGCCCCATAGCACTTGCATATGTGTTTGTTGCCTGCGCGCAGCTGGCTGTGGCTGTCGAGACTGGCGGCGGCCAAGGAGTTTGCGTTTATGGAGGCTCTCGGAGCGGCCGGCTTCCCGGTGCCGCGCGCGATCGAGCACAACCGCCACGCCGTCCTCATGTCCCTCGTTGACGCAGTGCCCCTTGTGCAGGTGCGCGCATATGCTATCCATGCCGCTCCCACATGCCTGCACATGCTGGCTTGTGATCTCCGGGACAGGCTGTTCGTGGTACATGCTGGCTTGGGGGGCGTCCTTGGACATTGCAGCATTAGCACAGATGGGGCTGCCCGGCACACACGATGACTGCACATGCTCGCACATGCCGCTCGTGATCTCCAAGGGTTCTGTATCAGTTGTATAGTTTCAACACCTTGGAGGGCGGGGGCACAGAGTGCCATTCCGGGGGATTTGTGAACCACTCACTGAAGATGGGTGCCTTGGAGATTTCCTCCAGTAGTTCTTTCTGCTCGAACTGCGAAGACGCTTACAACCATCTCTGCTTATCTCTTTGGTTGACCTCTCTCTTGCAGAGATGAGGACAATGGCAGGCTGCTTGTTGAAGTTGGCTGCAGGTTCAGCTCTGGCACAGAGACCTTTTTGCGGGGGCTTTCCAAGCGTATCACTTGGTGTTGTGCTTGGAGAGCTCCTCGTAGACGCTTTCTGTGCTGGAGCTGCCATACCCCCCACCGATCATGGTGTACCTATTTGCCGAAGCATGTTTCCTAAATTGAAAATCAGGTGATCAAGAGATGTGCGCCTGCTCAGGTGAAACTGGCGGATCCTGGGGCTGTGTATCTTCAGCTGATAGACATGATTGGGGACCTGGCCTCCCGGGGCCTCGTTCACTGCGACTTTAACGAATTCAACATCCTGGTATGCAACCCTCCTCCAGTGCTGTGCAATCGTTCTTCTTGTGACTGGGGTGGCATATAGCTAAACTTGCAGCACATGAGCAGGTTCACACATGGTGACATATGCCGTTTGCATTGATTGATATGATTGTCCCTCCCTGACAATCTGGACTCTTGCTGGTCTAGATCCACCTGCAGCTATTTTCTGTATTCAATCTTCGAATGGCATCCCTTCCTTTACTGCTCATGTTTATGTTCTGTCATGTGCATCTCTTAAGCTGGTTATTTTGTTGCAGAGGCATTTCCCCTTACCTACAGGCAGTCAAAATCAGCCCAGTATTTGTCGATATGCGCAATGGTCACCGACTAATGTCTCTGCCTTCCATGCAGGTGGACGAGCAGGGCGGTGTGACGCTGATAGACTTTCCCCAGATGGTGTCAACCAGCCACGCCAATGCAGAGGAGCTGTTTGATCGCGACATCGACTGCGTCATCCGCTTCTTCAACAAGAAACTTGGCTACGTCTCCGAACAGGACGCCTCCCTGCCCTACCTGCGCCCAGACTTCAAGGCGTGCCCCCATTCTTTCAGTTCCTTTGCGGGCCTTGTGCAGTCGTATGTATCAAGTGGATCAGGTCTCCTTGTGGGCGTGAATAGCACTCCTGCAGGCACTTAAAGATATTTGAATTTGAGGTTGGGAGGCCGTTAGGGAGCAAGTAAAGCAGAGCTGAACGGGCTCCTTAATGCATGCTGTGCTGTACTGTGCTGTACTGCTGCTGCAGTGACGTGGATTGTCTTTAGCATGATCTTTGGGCTTTCCGTTAGGGGAAGATGCGGCTCCTTTTCAGATAAGCAACTTTCCCTAGGTTGTCATCAGGTGGTCGTTCAGCTATTCAAGGGCTTTTTACATGTATAATCGGAACACTGCAGAGCAGATCCAGACATGTTGCGGTATGCATGGCCTTCTGTCCGTTCTCTGCGTTGCCTCATGTGGAAGCCTGATAAGGTGTGCTGGCTTGCTGCAGGAAGCAACAGCGGCAGCTGCGGAGAAACTGGATGTGAAGCTGTCCGCATCCGGCTTCAAGAAGGAGCACTTCAGCGCTCTGGATAGCTATGTGAGCGCCCTGCAGGGCATGGTTGCACCGCGCGACGGCCCCAGCAGCAGCGAAGAAGACAGCGAGTCAGACGATGCTTCCAGCGAATCTGATGGTTCTGGCGAGGACGGCAGCTCTGAGGACGAGGGTGAGGACAGCGAATCTGGGGAGCGATCGGGTGAGGTCAGCAAAGGGGAGGAGGGCGGAAGCGCGGCTGATGTCAGCAGGGCTGAAGCGACGTCAGCATGCGGGGGGTCTGACCAGTGGACTTGTCAAACAGGTGCAGGGCAAGATGAAGAATCATGGGGCACTGAGGTTGATCTGGGCGAGCTGAAGGTAACAGAGGATATAGCGGGTAGAAAAGACACGTGCATGCAGCAAGAGCAGAATCAGCGGCAGGAAGAAACTGATAGCAAAGGGGTCACCACGGTGCCCGTCACAATTACCGACCCTTAGGGCTTTTACAAGATTTGGAATCGAGTGCAGGTTGCACTATGCAGTGCAACAATGGACTTTGATGAACAGAGCTACATGCCTGCAGCCTGCAATATCAACTGATTGGCATGTAACTTGCTGATGATCACAGTAAGGTATCAGGGTAAAAACAGTCCACTGCGAGTGGCCAAAGCTTAGCAGAGCTTAAGATGCCATGGTGGGCTCATCACTTAGTAACTGCATCCAGTCATGCCAGCATGTACGGTGGCCTCTGTATAAGTAAGATCTACTCTGCACCGCACATGACATGACCTCTGAAATGAAAGGTTGTTGCAAAGCTCTACATTATGCTCATACCGATTACTGAGACGAGAAGGACCCCACTGTGCCTGTAAAAATCTACACCTCTTCAGGAAATGGGTACACTGTGTCACCCCTGGAAAGGCATTCTGAACAGCATCGGCAATTGCACTTGACATCATCCAGATGAGCATCCGCTGGGTAGTAGAAGACTCTGGCCATCTCGTCACTGACATCAAAAATGCGAATGAACCATTGGGCACCTGGGAAACGCTCTGATAGTTCCCTTCGCTACCAGCACAGGAGCGCCTTTGCAAACAAGCAATGTGCCAAAACAGCTAAACTGTTCCAGCTGTGCACACAAGGCTTGCTGATCTTCAAATTGCAAGGATAGGGACTTGTCAGTGTCAATGCTCAGGCTAGTCAACTTTGCTGAAGTTGCAATACGCAAGCAAGCTGTCTGGCACTTGACCCACAGGGTGTTCAGCTCAGAAAGCAAGGCACCATCCACCAGCATCAGACATCCTGGGGTACCCACGGCTGGTGCCCTCAGCGACAAAGTTGTCAGATTGAGAGACTGCGGGACACCGTACCATGTCTTACCAAACAGAATCCTGTAGCATGGCCAATCCACAGACTCAAACAGGTGATCCACATGCAAGTGAGCAATGTGGCACTGCTTCATACAGGATGCCCTATTCACCACATGCTTGGCTGAGCAATTGATGGCATTGGAGCATGCCTCAGGAACGCGGACCACAAAGGAAGCATGGTGGCAAAGCACACACTCTGCAGCTGCACACAGCCACGCATGTTCACAACATACTCCTGACCCTTCCACAACTCGGAGCACCACGACCTTGAGCCCTCCACCAGAAGTGTTTGCAGGCATGGCAGGGAGCTTAGGCTGCTCCAGCATTCATCAGATATCATCTCCCTGGTCTTGAGCAGGAGGTGCTTGAGCTGGAGCATAGGCGGGGCCAGATCAAGTGCTCCAATGCTCAAAGACAGCCCTCTAAGCTTGGCAGAGTGCTCAAAAAGGATGGCGTTGACCCATTTATTTATGATGCTGCTGCACTCAGCTCTGGAAAATGGCGGGCAGCAATTGATCAGCTGCAGCAGGTTTGGCAGCTTAGGAATGCTGCCAGGGACTGACACAGACTTTTCCAGTTCATCAGAACTGTCGTCATTGACATTGAGGTAGATGGAAAGCACTCCTATGTCGAAAAAGTGCAAAGCCAACCACTTGGCCGCCATTCCTGTCTTTATGGCCACGCTGAGAGTTTGGCCATTTAGCTGCACCTGTTCACCCACGCCTTATTGATTTAAAGCTCTCCGGCATGCCTACCGTTTGGAGAATTTCTGAATCCAACACAGATCTGTCATATTACCTTTCGGAATGCCTTGCACACACATTGTGCTTTCGCCCAATACTGCAGAGGAGTCTTGCTTGCTATGAGGGCCCAAACCTCACTCGGCAGGGCAGGACGACTTGCTCGTGCCTTCATCACGAAGATTTCGACACTGCTTCAGCATCTCTTTCTTCAAAACAGGCGTCTGAACCATCCGCAAACTTCATGAGCAGCAGGTCATGGACTCCAGCTGATCCCCAGCTGGTTGAATTATCGATAGAGTAACTCCCTCGTCATGCCTAAACAGAATGTAAGCCTCTGATTTCTTGTGGCTGCTTGCAATATGCGGCACTCCAAGGGCACAGATAATATCCACGTTCTGGCGCTGGCCCCCTCTGCACCTGTGAGGATTCTCCCACCCCCTCCTTCAGCCCTGGCTAAATATGGTATGGCAACCGTTGCCGGCAGACGGTGACCGTTGCAACTCAATTGACAGTTCGGACACGTGCCAGCATAAGTAGATTTGCAGTTGATAATTTTGCATGCCATGCAAGCAACTTTTGAATCAGCAATGTGTTTACCCTCAATTTCTAGCTGCCAAGTACCAGAGGTGGCTCAAATCATTTGTGAAAGGACCACCCAGTTCAGCCGTAGTACTACTATAGTACCCACTGCCAGTGTCACACTACATCCATGCCAACGAGCTCGTTAAAAGTCTCACCGAGGCTCTGTCAAAGGCGCAGCTGCCCAAAATGTCAAGTGATCGATCAGATATCTCAGTGCAGATGCCTGTGCAGCTGCTTTGCGCACAGCAGTCAGCTGATCACGTCTTTACGCATGACAACAATTGTCATTATGCACTTTGCAATCAAACATGCGGACTGCTTGACCCTCTCAGCTGCCTTCCTTGTTTTCTTCCCCACCCTCCTGCTCTTCCTCTTCCAATTCCTCTATTTCCATAGGCTCCCCGTCGTCCGTGTACAGAGTCTCGTACTCGCACACAAAGCTCCCGCACGCCCTCAGCTCGCTGCAGTGCTGCACCTTGCCCGCAGCCTCCAGCCTCGCCATCTCCTGCAACCACCATTGCAGGGCAACCCGTCACAAACAGCGCAAAATAGATCATGCATGCTATGCATGGACTCTGCACCCTGCAGTCACAGCCATTGGGTGCCGATTCTACTAGCCATGCTCTGAAGTCCGATCTGCAAATTGCATTAAACTTGTCTTAGCTGCCGCAGGCAAGGAATGTCTGAGCACTGCTACATTTGGAGAAGGGCATCTGCCATTCCACCTGTGCTCGCGCAGTGCCCATATGCGTCTTGCATTAATTGTTTCAACTAGCAGTAGTCTTGGCCTCAGGAGTCCAAGGTGCCCTCGAACCCAAACTCATGTTCAAAATCAAAGTGGGAGAGAACGCTGCGCACCTGATGCCAGACGGGCACGCGGTCGACCTGCTCCCGGCAGGTGTGCTGCGCGACTAACCCCATGCCCCAGGCAGGTGCGCGGCCCTCCGCGGCACATGCCGCCATGTTGGCGCAGCTGCACTGGCAGCCCCCATTACGGGCCCAGCTGACGTTCCCGTAACGGAACGGCTCCTTCGCCGGCGAGTCAAACACCACCCACCTGATCCACCCAAGAGACACCCATGCGCTCACTCTCACTTTCTAGCTTGGGTAATTCACTTGTCTGATCAACACGGCAACATCACTTGAGAGACTGACTGCCTGTGCAGTGCCCATGTTCCAAATGCAGCTCCTATGCAGGGAACGACATTTTCTATACTGTTGCATACTGCAACAGGCTGCATGTAATGTGAGCCACCAAAGCCAACTGGTGCACACCTAAGATCCTCTGACCTAGTGATCAGCAATGGATCTCTAGTACAGATTCTCTAGAGTCCACTGCAGAAGTCTCGACTTTGAAGCACACACAGCGGCCTTCCAGTTAGAAACTTCCAAACAAACCAGGCATACAGAGTTAAAGCTGTGCGCGCCTTCGGCGGTCGTTCTTGGGGGTGAGGTCGGAATAGTAGATGCTCAAGTAGTGGTCAATCTTTATATCCTCGCCGTCCAGCTGCCAGGCAGTTGTGTGGAAGTCGTCCGTGGGATGGCGTGCCCGCGCCACCATCAACTCAGCCGTCAGCGCCATGCGCTCGGCCTGCCTCGCGTTGATTATGTAAGCGTGGGTCCCCCACGGCATCGCCTCGGGCGCCACTGCATGCGACAAGCATGACTCAGCTCAGTCCAACCCACTGAGTTGTGTATTCAAATGGAACTACCCACTCAACCAGAGAAATTGAAAGTTGGGGTCATGCGCTCCCGCTGTGCACATTCATGAACTCTTTGCTGAACCAGCCCGTTTGCAAGCCAATGAGAGACTCACTGCCCTGGTGCAGTCACACGTGCAGTCACAAAGACCTGGCTGCTGTGCATGCTAGTCCTGCAGCAGCTTTGTGACAGAGGGCTCAAGAGCTTCACCGGCCAGAGCTGTCAACAATAAGCAAAGTGTCTGCAGTGGTGAATCACCAAGCTCTGAATGATAGTCAGGTGCAACTGCTGGCTTCCCATCGCGTGAGGGTCTCTCACTGCTTCCCTTCACTCAGCTCTGGCCTACAATGATTTGCCGACACGATTCAAGGGCAGGACATCCTTCAATAAAGCACCCTTCAATAGAAGGAACAAAAAGAAGGGGAACCCCACCGTAGACAGCCTCTTTGGACACGTTGAAGTGGCGGGGAATCATGCCCACTGCGATGTACTCATAGTTGTGGGGCACCGCCGCCCAGTACTTTGGGAACAGCGTCAGGAAATCGTCATGAAATACCACGTCATCCCTGCACATGCATGCCGGCTTTTCATGTTCTCTGCCTTGCGAATGACGTTGCTTAGCGGCCCACACTCTGCAGCACCCTGAAGCTTCAATCAGTACTACAAGAACTTGCATTGCAGCAAGACACCTACATTATTTATCTGACAGGTGACATCGGTGCTCTTGGCTTTATTGCAGCTGGCCAGACTTGGCAATGGCCACCTTGAACTCTGTCCAAACCAACCCCTATGCTGCACCTACTTTAGGTCAAGCTGCACTGTGTTGAATGCCCTGCTAAAACTCGCCTCACAAACAGCGCACTACTTGAAAGGAGAGCCCAGCTGGACAACTTTTGCAGCTGTCTCCCATAATTTCCTTATCAAAGATATCCCAACATTGCCTGGGTGATTGAACGGGTGTACTACATCTAAATATGGCTTTGTATTTTAGGCAGTGTCAGAGAGGGAGCGCACTCGAAGACCCAGGCGGCCTGGTGCTGGCTGGCGGCGAGTGCCTTCCACACGTTCATGTGTGATTGCGTCAGCCCAAACTGACAGTCGTCCGCCGACCCAGCCGGCACACACTCTGTGAATTCCTCCAAGCTGCCCAGCTGCGCGCGAGGATACAATCGGCACATCAGCACACATGGCACCTCAGCAGTACGGGCTATAAGGGTGCAGCCCAGCGTTAGGAAGAGACATGCACAAACCCAAAAAACCAGAGTTGAAGTGGCGCTGATACTGAACGTATGCTTGCATGGCATACTGAGTCCCTTTTATGTGATACTCTGTACTTCACCTTCTCACAAGCCGTAGCACAGCAAGGTAATTGTACAGTGATCTTGATTGAAGAGCACTCCCGACCAGCCCATAAGTGCAGACATTGTTGCAACATACAGCGTGCCACATTTATATATGAACGGCATTCTGCATTACTGAGACACTGGACTCGAATTGCCACGCTCTGGCGCAGGTTGAATATCTCCCATCTCTTGTCATCCAGACCAAGCCAGGACTGGCTTCAAGCATCCCTGCTTTGCATATTATGCGAAAGATTGGCACTGAGGCCTTGGGGCCCAGAAAATCACAACACACAGCAAGCCAAGCGGACCGCGCCCACTTGCACGCTCTTGATGCCGTCGATGACTTCGACATCCAGGCCGAGAGCGGTCAGCAGCTGGAGGGAGTAAGCGCGCTTGGGCTCGTCCGCGGGCAGGCTGATGAGATAAGCCTTGGTGGGCGGCTGCGGGTGGCGCCCGCACTCCTGCTTGTGGCGGCAGAAACCCTCCCACGCCTGCCACAACCCCCATATTCCCCTTCGTCAAAGGGTTGCTGGTGGTAATGGACACCTCTGGACCCCGGCATCCAGACGAGCTGGACAATTGTAGGGATGGCATGCACAAGACAAGCTTGAAAACTGGTGATTGAAGTCCCGGATATTGTAGGATCACTGCATCTGACACTGCATCCTGTTTGGTGCGCAGGAGCCCTGCTCAGATCAACAGCATGCGGACCGACTCCTGCGTAGTCATCACCACGTCCAGGCAGATTCGCTGCAGACTCACATGAGGCATTTCTGCTGCAGCCCGATATTCTGCTCGTCGCAGCTCAAGGCAGCATGCCCGCGAGCATAGTCATGCCCTCTATACCCTCCCCTCCCCTCAAGATGAAATATCTCAATATCTGCACGCCCATACCTACCCCAATACTCCGCCCCTGCAAAGTAAGACTGTGTGTCCCGCATTACAATGAAGTCCACAGGGGGCACACCTGCAGGAGGGGTGACTGTGGCTCTGTGCTGCCGCCGTCCTGCTTGGCTCGGCGCAGCATTGACACTCTGGTGGAGGTGGTGCGAGTTACTGTGCCATCCTCCGCTGTCTGCCAGCCAGATGCCAGGCAAAATAACGACACTGCCAGCACTGCGCAGAGTGCCAGCAGCTTCAACGACCGCACCATGGCCTCTCTATGTGGTTTTCTTCCACTGCCTCCGCTGCTGAGCATGTGCTGATGTCTCTGTCACCTAGGACATCCTGGCTCAGGCCCAGCCTGCAATGGCACAGAAACACTCCTATCGCGCAAGCCTCAGCAGCAAGATCTGTGGAATGCAGGACAAAGTACAGAAGTACTTTGATACTGACATTGCTCTTGTGAAAGCAGAGAAGGTGCACGTGAGGCCAATACGATGCAGGGAGGAACTCACCTGGAGGTATCGCCAAAGCTTGCAGTACGACCACGGGAGTTCAACGGTCCTTACGAAGGCGATTGCATGCCTTTAGCTGTGGATGATGCCTAGCGACAACAACGAATGAAAGATCAATTATGTAGATGCACCAGAAGGCACCATCCAGCGATCTTCCTGGAACAGCAAGAGCGATCAAGAGCCTTCAAATGGCACTATATGAATCTTTGTAAATACCTTACATCTAGCAGCTTATGTGTACTAAGTATTCGTTAAACCTTATGATTAAGTTGGCAACATCTTGTGATATTGGAGGATGTTGGGCAAGTGACATCGCCACTCTCACGCGTATCACCTGTACGGGGCTGTGTGTCGATTTAAACTTCTATTTCTAGGAGCTAGGACTCCTACTATGTCCGGACTGCCTTGCCTGGAAACTGGCTACCAGAATCGAGGCCGAGAGGGGCAAGATCCTACTGGCCTTGTCGTGCCAGTCCGATGATGAGCAGATCGTGGAACAGCATTCCAATCGTATCAAGTTTTTCCCAAATTCTTCAGTCTTTGGGGATGCGGAATTCAGGAATCGACAGGGGGACGTTCCGGAACGTTCCGGAACCCACTCGGGACAAGCCTTCCGGAGCCAAATCTGGCTCACCATGCATGAATGGCTTCGCTTGGAGATTTGCCGCACGATATGAGGTGAGGTGGTAAAGCCGCGTTTCGCATCTAGCCAGGCAAGGTGTGCGGAAAGGCACCCTGAAGCTCACTTTATGGCGAAAGCTTATGAGCTTTCAGCCCGGGCTCAGCGTGCAGACTCTCGGAGAACCCGGCTCCGAGCCGAGGCCCGTGCACGAGACTCCAGCTGGTTGGTGCAGGCATATATATGCATGCGTAGAATGTTAGCTGTGAGAGTTGCCAGCAATAGTTCAAGTGGAAGCTGCACAGTACAGCCTGCAATGAAGTCAATGTTGCAACATCATATGAATGCACTGGGTCAAAACCCGCGATTTCATTCAATTGCAATGCAGCATTGTGGGTACTTGATCGAGGCTACTAGCTGCACATGAGCAAATCCATAAAGCATACTGTTTACAGCCATGATCATGAAGAAAGCAGCGGCTAGGTCTACAGAGAGATAACACAGGAGCAGAACGCATGAATGCTCAACAATTAGTATATACTATAATTGATATATCTGCAATGTGCACAGCCAAGCACTCTGCACTACAGGCGCCTATGCTGCAATGACAGTGGGAAAACAACAAACATTGTCTGAAAGCAAAAGCTTGAACGCATTGTGAAACACTCAGAGGTTCAAGGCTCTGCAAAGAGACCTGCACATCTAGGGTTGGTCTCTGTATAGGTGCAGACCAGTACGCGATGTCTGCAGCAAAGCAAACGCATGCCAGCTGGGCTCTTAGTAAGCAGCCACATTGCCATCAGGTTAACCTCACAGATTTCTAAGAAAGAACAACGGAATTGCAGACCGCATTTATAGTACCTACACAGCTTCGAACCGGGGCAGCGCAAAACAGACACAAGAAATGCTGGATATGAGACCCCTATGGACACAACAAGCGCCACCTGTCAGATTGTTTCCAGCAAAAGCAAGAAAGAGCCCTGTGCAACCAAGATTGGGTTTCTCTGCAAACAGCGCTCTAGAGAACACTGCACACTGACCTGCTGACACAGACTGAGCAGAAGGCAATGCAAGCAAAATATTAGTCATGCATGACAATCTCTGCATGCGCAACTTGCAGTCTACAGCACATGCCACCACTTCCTACACCGCCCCCGTCCCAAATCCCTCTAGGGTCCAGGGGGCACGTGAAAAGGACACAGGGTTGTGGCAGGTGCTAAACCCCCAAGCACTGCTCAAAGAATGCACGGCAGAATTCGCTCCCCAAAATCTCAGGACAGGGGGGCCGTATCACAGGCCCTGTTTTCTCCCATAAGCAACCCGGCAAATTTTGTGGTCTCAAGCGTACTTCTAAGCACATAGAATCAGCGTCCAGCTGAAGATGTAAGAAGGCTTGTTGCCTCGACATCAGGTCTGCTTCTCTCCCAGCATCAGACAGCTCCAAATAGGGGTGCACACGGGCTGCCACTGAAAAGGGAGTACCACATTGGAAGGCAGCGAAAATTTGGTCTTGTATTTCAGTTCTAACAAAGCCTTCCAGTTGCAACCCACGCGGGAGAGGAATTGTCCTTGCAGCGACACAATAAAGAAAGAAATTTGCCCTAAGCAGAAGCCCACTGCTAGCAGGGGGCATCAAAGCAGTCACTGACATGCAAGCCCAAGATGGTTATTAATCCAGTTGCACCGGCCAGCATTTGGCCAGTGCACTAACAGAGGAAGATCTGTGGGCAGAAAAAAGAGAGAGATTTTGTCCCTTGTGTAGCGCAGCACTGAATCAATATCCCAGAAGCTCAAGCTGAAATGCTCACGGCAACAAACAGAGGCAGGGAAATGTGCAAAACACATGACCCAAGGCTCCTGTCAAGCAAAGCATGGGGAGCGGGGGCTTCCTAGCAAGCATGCCTCCCCAGAGAAAATGCCCAGCACAAAACCAGTAATGCTTTGTCTGCAGCGAATTACTCCTACTACCCAGCTGTGGCAAACTTGAATTTGTGAAAAAGGGCGCTCTCATCGCACATTCGTACGTGCACATGCCAGTCCCATCAGCCTATTCTGCAGCCAGCCGTTGGGCCGCCGGTCCAATAATTTATCACTTGCCAAAGCGAGCACAAAGATGAATTTGAAATCGCATGCCCTGGTGTACACCCAGTCACCCACCCCAGTGGGCAGGCCCCTCAAGACACTCTTGCTGCCGAGGAGCTCATTCATGCGACCCTCTGTTTGAACATCATATTTGCACAGACCCTGTCGGGCTCAGAACAAACCAAAAATTGGGTGAATCAGACTGGGCTTTCTGTGGTCCTCTGCCTGTTGTCTGCCCCTGCAAGATGCACGACACCGCCAGTACCAACACTCGTACACAAAGACTCTCTTGCAGCACAGCAGCCGCCGGCATCTCTCGCTTGCCCATCATATTTCTCCAGGAGCCTGCATGCTTTGCAGCCAAAGCACGCCTCATATGTACCCTTGGCCTTTCAGTCCCCCAGCGCAAGCCACATGACCCAGACGTGTCATCACCACCCGGGTGGATTCGCACGGCCGGGGGTGACTAAGCTCTGAGGTGGCTGCCCAGCAGCGCGGCCTGGTGGCGGCTGATGAAGGCGGCGTTGAGCTTCTCCACGTCGATGGGTGCCAGAGGGTCAAAAGCATTCTCCTTGGATGACAGGCCCATGCCGCCCGCGCCGAATCCCGCCCCTGGCAAGCCGCCGAGGCCGCCCGTCCCAAAGCCCTGCATAAGCATCCACAATAATCCGTCACCTTATTTACAATGAACATGCCCCTTGTTCTTGTCCATTTGCACAGAAAACCCTCCCTGCAAGACCCAGGAGAATTGGGAAATAGCCTTTGCAACCAATTCTGACACAGAATAACCTGAAGAGGGCACACAGGACAGCAACATCATGAGGTGAACAATACTCTTCTCCTGAGCTTTAGCTGCCTTTTCCCTTTAGGATGCAACATACAGCACGACGCTTGCTCACTTGACAGGTATGCTCCCATTATATAGCTAGGTGCTGCACAGCGCACCTGGTACAGGTTGGCATCAGGGTTCTGGGAGGCAGCAGCCGCATAGTACGCCGAGTACGGGTCCGAGGTCGCCGTGGCTGCGGCCGGGGCAGCGCCAAAACTGCCATAGCCATTTGCATCAAAAGCGCCGATTCCTGTGCAATGCAGACCTGTGCTTGAACGCTTGTCTCATGGTAAGCCACAAACCTGATGCGAATGCGGTAAGTTTCAAGACTACGAAGCATTGCAGTATTAGATCAACTGATCTACGGCCCTGCATACATGCGCAATATACGAATGCTGATCAGTGCTGCATGAAGTATCCAAACAGTCACACCATCCATCCGCTGGTCATCTCCTCCTGCCGCACATTGACTCAATACGGTCAGAAACCCCTTGCTGAAAAAATCAAACTCAACCTGCTGTTTTCGGGGTGATCAAAACATGCAGTGGCGCCTCACCGTACGTGGCCGCGCCGGCTGCGCCGTAGCCGCCGGCCGCAGGGAACGTCCCCGGGTAGGGCGCGGCTGCGGCGGCTGCCGCATTGACGGCGGCACGCGAAGTGCTGGAGCGGCCCCAGGAGATGCGGATGGTCGACCCGCCCAGGATTTGACCCTGTTCAACCACAGCTGCAACCGTCAGGCGTGTCCGCAGTCAAGTACATCTCATCTCCAGCATCCCCTGTTCTATCAAGATAGTAGTCTCAAGCACACACGGAAAATGTACATGAAGTGGGTATTTGGAGGTTCAGACTCAGTAAAAGTCTCCGTAGTCATCTGGCATGGCATGCACCAGCCAACTCCAAGGGCCAACATCGCCTGGCCGTCGAGCATCAGCAATCTTGGCCCGCAACTATGGCAGTGTGCATGCCATGCCAACAGAATAGCTCCACATAAAATTGTCACACAATGCAGATTACAAAAAGGGAAGGGCTGCAGCGCGCCTGCATCTGCGCCATGGCGGACTCGGCGGCGGGCCGCTGCACGAACTGCACGAAGCCGCAGCCCTTGCCGGGCGGGATCTTGGTATACACGATGTCTCCAAAGCGGCCGAATAGCACGCGCAAATCGTCCTCGGAGACTCCCGATGAGAGCCCGCCGATGAAGAGCGTGGTGTTGTTCGGGTCGTAGTCCGACGGGTGCGGCTGCGATGCCACCGGCGCCGGGGCACCCTGCACGCGCAAACGAAAATTTTCGAAATCAAAATTCTGACACTGTTTTGGTAGCTTGGCTGATGTGCGCGACATAGAAACGAAGTCCATGGTGTGTCTCAAGAGTTGGCGCCACCAAAAGCAGCACACTCAAGAGGTTTGCAGGCCTTTGTGGAGCAGGTTTTTGAATCACAACAATGCAGAAGCTTCAGCCAGGAATGCTAGTAGTGGGACAGCCATCACAACTGGCAATTGATCCAAGTGCGCTCACCATGGTGGCGGTCTGGCTCTTCTTGGCGGTGGCGATGGAGACGCGGATGGGGCGGCTGTTGATGACGTGGCCAGACATCTCAGTCAGCGAGCGATCCCTCTCCGCCTCATTGCCGAAGCGCACGAATCCGTATCCCTTCGAACGCCCTGTCAAGGGGTCTGTGATCACCTGCACAGCGCCACGCAACAGGTCTCAGCAGCCTGCATTCAGTGGCATGCAGATGATTCTTTCCCTCAATGAGAGCCAGAAGGGAACAGCAATTGAAAATGAGCTACAGATCCTGCTACCCAAAGAGCAGGAAGGATGAGGGAGTTCAGTGTAAATTAAAAATGCATGCAGGTCACCTTTGCGCTGCGCACAGAGGCAAAGAACTGCCTGAAGTGTTCTTGGAGAGCGTAATCCGTCACATCTGGGGCCAGGTCGCCAACGAAGACGGAGTAGTCAGCTGCACAGCATTGGAAGGCAGCAGTCAGAGCACTGAAGGGGGCATGCAGCATGGCCGACAGGTGTCTGCCAACCAAATTTGCGCGATCTTTTTGGAGCCAGCAATCGACAAGAAAACTCTTTTGAGTCGGATAGGACCGTAACAGCAGCAAAGGGATGCCCGCAAATAGCTCACGGAGGCCAGCGACTTTGGCTGGTCGCGCAATGGGTGGCACACAATTCTTGTCCCCCCAGCGTGTGTACGATACAGAAAGGTGGGAACTTACAGTCGGTTGTAACTTTGCCGACTCCGAAGGCTGCCCAGTTCAAGCGGAAAATCTGGTCGGTGTTGGGAATGGGGCAGCCGTTGAATGTGCGCAGGACTTGCTCTGCGGCCTCGTGCGTCGCGAATTCCACAAATCCGTACCCCTCTGACACTGCTGTATTCTTGTTCCTGATGATTTTGACGCTCACCAGGTTACCAGTGCCTGCATCCAGCAGCGACCCTGAGTCACAAGAAGAGAGTTTTTGGCAAGATGTACATCAAGATGACTACCACGATCTCGAAAGGGTCAGGGCTAGCTTCTCGCAGGGCATGCATCACGCACATTTCGTTACTTGTGGAAAACATGTCTTAAGGCAAGGCATAGGCCGCTTGAAGAAGGCACAGACAACGGCTGTCAAAACCAATGATACCAGGCCAAGATCCACTGGGCGCACCAACAAAGATACTGTAAATGAAGGACTCGTCCATCCAGTAGGCGAGGTCTCCCATCCATAATGTCTTTGTGCCTTGCTCTGCGGTCATCTCCGCCATGATGCAGCTCTAGGAAGTACAGGCTCCAATGTAAACGTAATCAGAAAGTTCTCTGTTTCACGCACTGCCTCGTGGCTGTACTGGCCTGGCTGAGGAGCCCAGGTGCGGATCTGTCTACAGCAATGCTGGGAGGAGTGAGCTGCAATTGAGTTATGTCATGCTAAAGTGCAGAAGAGCTCCTTTTTCCTTGGTGGCTTTTGTCCTGCTGATTGATGATGTCAGCGGGACACACATGGACAACGTCAACCCCGGGAGCCAAAACAGGCGGAGCGACAAGTGTCATTTCCAGATTTCCCTCCTTGAACCTACCAGGCAGCTGGTTCATGCAGTGAGCCGAGCCGATATTTTTGTTCCGTGTCCCTTCCTGATGATGTGGGATCCTGGAGGGTTTATGAGTGCTGTTACCATTTGCAAAACCGGTGAGCTGCCAACTGGCTACGAATGATAGGGCATATATTGGACGGGCGAGGAACAGCCGAAACCCCCTATTTCGGCCAGACTTCGGCCAATGCCTATTTGGCCGAAGTGTGGCCGGGAATTGCCCATATTTTCCTTTGTCGGCCATTCCTCGGCCAGGACATAGGCCAGAAATAGACCAGCAAGTTTTTCGGTTTTAATGCACGATATCTGCAGATGTATGCTGTGCAATTGCTCTACAGGATGCGTACACGCACTTTCTGAAGGATTGTGGCCGTGCGGGAGCCTGGCAGCAACGGCAGACCATCACTTGTCCATGTATCTTGATGTACTTTGTTACAGTCTTCGAATACAGCAATAATAGCTTCAGCCCCTCGCTGAATGTCTCCACAATTGTTTTTAGAGCAGCACAATCAAGCAATCTCAACTCTCTGCAGAAAGAGCAACAGTGCACATAGCGCAGGGCCCTTGTGTAGAACTGTCTGATGTTATCAAGAAAATGCGTGATACACCGTCGCTGCAACAGCTGGGAACCCGCGAAGGTTGTGAAAAGCGGTTACGTATCTCTAAAAGGCACGAGAGAAGGTGGGTGAGAACCCACAACGTGACTGATTTGTTTGAATGTTAAGCTACCACCGCTTTTAGTCCTGGGCATTTCCTTACCTGTTCTACCTTGCGAGGCACAAGCTGCTCCTGTCCTGAATTCAACCGTGTTCGGACTGTGTTGGAAGGTTTCTGTAGAAGTTATGCAGTTGTGTGCTGCTGGAGCTTTTTGGCAACAATCGGTTCCGGGGCATGTCATCAGCCCAACAGGGTCTGCAGATTTCTACCAGTGGTGAAGGATGGCTTCCCTTGCAGTGCTATGCAGGCTCAATCTTACCATGCACGGCGCACATCGCACGAAAGCTGACATGAAGGAGAATGCCAAGGGGGCATTGCGCAGATGTTATATGCATTTTTAATGGCGTATTCAAGTGATCTCTGCAAGCTTCCTTTGCATGGCCGATTTGCAACTTGGCTGCAAAAACAGCACAATGCATGCTGCAGCTTCCCCATTGAGGAAATCTACCCAGTGCCTGGGCAAGAGCTACTTGTCAGAGCTGATATCCAATTGTAGACACACATGCATGCTGTCTATGTTTAGAAGTGCTTGCAGCATGTCTGCTCTTTTAAGGTCAGCTCACTGCCTTAAGCTAGGACTAGGTCTTGGTGGATCTACTGGCCCAGAGAACCGGGATTATTCTATACAGTAAAATAGAAGGCGCATGTCTCTTCACATTGCAACACTGTTCGCGGTACCAAGCTGGCCGCTGGGCCGCGCAGAACTGCCATTCAGGAAAGCCTTCTGTCCTATTGCGCTATCCCCGCCGAGGTGTTTAGATGCCAGAGCCCCAGCCACGAGTAGCCGATCAGGATGGCCGCCATCTCCCATGTCATGTGGACTATCGACGATATGGACACCTTGGATCCTGCGCACCATGAACAAATACTTGTAATTTTTGTTTTGTACTGTAATTCAAGTATAGTCCCTACAGCATATGAATGGCCCAACCCGCTCCTTCTGTTGCCTCTGTTGCAACCGCCGGGCTGTCTGCTTCTGCTTCTGCAAACGAGGCGGAGCCAAGGTTGCCAGCCCATGTGGTGTTGGAGAAACTAGGCCATCGTCAAAATCACACACAAATGTAGACAAGAGATTTCAGCAGCCATTGTCATATTTGGTAGGTAAAACAGAGCGCACCGGGAATTTCTGTCCAGTTCACAGAGGTTTCCACGATGGGGATGCCCAGCCGCTGCGCCAGAAATATGAGCTCCACATCGAAGCACCACCGCTGCAGATGCTGATTGCTGTAGAGCGCCCGCGCCGCCCCTCTTGTGAACAGCTGCGCGCATGCACGCAGGGCACATCACCACATGAATAGAACATCGGTCTTTCGTTGAGCCATGTGCAAGTCACCCGTTCTGATACACTCTTGGTGCAATGCACATCATAAGAATACCTAGAAACATTGCCAGGAAAGCAAGTCACGCCAGTTCGCGCCGCAACAGCATGCACTTGTTGAACTTAAATATCCTCTCGAGGGAGAGAGAGCAAATGTCCAGGGCTCTGTGGCGAACTGCGGCTGCTTGAATGAGGGTACATTTATTGATCCCCACAGAGCAAGCCAGGCGTCTCTTTGCGTCCTCGCCTTTGATGTCAGGTGAAGCAGATCAAGCACCAGATTCCAGCGATTTGCAGGAGTGAATAGGAGGCACCTTGAAGCCACACTGGGTGTCCTTGACGGCGCCGCCAGCGACGAGGAGAACCACAAAGTGGAAGCCATGCATGAGGAAGTTGCGGTACCAGGTACGCCGCGATATGGCCACCGCCTCCAGATGCGCGCGCGAACCCACCGCCACCGCCGCGCCCCCCGCTCTGTCCACCCTCCTCACCGGGGGCCCCTCCCCATTGTCCGCCCCTTGGAGTGTGCAATATAGGGATTTGTTTTAGTACCCCAACGCGAATGATTTTCTTCTGTAGTTGTGCCACCTTATTGGAGGATCGTGGCCCCACATTGTGTCAGAATGGCAGCTTTGACACAAAGATTGTTGCATGTCCCAACATGCAGCCATGCGGCCAAGTATGTATGAATTCCAAACATCCTAATCAGAGATGCTCAATATACAGTACACAACATTAAAGGATAAGCCAGCTGAATATTCAGCATCCATGCACACTGGCAGTGGGACATTGCAGCGACATCCCCTGTGCTGCTTTGGGGCTTTGACCAGTGCACAGTTGAGGGCTGCAGCTTGCCTTTGCCGCTGATTGTGGCGAGCGCTGCTTCCAGCTTCTCCACGTCGGAGACTCGGGTGGCACCATCCGCATCCATGAAGAGCAGGCGCTCGCCGCGGCCCGCCAGCATGCCCGCCTTCACCGCATACCCCTGCAGCAGAAGGGTGTTTATTGTCAGAGCTGTAGCGGATGCATTTAGCCTTTGTAGCTTCACCATATAGAGTGTCACAGGTGGGCTTTTTATCTCCTGACACCTGTTGCTCGTGCTGGATCATCAAGATCACCGGTGGTTCCCAAAGCTTGCGTTTGCTGAAACCCCTGTAATGCATGCCTTCAGATCTTCCTCCCTTCCTGGTGCTCTGTCGCTCTTCCTTCTGGACTGGGGAGTAGCTTCTGCAGTACTGACAAAGGTGCTGGGCTCTCATGGCAACAACAGCGCCTGTCCCCTGCCATCAACAGCATTCTACTCCATGCATGTTGCCGCCAGTGACTATTTTTAACAGAGCACTGAAACTAGAATAATGCCAGACTTGATGAGCCCTGCGCCGGCATTTTTGTTCCACAACATGCAGCATGCATTACACATCCTACAGGCTTGTATTCCAATCTTTATTGGATGTGAAAGGTGGCATTAGGCATGCCCACTACAGCAAATGAGACCATCCATCTGGTCTGTGTACACACTGTCGTGGATGGTTAGATGCCAGCCTGTCGAAAATACAATGCCCTCCATGATGAATCATGCCAGCATTGCCGAACTCGCCGTAGTTTGGACCTGCAGAGCTGAGCAGCTGTGGTAATCTGAATCTGTCTGCCTAATTTGAAAACCGACACGTTTATATGGATATCCCTGACACTACTTGCTGTGGTCCTGTTTCAGTGGCACATAACCACAAGTTGGACCCGCAATTTGAGACAGCCCCGAAGCGGTTGATTGCGCCGCCGCACCTTGCCGTAGTTACGCGGCAGCTGCAGCACGCGCACAGCGTCCACGCCGTGCTTTCGCACGTACTCAAATGCCGTCCGTACAGTGGCGTCCATGCTGCCATCGTCCACCACGATCACCTCGTACGTGAAGTTGGGCCCCTGCCTGTCCCGCCTCCCCTGCAGATACCTGCATTGGCAGCACAAAAGAGAGTCACAACAAGAAGTTACTTGAGTGCAGGATGTCTGCACTGTGTGCCTGTGTCCTGTCTTTCATGACTCAAAGTGCTGATCCCTTGACTGATGCGGGCCTGGCAGTGCATGCGTGCCTTTCATTTCAGGTGCCTTCATGTGAGCTGCCTGGCAGGTAAAGCTGCTACCTCAAGATCTGATGGATCAAAAGGGCTGTTTGTGTTCCATCAGGAGGCTTATTACATTGAATCAAGACAGAATGTTGTGCATCATCCTCTGGATGATCTCATGCCGTGAAAAGGATGGTGCATTTGCGGACCAGCGGCAAGTCGTGGGTGCCTTAGGTCAAAACCCATTGTCTTGCATGCAAAAGAAAAAGAGCCCCAAGAGTGTGGACATGTTTGGTTCTCACCGAAGTGTCTCATCCAGGGTGCTAGGTAGCCGCGCCTCCTCATTGTATGCAGGGACCACAATAGTCAGGGACTTGGTCGCCTCGCTGAATACTGACGGGGCGGATATCTGCACCAGCCAGCATCTACTATTGGATCTTTCATTCTGCTGCATTAAAGAGAGAAATCGCACAGAAATATTTGACAAACTTACCGTCACACGATTGATGGCATACACTGCAGCTGGTGCGCACCTTTTGGAAGGACGTTGGGCTCACAAAGAACCTCTCTGACACCTTGCTCGCTTCCTCCTCGTGTCTCGCAAACCAGGTGGCGAGAAACCTCATCAACAGCGTCAGAAGCACCACCTGCACGCACATAGCATCAGGCTTTGCTTCATCTTGTTTCCATTGGGAGTGACCTGCGATGGATCTACTTATTCTATCGCTATACCATCGCGACACAGCGCTGCCTGTATAGCGTAGGGGAGGATGTGCATTTAATTATCAGAAGAATCAGAAGAGGTTGAGGCCTCGGCCAAAGGAAGGCTGTGTCAGAGTCAGAATCCAGTATTAAGAGAAAACGAAGTGCGCACCAAGGCTGCAATGACTAGCCATACGGCGGTCATTGAGGATCAAAGAAAGGAGATCAAGCTGAAAGGTATCTGTTGATTAGAAATCTAGAGCTCTCCTTCTGAAGTCCTTCATGTGAAGGAACGCAAGCCACTCTACAAATCCTCCTGTTCAGTGTTCTCATACCCACAATCACACTGAAGCTTTAGCTCAATATATAAATGATATAGATAAATGATAGAGTCGGGAATGGAACTCACGATCCTTCACACCAGCTCTGAGCCCTAGGCAACATATCCCTCTGCTTAGAGAGAAGGGGTGGTAAATATATATAAGTCCAGATGTAGAACTCCCTGCTAGAGCCAGTCCAGGGGTTGCACCCTACAGATTACTCTTCATGGGAACGTTACACCATTTTGAGGACAGACAAAGTGAAGGCACCTGGAAAACACAAGACTGCAAGTTTTATTTGAAGAGTGATGATTGTAGCATACACGTTCTGCCCTTTTGCAGTGACGCTATTGGACGAAGTTGAATGCATCATGCATCATGATGAATCTCTGGCCGTGTACGTTTGGGCACTAGCAATCCTGATTGGGTTCCAGTGGTGTCAACGTGATACTCCACACTTTTAAACTGCTGCCAAACGCCTACGCACGCAACCCTGCTGCATATTGAATGACCTGCTCATCTCGCTGACAGGCCCCCTGACGTACTACGGCGGTAGTACCGGCGAATGCAAAAGCAGCGCGTGGGATTGCACCCAAATCTGAAGCTCAAGCTGGTGCACTGGGACATCCGCAAAGACAATTGTCCCAAGCACAGAATTGGCAAGACGGAAACACTGCTGAAATTCATCTGTTGGACGTCTTCATCTTCATAGGCGTGGCGATTGTTGTCTCGTTCGTTGCTGGATGGGTGGCGCATGACGTGTCTGACGGACACAAGCCAGAAAAGATGCAGGCGGTGCAGCGCTCCGGATGGCTCGGCCCATAGAGGTGGCCATTGTGGCTTCTGTCAATGCAAGGCTTTGCAGGCCCTGCCAGTGGTGGAATGCCGCCAAACATCATGCTCGCTGGTGAATTTTCAAATTATGCCTAGCAGGCTCGTGTGGTGATGGGCTTCATAAGTTCAAGTAGTGTTACAAATTGGAAACTTGAAGCATTCAAGTTTGCAAGTTGCCGTAAATATGCTGATCAAGTTTAGAATGTGGAATTTAGCCGCATGACCAACTGGTGTGCTGCCCTGGCTATTTGGGGTTGCTAAGAGTATTGACATCAAGGTTGGGAACTTGGAGTTTTATAAAAAGTTGGAAGCACACTGGCTGTGCCACAGGGATTGGCAATTACCACTGCGGCTGCTCGGACATGCATGCACACAGTGCTTCGAAGGAATCCCATGATTTTGTCAAAGCTTGCAGACTCTCGCACTGGAGCATTAAAATCTGCCCACTACTAGTAATGGCAAGCAGTCATTTTCTCAAATCACATCCCTGCGATTCAGGTTGCATGAGCTTCCTGATTCGTCTTGCAGGTCAAGAGTGTTGCCTGTGTAGGGTACTTAAATGCCCTTCATAAGTGCATGCAATGCCTCCAGTGAAGCGCCTGTGGCGTGCCACGGCATCCATTATGCCGGTACCAAATTGTATTATATATAGTGCACTTTGCGTCAGCTTGCACTTCGGCCATCCCGTCTGTCTTCACACGTGCTCGCCCTGGTCTTTGCGTTGCTTCCCACCACAGCTGTTCACATAGTGTACCTGTATATTTTCGATACCATTTAGGGTGCCTTGTGTCTTTTCCGTGCAGTTCGAGTAGGTTTCTGTGCGCATCTGACGGTTGGTAGTTTTGTCCCTCGTCCCCCTCTCACGTTCTTGCCTCCTTCACCTTTGTGATAGTGTCATGTATCCTTATATCACTTGTTACACCTTGTGTTGCATGTCCATCCTTCCTGTGCGCCTCTTGTGTGCGGTTTGTGTAGGTGACCGTTGGCTGTCGATGCCCTTAGTGCCCACACCTCCATGAGGCAGACACAGCCTGTTGCAGACGGAGATTAAGAGGGATACATTGAGGTGCAGCTGTGGTCGTTTCGGCTTCGTAATCCTGCCAGACTACACTTCAAGTTTTGCACTCAGCCATCTGCAGTTGTGGTGCCCTGTGACTTTCGTGAGAGTGTCTGGACGAACATTTGCCTGTTCTGACTACCTAAAGCTGTTTATTAGTTGTTTTTGCCCCACTCTGCGATTCCCTGCATGATATCCTCGACGTCACCCACAGGGTGTTGCGTCGCTGGCGGGCCAGAGGTGTCAGTTCCAGAGGGATACTGGTCTGAGACAGGGATTGCTTGATTGTACATGCTATGATATGCATTTGCTTGCTGTGCTGTGTAGCATTGTTTGGCGGTGGGGGTGATGGTATGTTCCTTAATACGCACGGCTCACTTGGACTTAGACTTTTAGTGTGATACCATATGGGCTGCAGACCAGACCTTCAGGCCCCACAGATGTGGCTGCAGACACTCTGCGTGTATGCCCTATGGCCTTCGGGCTTTGGGTTTGCCGACACTGTGAAAATAATAATAATAATAATAATAATGAGCTTCCTTTACTCTGGATATCAGCAAAACCTAAGCAGGTCTATTCGCAGGCGTGTCAAGGGTGCATGGAATGTTGCACAGCTCCCTAGTGGAAATTGGACACCCGTTTCAAGGTACCATTGTTGCTTTTGAAGACGCACAAGAGAACCAATTAACTAGAGGAATCATCAGTGACACATCTCAAGTACTAAATTGAAACTTTGTGAGGGAGGATCGACTGAGACTTTTAGAATTGACTGATCCGCTCAAGACGGCCGGGCGCGAGCTCTTCCTTGACTTTTGATGCTGTGGAGATGAATCCACACGTTCTCTGCTGTGCACTCTTCGCTGCTCTTGCATCTCGTCAAAAATTCAATGTGAGTTACACTGGCCGATGCCACAGTGCGCTGTACTTGTTGCAATAATCTTGCCGCATCACTCGAACCTCGGACGCAAGCGCTTCCTCCATGTCCAACGCCCATATTCAAAGGCATCGTGAGAGATTGCTTGAGATGTGCAAGGTTCTCTTGTATTACTGGAGCAGAACGTCTGCCATGCTCAAAATGCATTCCTTGCTTGCGCATGCATACCCGTTCCAGACAAAAACCCTCGAGATATCTGTGGGAAGCCACGGTGCAAGTGCTGGGATTTGAATGGGCTGTTTTTTAATTACAGGTGGTCACAATGCTGAGGACGAAACGTGAGAATGTCCTCCCCACCACTTTGGCAGCACCAAATCAAGGACCTGCAACACTCCCTGGAGGATCCCAGGACAGCGGCGGTACCTTTCGCTGCGCAGTCTGCCTCGATGATCACCCCCTGGAGGAACTGTTCACAGCCAGCATGTGCGGCCATGCCTGGATGTGCCGGGAGGCTGCCAGGAAGACAGTGCTCCAGGCCATCAGGTGAGCATATACATTGTTTTACTGGCAGTGTGGATCAGTCTGGGGAAAGCTTTGCAAGGAAAGGCGGTCAGATTTCAAATGGGAGACTGCAGAGCCCTTGCCTTGTACAAGCCGTCAGCAGGACTGGCATTATCCATGCGCGTTGCTGTAGAATCTATTCTGATCTTTGCGCAGGCTAGAGACTGCAAAGGTGTCCATGGCATATTCTGTATTTACCTTGTGCCCACAGCGTTGCTGCGAAGAGCACGTCTTGTCAGATGCTCTGCATGGTTTCACCTGTAGCCAACAGATGCTGTGATCCCTCTGCAGGGGCTCCAGCCTGCCCATCCCCTGCCCGATCTGCCAGGCCGGGGGTGAAGCACTCTGCGCCAGATGCACCTAGCCATTGAATGATCAATCCGCCAGCACCGGCAAGGAGTGCTGCTGCCTAGACCCAGACATGGCGCAGCTTCTCACTCCAGCGGAGCATGCACAGTATCAGCAGTGCAGCGTCCGAGCAGGAATCAATTCTAGCCCTGACATGGTACCCTGCCCCCAGCCAGACTGCAACGGAGCAGCCGTTGACTGTGCAGGTGAGCTCTTAAATTTAAATTCAAACTTTGAATGCTCTGCTCGAGCAAAGACGGCCCACATAAACTCTGTGCTATTTGACTGATCAGGTGAATCAGCGATCTGGTGCATAGCTGGCTGTTGTCAGTCGTTGCATTCCCTGTTGGGTTGTTTTAGAGTCATCACCTGTGAATCCTTCTTCATCCAAGCTGTAGTAAAGTCTTCCATGCGGCTCTTGCACAGTCTTCATGTGCAACATAATTGATACTACACCTGTGGTGTGGCAGAGGGAGAGGCTCCAATGCTGGTCTGCAACGTGCGCGAGCATACCTGGTGCAAGGCATGCCAGGTGGCCTGGCATGGCGGGCTGAGCTGTGACCATTACACCAGGCAGAGGGGTGAGCAGACATTGGACAATGCTTTTCAGCAGTACACTGCCGCAAATAGGATTGTGCGCTGCCCCACCTGCAACAATGGGCTCCAGAAAATTGACGGCTGCAATCATCTACAGTGTGTTTCCAATAAGTTTCTTTACCCTGGAATGTGTCAGATTTCTGATTATGTCCCAGTCACACATGCTTGGAGGATTGGTGCTAGAACCCATTTAATCTCAGCTAAAGCACTCCTTACGAAGGAGAAAGGATCTTCAATGAACCAGATCTGTTTGGCAGACCGCAATAAACAATATGTCAGATCTGCTCAGACTATCTGTCCAGCATGCCATCAGTGAGTGCCAATAAACAGGATCATGTTGGTCAGGCCTCCCCCGGACTGATGGGAAACTTTTGATAAATTGTCATCGTTGTTGATTGGAGGGTTCCCTGCAGGTGCACGGTCTGCCACACGCACGTCTGCTGGATGTGCGGCCAGCGCATGCCGGCGCGCGACCCCGACTCCCACTTCACAGCCGCCGGCTGCCAGGCAGTTGACATCCCCGGCACCGTTCATGCGCAGCCGGCCCCAATTGCACTTCCAGATGCAGTTCCAGAGGAACCCAGGCCGCGCAACAAAATCCTGGCAGCTGCCGCTGATGCATATTGCGCAGCCAGCCAGCTGGCAATCAGAGCAGGCATTGTGCGCACGAATGCCGAGTTCAGCGCGCTGGTCATTTCAGTGGCGGTCGGCGCTGCAATGGCGGATTTCCACTTTGCGAATCCCGGCTCGCGGCCGGTTCTGGTGGTCACTGTCAGGAATGTGAGCGCCACAGGCTGCGCTGTGGGCAGGGCGGCAAGGTATTGTGTGATTGGTGCTTCAAAATGGGGCGTCTTTGGTGTGAAATGGGTGCTGATCAAAGCGCGGATGAGAAGGCCGAGGGCAGAAGCAAACAAGCCCTGGTGGCTGAAGCGGCGTCTGAGGTGCAGCAGTGGCGGCTGCCGGATATGCCAAAGCCAAAGCGTCCGCGAGTGAAGTGCGTCAAGACCGGCTGGGTGGAGCACTGCACAGTGGAAGGCAACGAGAGTGTCTCTGAGATTTCAGTGCAGTTCTCAAAAAAATGTTGTTCAGTGGTTGCATGAGAAGCAAGATGAAGACAAGGAGGAAAGCAGGGGAAAATATTGACCGTTGAGTATCGGACGCTGGGTTGGTTTAAACCAACAAATTTGTTGAAGACCAGCTGCAGCTTTGTTGACAAGCGCTGCTACAAAGGACATGGCCAGTATTTCGTGTAGATAATGCATTGATGTCCAAGAATGTGGAACACCTTAACGTACTCACTGAGAGGTCCGCCTTTGCATGTCCAACGGACTGTGTGGCACTAAGCTGCCAAATTTGAAAATCATACGAAGACGTGCTCCTTGCAATCGGCCCCAACTTGGGATTTGGGATTTGAAATGGGACCATGCTGGCATTATGAAACCTGTTGGAAAGTCAAAGGCGCAGAACATTTCTCTTGAAGCTGTGGTGTGGGAGCATCAGAACAAGTACAGTGGAAAAGGGATTAAAGTGGCATTTTCTAATGAGTGAATTTCAACTAGGTCAAAACCCATGTTTTTCCAAGTTCCCTAAGGGGCACATACAAAAACTCCAAGGTTCTGTAAAAGCCCTGAGCCGTGTTTGACGAAAGAAAGGTCCAAGAACTTGGCACTCTGAACTTCGATTGAGCTCAGAATACGTGGAACTCACAGTGTACGACGCCCCTGAACATATCGAGTGCACAAGATGTCGACAGGATGGGGATACTCGTCTTTCATCGCCGGTGCTTGTTTCGGCGCTGCTGCTGTGATGCTGCCGACTGTCTCGGAGATTGCGATGAAGAATCTCCGCCAAGTGGGCCCTCGCTGATGCTCGAAACGTGCAATTTTTGAATCGCCGATGGCAGCGCAAGTCGTTTGTTCACATGAGGTGATGTCCTCACGTTCGACCAACCCGGGCCGCCCGTCACTGGCCGGAAAGACCGAACCCAACATTACTAATTTGGCAAAGTTTCATCACATTTTAAATGTGCCAAGTTGACACGCAACCGTACATTGTGGAAGCATAATAACGCACGTAAATCTAATTTAAAGATGTGGTGCACTGGCAGTCATGTGTTTCCGCAATGATCTACGGGTCCATGATAATGAGGCATTGATGGCCGCAAACAAGGAGTCGGATTTCTTGCTGCCAGTGTATTGCTTTGACAACCGACAGTATGACACACGCTACAACGGCGTTAGCGTTGAAGTGAGTCACCTTCCGAAGGAAGTTCCAATATTTGGTGCTTCTAGAAGTTCTTGCAGGTAATGCTGAACAGCCTATGGCCCACAGCAGCGCTCTTCCATTTGCAAAGTGTGCAAGGTGCTTCTCAGTGGAGAGGTCCATGCGCAGGTTCATCCTGGATTCCGTGGCGGATTTGCGCAAGAACCTAAGGGCTGCCGGCTCTGACCTCATTGTGCACATCGGCAAGCCTGAGGAGGCAAGTTTTAAAAGAGTCGTGCATCCACAATTCAGAAATATACTGAGCGTAGCAAACATGGACATAAAGCCTGCACTGAGTACAGTTGATTTCCCTGTCACAGATTGCAAGTCCGACAGCAAGATCAATGATTGCAAGCTCACTGACTACCACTACTAAAAGAACTATTATTGGCGGTAGCCATACTGGCAATTGCAACCAGCTAGTCACAATTTGCATCCCTCCAATAACTTATAATCATTGGTGAGAATGGTGAAGAAAGTGGGCGCCAGCAAAGTTTACTGTCACCCAGAAAAGAATTTCGAGGAATATTTCACGATGCCACCTCATTCATGAATGAGGTGACATCAGCATGGCAAAGAGAAGATGTTGCTCTGAACATGAGGTGGGGGACGACCTTATACTCACCTGATGAGCTGCAAACCAAAATAGAGCGATTGCCATCTACACAAAGTGCGTCCCATTTATCTTTGAAGGCAGATGACAATTTCAAGCCACCAAAAATTTCCTGCGGTAAAAAGACTTATTCACTGGAATTACTTTTAAATTTTCACACCACTTGCTCTAGAAGTTATCAATACCAAGTTGTGTGTCCAACAACCGTGATAGTCAAGACACCATGGGGTCAGAGGAGCATACATAATGTCAACAACGGCTCATCGAATCATTCATCATGATGATTCATTGATCCGGATGCAGGACACTTTCAGGCTCTTCTGAAATCTATACCTGTCAAGCAGCCACACTTAGCGCCACCTAAGCTCAAAGGCAAACCGCTGCAGAGCAGAGACATACCTTCCGGCAAAATACCTACTCCTGAAAACTCGGGCTTGCAGATAGTCCATTGCATGCCTGACAGCCCAAAAATCAAGGGAGGTGGGGCAGCCATGTAGCTCATGTTTCATGAATGCACAGCTTTAACTGTTTGAATTTTGCTGCATCTTGAGAGTTGTGCTATACAGAGCTTATAAGTAATTACTGAGTGTTCACAGCTGCCGAAACAAGTTACCATTTCTAAAAAGGATACAGCAAGGGCATGCAACCTCTACATGTCGACTTGCTAGAGCTTTGATTTGCAAGCTAAAGTGCGTATTTGTTCCAGGTGAAACTGAGGCGCTGGCACAGCTCAAGCGTCTCTTGTATACACAAACTAAGAGCAGCGGCATAAGGGGCAGCTATGTTGCATTCTCATACACCGAAATGCCCTGGTTGGAGATGGGCTGTCTTTCGCCGCGGCGTATGTATGCGGAGGTGTGCTAAAATATTCTTACTTTTGTTAAAGTTTAAAGCGATTGAGCAGAATTAATTTCTGGTGTTGTTGCCCTCATGTATTTGCTAATCTTGAGCTATGCACTTCGTGGTTCCATCTATATGGCCAGTGGAGTGAACTATTGTCGCGCTACGTTGCATCGTAGCACGTTGTATGTACCTCTATTGTGCACATGCGCAGGTTGAGGAATCATCAACAGATATAGATCTTCTGAGAATTGTTCACGAAGAGTTGATCCAAAGGGATTTTTGTTGCTTTAAAAATGGGGACCTTTTATAGGACCCCTTAGAGATATAGAAATATACTTTTGCAATCGAATTCCAATTGCATTGAATGATTATACTATAGTATACTATAGGGTAGAGTCTTTACTCCAAAAAATTTGCGTGGTGTGTGCTAAGACCCCCTGGTGGACCCCGGCCCTGGTGGACTCCTAGGGGACTCCCAACTAACGAGATCAGATTCTTCCTGGTGGACCCACTGAATAGGGGTAGAGGATTCTAAGTTGCAAGAGGCGTGCCACGGTGGTTTCTCTTCTTCCGAAGGAGAAGTCTGCCTTTTAAAATTGCACAGGGCAGCAGAGCATATGCGTGCATTTCATGTTAAGATTTGACTTCAGTTTTTTTTCATTGCTTTCTGCTGTAAAAGTGAAGATGCCCTCTTATGAAAGGTTTTTACTAAAACCCCCTTCATTGGGGATTATAACCCTGCCCGCCTTCCAACCTTGTGCGACAGCGGAACACCAAGCTTGTTCCACACCATAGTCCCCTTGGGAACACAGTCCATTTCCGGATACTACCACTCACAACACATCTGGAATCGTTTGGAACGTCTTGTTGGTCGAATTCCTACGGATGCTGGGCACCCGGCGGGCAGAACTATTGCGTAGGACGATTCTGTCAAGCGAGGCAACTTGCCGCAGTGCGGTACACCGACAGCTCTCCAAACCGCCATACGTTTGCTGAGGTCTGCTTACTGAGTGTATTCCGGGCAACACCAAACAGTGAATAATAACTGGAAATGCTGGTTAGCCGTCAACTTTGAGTGTTTTTCTTATTCTCGTGAAATGGGCGAACTGCTTCGTGCAAGGTCAGAGGATGTCACATCACTGGCAGCGTCCGGCATGTCTAGAAATGTTTTTTTGTCCCTGATACTCTTCAAGATTGTCTTTGGCACAGTGGCACATTCAACAACAACCTAGCCTAGTAGGGACTGTGACGTTCCGTCTAAGGAAGCGCTTGGTGCACATGTCTTGCAGTGCATGCGCAATACTCTTCTCTTACTCTAAAATTTGTGGTCACGCAGGTGCTTGTTGGTAAAAGGCCTTTGATGCCGCTAGCAAGTCTCCATCAGATGCCCCCAATGCGGCGGCACAAACTGAGGCTCGCAAGCTTGCCACGGTTTTCAATGCTGTGATAATCCTCACCATCACAGGCATGGTGTTGGGTGTCACATGTGTACAATGGGAGTCCGTAACCGTGGTGGCATTGCCGCATTCCTTGCAGCAAGACTGGCCATTGCACGAGAGAGCGTGACAAAGAAGCTATCCATTCCAGTGAATTTCGTCCCTATAAAGCAAGGCGTGCCAGTGGCAGAGGTGTTTCATATTCGTGTTGAGCACGTCCGCAAAGGGTGTATTAGTCTTCTCTGCCCCCGGGCCGGCTGTGGAGCGCCGTTCTGCAAAGGTCGCTGCCTGAGCACTGCAAGATGATGAGCGATAAAGGCTCGCTAGGGAGCATTGATATTTCTTGCGCAGCATGTCACAGCGAACATGGTTTCAACGCTCAGGATGCTCAGCTGCTGGAGTATGCACCAAAAGGCACCACTGGCAAATTGATATGAGACATCAAATCGCTCCCTCTGGACATGGCATAGCCTAAGAGTGTGGCAGTCACTGACTTAAACCTACAATACTAGTACTTTGGCTTCGCCGCCTTCAGCTTTTTGAATGTAAACATGTTGTACAATTATATTATAGGACATAGTATCTCAAATGATCACTCATTTCTCGGCACTGCTTGGTGGCACCATAGTGCCAGCCACATGCGTGGAGAATTGAACGTTTCGTTGAATGCAATTGCCAGCTGGCTTGCAGGCCCGTAAAGCAAAGAGCTAAACTTAATTTTATGTGCAATGCTGCGCGCTGAAATGCATATGGTGAGCTCCAGATACGGTACTATCCTAGTAGGTTAAAAATGCGGAAATGCAAATAATGTCCATTTCTTTGAACAATTGAAGGGCACTTGTATTGAAGGCCATCAAGCCTTGCCAACACATTGGAACGCCATGGCGGGCATTAGCACATCTAGATCTTTTGTCTACATATCTGTGATTATGATGAGCATCGCTGAGTATCCTTTATTGCTGCCCTTTGCTTCAAAAACGATGTCCACCGACTAGGGGTGCAAGATTTTTCTGCACCGTGCACCGCGTTCATTGCGTATGGATCAATTCTGGTTTAATTTTCCAACCACAAAAGGTCAAGGACCCATTATAATAAGAAATGAGACATTGTCGAGACTAGATTGCTTGAAATTAAGTGCAAGTCAGTGAACATTCCCTTTCTAATGGTGATATATGGTGATCATTAATCAAATGATCTCCATGCCATTAAAAAATGTAATGGGGTAAAGGGGTGTTTATGAAGTGTTCAAGCCTAGATCGTATCCTTTTCTGCGTGAAGAGGTGGCCACCTCCTATTTTGGAACCTTGGACTTTGCAGCTCAGGACAGCTTCGGGGCTTCGAAAGCGTCATCATTCTCGTATCTTCAGGCATATCAACGTGAGCTTGTCTCCTTATGGCACCTAGAATTGATCCAACATAATGTTCTGTAGTCCTCAAGTACCGCAACTTCGGCTCCGTTCATTTTCCTACTAAGCTAGTTCGGTGTCTCGAGGCACAACATGGCAGGACTCTTGTCGACAGAGCAACGATTGGGTCTTTGCGTCGGAACTCTCGTGACAGCAACCGCCGTGCATTTCATCAAGAACGTGAGGATGAGCCAATTCTTTACTCACTAGGAACAGACATGCGAAGTCAGGATTTCTCGTTGGCACTCAAACGGACTGAAACCTTGGGGATGGATAAGCTCCCAGTTTATTGGCTTGGACTGCGTTTTGAGAAGCAGAAAATGGCCGTGCCGCAGGTGCACGAGCGCCACCGTGAGAAGCACGCAGCACAATCTACTGGAGGAACAGCAGAGCACCTTCCAGAGGCAGTCCAAGACGAGCCTGCAGTGGAGACCGTGCAATGTCCTTGTTGCAATATTGAACTGCGAAAAGGGCCCGGGAGGGGCAATCTTATCAGGTACGTGCCAGCTCACCGTGGCATAGATTAATCTTTCTGCAGTCCTATTGGTCCAGAAAGTGCTGCCTGTTCCGTGCAGTCCTGCAAAGCAGGCCCCGTTGACACGCGCCTTCCATTCCAACGTTTGTGGCGGCAAGCTGTCTTGCACCCAAGAGTGACTCCTTCCAGAGTGACCAGATCAGTACAATGCGTGCTGCTTGTGTAGGTGCCTGGCCTGCCGCACAGGTTTTTGCTGGGAGTGCAAGCAGCTTCTACCAGAAAATGATCCAAAGCCCCATTTCACCAATGAAGGCCGCTGCCCACGCAAAGCCGGTCACTCCAATGCCCCAAAAGTTGCCGCAGCTATCGGCGCTGCAGCGCTGGTGTTTCTAACATTCAAACACAGGGACGCTATCCCAGGCGCCCTTGGCATTGTTGGATCGGTGGTTGATTCTGTCAAGCGCTTTGCCACAGTTGTCGCCAGTGCCCTGCAGCTGAAGAATGCATTCCTAGAGCGTTCGGCAGAGCTAGCACTGCCTACAATGGCTGATCCAGAGCCAGCAGAGCCTGCTGCTGATGTGGCAGTAGCAGCTACTGCGGAGGGAAGTTCCTCAGAGGAGACAGGCAATTGGCATCACGGTGTGTGGCATCCGCGCAACCGTCCCAGCCAGAACCCTGCGTGCCAGTTTCATTTGCAAAGCAATGGCCAAGCGGATCCGGTCCGCGAGCTTGAGTGTCTTGAACTGTCCAGTATTATCAACATGTGGGACGAGATGTACTACTATGGAGGAAAACCCAGTGAGCAAAAGCCATGAAATGGCCTGATGGCTGCCGCACTAGAGCATGGACACCAAATTTTTTTGGTGAAATTAGATTTTTGAGTAAAGGCTTGTTGATCAGACAACCAACTTGTGATTTAATCGCCACCCTCAGGGCTCATTGCTGCCTTGCGCCTTGCAATCACGACTGATCAGCAACAGGGTGGTGGCTTTCCACAAACCAAGTAGTCATGTCAGAATTTACTGATTTGAGCTACAAGATGTGGCTCAAAAGCATATTGTGCTTGTTGTACAGGCACGGCAAGAATTTTTGGACAAGGCAGCCTGAGGAATGCGGCTTCAGCTGCACCATGCATTGAAGAATCTGAAAGTGAAGACCCTGATTCTGGCACATAGGATAGTACAGATTCAGACAGTGGAGACCCACTCTTTTACGGGACCCTGGATGACCTTGTCGACGACGCACAGGCCTCCGTTAGGGACAATAAATAAGAAACTGTGCGTTTGGAGCATGGCCATTGATTATATTCATGAGTATTCCCCTGCTAGGCTATGCAACCTTGAGTCAGCCTCTTCCTTAATTATTACTGGAACTTATTTTCTCAGTGGGGAAGCCAGTGGCTTCAAGCCGCAGCTTTCACAGGAATGGAGTAAGTTGCAGAGCTCGACTTTATATAAATAGCATAAAATCAGAACATCCCCATGAGTTGAACTTCAATCAAGTTGCTTGTGTAGTCAGCAGTCCAGTGGAGCAATAATTAGGAGCGCTTAGCCACAGCGCATGTGCACTTTCAACAAAATAAGCTTTTTTTACATCAGTTGCCAAGAATTTCATAGTGCCAAAGAGCACTGCAGGCTGAAGAATAAGAGAGGACCGTCCGGGTGACCCTGACATTCAAAGTCCCGGGATAACGTTATCCCGGTTAACCCTGCAATTTAAACTTATATTTCAGGGCGCCAGCCGAGAGAGACTCTTTAGGATTTTACTATTCAAAGAATATATATTGATGGTCCAGCAAAGCCGCCAGGATTCAGTTGGGCAGCAAGATGTACAGTGACCCTGGAGTTGTTGCCCTTGCCAGGCAGCCCTAGATGCAACCCTCATTTTGGGCATACACTAATCTTAGAACCCAGACTGGCACTCTTGTTTGTGCGTTGCAAGCTCTCTGCAGAGTCTGAAGTGTGCTTGGTTATTTTTCATTACGAGCACACCCGAACGGCTTCGTGGCGGGGCCGAACTTGCAGTACTTTAGCGCAACTTGAGCGCGACGCTGAGCTGTAATTCATACGAGCGCGTCACGTGGCAATTCTTCCGGAACCCTTCCGACAGACACGCTCATCGGACAATGCTTTCGTGTTTCTTTCCGTGTTTCTTTCCGTTCTTAATTGCGAAGCTCTCGGGCTATGTGGCCAATGTGGGCTACACATTTCTGGGAATTATAATTATAAATAATTATTTCCGTCAATTCTTGCAAAACCTTCGGGCCATACCTCGGAGATTGTTGACAATATTGACGACATATTTCTGCCATTTTCGGGATCATCCGGAAAATATTTTTAAATCTCTTTTCAACTAGTCTGTCTTATATGTGTGCGAGTCCTGCCCAACAAGGGCAGCTTGTTGGATGCTGTAGCATGTGATTAAGGAATTCAGCCTGATCGTAAGGGCATCTAATGATCATCATGATATTGAACTCGGTAAAAGTCTCTCATCATGATCATCAACGTTCATGCACACTGGTAGAGGGGCGGCCATCAGAATGCTAAAACATGCATGGAGTCGTGGCTGTTCCACGCCTCTGGCATGCAGATGAGAACGTGCAGATGACATGAATTGTTCGACCCCAGACTCTATAAATGAATGTTGATATCTGGGCGAAGACACGGTACTACCTAGCAGTAGGTTCTAGGGCACCTTCTCATTCGTTTCTTGGACCTTGCTGCCCAATGTTGGCAGGACAGCGAGGCAAGTGAGATCGTAGCAGAAGAACCTTGATATCGGGGCGCATATGTACGATCCAATTCAACTTTCAAAAGTATGTTCTTGCTGGCCACCATTCAGTCTTTGTGCGGATTTGGCGGACTGTAGCCTGTCTTGCCGATGTCTGGTCTGCTGTCGACGCACCAGCGTCTATGCCTTCCCATAGGAGCGCTGATATCCGCCACGGTGCTTGCGGCAAGCACCGTGCACCTCCTAAGAAAGGTGATTCCACCATGGTCGTTTTTTGCTGAAGCCCCCACCGGGCGAAGCCCGTATTACCCCTGTTACAAACGGGGCTCATACAGAGCGCCACGTGGCAGCAAATTTCTTAAGAGATTTCCGGTCTATTTTGTCTTCGGAATGCAGTCCTTATAGTCACGAACCCGAGATACAGCTTGTGTCGATCGCTCCTAGAGCGGTGCTGCCATTTCATCCCAGTTCCTGAGCTATTTCGACGTCTTTCAGAGTGATTCACGTGCTACCACGTGCGATTCTTCGCTGAAAGACTTCCTCGGGACTTTGAGAGCAGCTGCTATGTAGTGAAGACGTCAAGAGAGTCTTATGCGACGCGGTGGGGGGTTTCGAGGGGCGCAGCCCCCCAATAAGGCGTCAGAGTAATCTTTAGAAGAGATTGCCCACTCGATGGCACAACAAGGGGGGGCTTGGGGGGGCGCAGCCCCCCCAATGAGGCATTAAAAAATCCTTCAGTACAGTTTATGCACAATGATCGAGACGACAAGGGGGGGTTTGGGGGGCGCAGCCCCCCAATGAGGCTATCAGGTTGACCTTCAAATAGAACAGTTTGAGCGGGGGGGCCGGGACGGGGCTTCAGCATTTTCCGCGGCCAGCAGGCCGCCCATAACTTGTCCCCAGATCTCTAGAGTTTGCCTCTCCAAGTTGGCCTGCCTCTGCCTCAGAGCTGACGACTATCTGCTCTCGAAGAAGTAATTCTTCTTCAAAGTAAGAATCTTTATTCAGACTAAACCCTAAAACCTAAAATAAACTCTCACTGCTGCGTGATTTACAGGGCCGCAGAGCCAGAATTAATCGGAGAGCAACCGATAGAAACAATGTGCAGCTCGAGCAGTCGCCATTGCCGCTCGCCGTCAAGCCATCTTCTGCAAGCAAGATTTGTCCTAGTTGCAACCTTCAGCTGCAGCAAATTTCCACAGGGTGTAACCTTGTAAGGTACCCACCAGAATCCCACCTGTTCATGGTATATATCATCAGGATCTCCTTGCTTTCACATCATTCAAGGTGCGCATCAATGCATAAGCCAAAGCACAATATTGAGCCTTCCCTAGAGACAATTTTGATTTATTTTCAGGGATATTATTGCCAGATCCTGAGATCACTGACATTTTGCATGTGGCGTGCAAGTGCTCAGCTTGCCATACCTGTATATGTTGGCAGTGCAAGCGGCGCCTCCCAGCTCAGAACTTGAAAACCCATTTCACTGCCAGGGGTTGCTTTTACGCGCTTGAGGCCCTCAAGCGCCCTCAATCCTGAGGAGTCCAACGCGCCGATGAAGATAGCCAAGGTCATTGGTGCTGCAAAGCGGGTATGGATGGCAGTCAGGTACCAGCACGTCATTGCTGGGATGGCCGGCGACGCTGAATCAGCTGTGGGACATTTAATAATATCGTCACAGCTACCGTTGCATCAATCGGTGCACAGCTGAAGTCTGCGCTTCCAATGCGGCAGCCAAAGTATGCACTGCTTGCGTTGCACAAGCAAGCACCATAAGTAGAGGTGTGGCAGGGCAGCGCATCGCACGGGCACAGGACCTTCTCTTGCCCTTTGTGCAATGCGCATGCCATGTGCAACGCGCATCCAGATTATCTGGGAACCTTCCTGCAAGGGATTGGCCATTGGGTGGGTGAAGTGACCGGCAAGCAGCTTGCAAAAGCATTCTTCATTGGCGTTGGAATAAAGCAGCTTGGGCGCACCTGATATGCAAAGATAGGTTTGAGGTGTTGATTGAACTGCATGATAACACCAGCGATTTTGGGTAAATTTTAAAATTCAATTGACTAAAATTGCAATAGTGGGATATGACTGAAAATATCGCAAGCGGTCCCTGTCACTGTCATTGGCAATGCTGCCCCAAAAGGGGAAGCCTTTGTTACGATGAGTAAAGTTCATTTTACAAAGAGTATCTCTAGAATTTGGCATGGGTGTGTGGTGTACCTTTTTGTTTCATAACACCTGAATCCCCAAGTACGATGAACTTCGGACTCTTGAAATGGGCAGCCAGCAGGAACTGCTGAGGTGGTCCAACTGGAACAGCAACATTGACACCAAGCTCATCAATGATTCCATAGTTTGTCTGCTAGTGGCTGAGCACTGTTGACTGCATATTGGGCGTCTAAATGACTGCAGCATTAGCAACCCATCCTCATTACATGCTAATGGAATCTGAAGAGCACTCATGAGGATTAAAAACTTTTGGGCCCAGGTCTGCCTTGCATATCATACAAGTCCAAATTTGTATTCAACACTGCTGCATTTTTAAAGCGCGTAATCCTAGACCTTAAATTTGAACCATGGTTTTGTATTCAATGCTTACGTTATACATTCACACTTTCGTACGTTGCACATATTTCGTCCTCTGAGTTCAGCTGAATGTATATTACTACGGTATCGGTCGGAATACAGTCTCTTTAAATCAAACCTCACCTTCTACTTTTACATATGCAGACAATTGAAGCTCTGCGGGAATCAGAAAAAATTACAAAGAGAATGAGTTGCGATCTGGAAAGACGCGATATTAATATCTTCATGCAAATGCTGAACAAAGAGAGTGGAAAATTACCCATACATCATCGAAGGTGCGCATTTACTAAAATATATATAGTATACAACATTCCCTACATTGTATGTTGTAGGTTGAAACCAGAAACCGGTTCTGCCTCGATTTCCTCCACAACTTTTGGATAATATATTTGGCATATGCGTAATCAATATTGTCATATTTGCACGAACCTTTGTCTGATTAATTCACTGCCAGTGAGCACAAAAATCTTCAGTAAGGGATATTTGGAATTGGTGTCTATTGGGATCCAATAGGCACTAACAGCCTGGTTGATTGGTTGGGATTTTGACCCAGGAAAATCCAATAGAAAAATAGAAGAATTCGTTCAAAACATCTATTTGTACTTTCAGTGTATACACATGCGTCTTGAATGCTCTCTGTGAATGTGTGCGTAGGTTTTTCTAGAATACTGCCTTATAATTCCTGAATCACTGCTCTATTGAGACTCCTGATGGCTCACCGAAGGGTTGGCACCTAGGATATATTGATAAAGAGGAATTGTACGCCACGATCATTGAAAAAGGTGCAGCTATCAATTGCAGCCATGTTTTGAAATTGTAGACAACGCCAGTATTTAAAAATGGCTATATACGGAGGACCAACCAGATTGCTGCGCTGTGATTGGTCGAATTGGGATCCCCGGCAGGGAATAACTCTACAACGTTGACATTCTCCCGGCAGTAAAAAATCCCGTGTTCCACGGTGTCATCGGAAAGTGCAGCGTGCTTGGGATGGGGATGGGAATTGCATTGACACAATGGGCACTTTTTCAGACGTAGTTCAGCTGAAAAACTGAGCAAACAGGTCTCAGGGGTGCAATTTAAGAGCAGCAACTATATAGCAGCAAACATATATGCCTGCTGATCGATGTCCGCAACACAGTCATTGCCAGCCTGATGTCACAGCACGGTGCTTGGCTACTGCAAACTTGTAAATAGCTGCGCTTTCTCAGCTGAGATGATACAAGAAAATTGCCCGCCTGGCCAGGACAATGCGTAAGCAAGCCATGTTTCGTTCTTGTTCTTCTAAGGAATATTATGGCTAAAAGCCAATGTGGTTTTAGAGATGTCACATCTGGAGACGGTCTCAAGATATGTTCTTGAAGCCACAAAAGTGGCCGAAGATAGGGGTTTGAGGCAATTCTTGGCTCGAACTTGTGGTTTTGGGGACATTGTAGCTCAAAATGCGCGAGATATGGCTTCTGCAGAACTGTTGTGCTTTATTAATTCAACGCCAATTTGTGGCTTTTGTGCAGACATCCAAAATCCTACCAATGGCCACAAACAAACCTTCTGTAATTGCTTAGGCCTAAGTCCTATAGGACCGCATTGGCTTTTATAACCCACGAAGGAAACACTGGGAACCGCATAATCTCACATGTCTACCGAGTCCTTACCGAGTCTAAAATCGTTTGATCCGGCGGGAAGAGGCGGCGTTGCCGGGGCGGTGCCCTAGTGGGGGTGTAATATTTGCAAGGAAACCAGGAAATGTGTGTAAATCTATTTACGCATACTATGCTAGTATCCCCTTTTTATGACCTGTTTGGTCTAGCCGCTGAGACCATACAGCCTGTTCAGCACTTCATGTGGCTGTTGGACATCGTCAGTGTTGCACACTTCAAGTTTGTCATTGATTGTTATGATCATTTGGATGCTGTTGACAGCACCACATTTAAGCAGCCCTGGGCGGCAGGAGTTGACATGTAATGTTCCTTCCCTCTTTTCTTCCACCATGGCATGGCCAGTCATATGCATGCTCAATAGCAAGGTCATCCCTTAGACCATCAAAATCAGTCTAGGTCGTCTAGACTATACTACAGTTTAAGAACCCCACAACTAATTGCACAACCCATATGGCACTTGTGATGGCATCCAATGAGTATGAATGGTCTACATTCTTTTAATTTTCTGCAACAAATTTTAGGGGCTCATAGCCACACCTCACAACGCGAGAATATTATTAGGTTTGGATGCTGAGGCAAGCCAAGCTTGAGCCCTTAAAGTGAAGGTGTTGATCAAAATTTTGCTTGAAATCAAACATTGGAACATCCAAAGGCTTACAGGGGTCGAGACATACAACCTAAAAGCTCTGAAGGCTTTGGCAGCATTGGATAGTCTGGACGATTTGGGGGCGCTGGAGGCTCTCCATCCCCACGAAGATTTTGGTTGTCTGGAGGCACACATTAATGAGAAATTACTGATCTCTTGTTAACGCTCTGTCACAGAGCCACGGTCGGGCTCTGCCAGTGGTTGCTCTAGAGGCTCTAACGGTGAAGCTCTTGCCAAGAACTTCAGTGAAACGATGGAAGGTCTGAGAAACGGGAAAGTGCAAGACGGTTGCGGACCGTCTTGCACTTTCGGGGCAAGACGGGAGGTTTCCCATCCTAAGCGAGTATTGGAACCAACCTACCGGATTTTGGACAATGCGGATTCACATTGGAAAATTAAAATGACAAAGCAAGTCAGGGACTTGACCAAAGGGGCGGGCCAAAAACAGTCGTGTCGGAAGAGCTGTCGGTTCGAGTGGGGCAAACGGTGTTCCGTAACCGGCACGATATTCTATTAATAGCCCAGCTAGAAAATAAGCAGATCATATTTTTGCATTCAAGAAAACTGTTTTGGCAGAAAAGCGCAGGCCTTGACTGTTCAACATGAAGTTTTACTGGCGCAAAATTGATCTGTCACTGGCCAGCGTGGCCGCCATCATTCTTGGACTCGTCTTAAAGGATTGGATTGCAAAGAAGAGGAGCAAACCCACCATGGTGACTCCTATCATCGTTGCGGGCCTCATAATGCGCTTACCTTGGACCATGTCTGCCTGTGGCCTCTTCGAACGACCTTGGTCGGTCAAGACACTGTGACGGAAATTTGTCGAGACCTTCGTGTTCGTGGATGATTTCTGAAGATCACGTCAAGTTGGATAAATGCTAAAGGAATTTAGTACAGCTGAAAGTTTTTTTAAAAGCACACAATGAGACGTTCTGCTGGTCCGAGCGACAATACCTATGGTCGCACTGGCGTCATGTGCCCAACGGTACTGGGTACTGTTCACCATTTTAATCATCACATTTTAATCGTCACCACATTTGATGATATATATCAACACGGTACTAATAATCAGGTAAAATTTAACTGTGCGAACCGAATTAGAATGAAATATAGGCGCAACCAATTTAAGCCTCGAAGAGCTGAGCGTTGTCGCGCACACCACAAATCTATGCATTCAGCAAGTGAGTGCGACTATCATACCAGGTTCAACTGTTCACCATGCCTTTGATTCTCTCAGCGTTTTTGGAAATTGAAGAGGCGCAATGAGCCCATCGTGATGACAGCAAATATAGCAGTGAAGCCCACTAGGATCAACACGTCCCAGCCTATGAAGGACCGGTCGATGTTGTATGCCGTCTTCAAGTATTGCGCAACGCTCTGTCGTTCACCGTTGTAAACAATGTACTCGTCGGTCACGTCCCCCAGTTGGCTGCCCAGCAGTCCTTGAATGCTGTATGACAGCGGGTTCAAGTATGAGTACCTGCGCAAACACAACCCATTCTATGCATTTGACAAGAAGTTCTTCGGTGACTCTGAATCATAAGATGAGTGGTCTTGCAACGCAGCTCAGAATAGAACTTTTCACATCTCCAACACTCGCTCACAAAAGTTGCTTCAACATACGCGACGTTTCAAGGACACAAGACGCATGCAGGTCAATTCCAGAATCAGAGGTCACTTACCATGACCACCATGGCGGCATTTGCTGCAAGAAAGACACACAGTAGAATTAGCACTGGTGCCAGCCTTGACATACTTCTTGCACAGAGCAGGTCTGCAAAAGAATCCACGCGGAAGTTGCTACACTTCCAGCCCTCTTCAGGGACTCGCTTGCTTCAGAAGCAAGCGAGGATGAGCAGCAAACAATACCACAACAAAGTAGGATAGCAAGCAGAGCAGGCTGCAGAGAATGCTCACAGATTGAGGCACGATGAAGCCGGCGAAGAGAAAGAACATTGCATAGAACGTGGATGACACTATGGATGCCACCTGCACACACATAAACAGAAACCTCCTCACAACCTGCTTCACTTCCATTTCCAGAATAGCAAGTTGCAGGACACTTGTTGGTCAGAGTATGCGCTGAATCCTCAGCAGCTAACAGATTGACCGGGTGATTGGGGAAGGCTGCACTGCTGGCTGCCTCAGCGTATCCTTTCAAGGAACCATGTGAAGTCAACTGGGTTGCAAGCGGTGCATCCTAAACCAATCACCTCTTCCTGTAAACTATGTTGCGAGTATAACGTGCAGGATAAGGTGCGCTGCAGACAAGCCGGGGAAATTAGCACAGAAAAAGGGCTCGCCTGAATGTTGGGCACCAGGGAGACGGTCATCATGCCGTAGAAGGTGAAGAACGCTAGCGTGAGGAAGATGAACAGCACGTACCAGAAGAATTTGCCTGCGCAAAAGTGGGCAGGCGAAGATCAAGTTCAGTCTGCATGTTGTCTGTGTGCGAGAACCCTTGTTGCTGGGATTCCCAATTCAAGGGTTCCGGACATTGGGCGGTCTGTGCAGAAATAACAGCAGCTTCAATGTTTGATTTTGAGAGAAGGTTCGAGTGACAGCGGGACCCACCTGCGTTGATCTCAAAGTACACCATGAAGTATGTCGTCACCCTGTAAGCACAGCAGCACTTTGGTCACAGTCACATTTGGCATTCACTCCCAAGACCTTGGCCGTTCAAGTACTCAAGTACTATGCCCACTAGTGGACTGGGCATCAAATCCCCCACAAGGAAATTGCTTCACGCGTGTCACAACGGGCACTGGGCATGTTCTGACAAGACATTCCGGGACAGCATCACATGAGAAGCAAACCATGCACATATTTCTTGCTAAAACTCCAGGCAACAGCTTATTATCATCATTAGTACTCTGAGCTATTTGGTACTGCACCACCTTGTTTGCAGGCATTTTGGGGCCTGAACAGTCAGTAATACGGTATTAGGATTGCACAAATTTTGGACAGGATGCAGACAAATGAGAAATATAAACAAATTATTGATATGAGGATGGGCAGCGACAGACTGCCTACTAGACCAGTGACCCTCAGGTGGCTCCCAAAAGAACTCTAAAATGTATTTTAATACTAACATTACCACACGCTATTCCCTGCCAGAGGCAACGTGCGTCTCCAGACAAGCTGCAGATGAAGGGAAAACAAATTCAGGCCGAAAATGCACAGCAATTCTGCCAGCAAAGAAATGTGGAGAGCGGGTGCGCACGAGAAGAGGATGGACTGAACGAGCAGGTATGGCAGCTCCACGATGGCTTGCGCGGCCGCGAATGGGTACTCCGAGTAGTACCCGGCTGCACGCTCCCTGCGACACCCACAATTGCCTTTTCACACCCTCTGGGACATGTGATCCACTAGGGTCCTTCTATTTTAGCTTGACTCAAACAAACAAATAAGTAACTGATAGCAAAAGCAAGAAGCGAAGAGAGGCCTACTAGGCAGCTAGTAGCCCATTCATGCGGCATTCAATCTTTAAGCAGTGAAAGATCTTAGACACACCAGGCAGGAAATACCACTTTGCACCTGAGGAAGACATGAGAATCAAGAGTTAACATAAAATCATTTTCCGGTTGAATCACTTAGTGATAGAGCTCATTTTGCTCGCTGCAGACCTGTAGAAGACGGTGCGTTCAGTGTCCACAACCGGCTGCACAGTGGATGCGTTGGAGGTGCCGATGAACATTGCGGAGACAACAAGCGCGCCGATGATGTTTTGGATGGTCTGCGCGTTGTCTCTGCGCGCACAAATCGAGGCAGAGTATGAGAACGCTTCCTGTGACTCGAGACTGGTGGCAAATCAAGACACTGCTCAAGAGGAAGATAAGCAGTTGTTCCGGATCCTGCCGTGGAAGGAGACAACATCAATCAAATGCTGGAAATACAAGCCAAAAATTGTTAAAGTATATTGATCGTACTACAGAAGGAAAGGCTATATTGGCTAGATATATCTCATCAAATTAGATACATTTCTCAGTGATATTCAGAAGGCTGCGGAAGCAAGGAATCACTCATGGACCCTTCCAAGAGTGAGCGCACCTTCTACCGCCAATGTGCCAATAAATGGAGCCGAACAGGAGGCCCAGCAGCGTGGTTGACAACATCCTGTTGAAACCAGACACAACTGTCAGAGTTGCCACACACAGAAATAAAGACACTTACCACTACCAACTGGCATGAGTCATTGACACCCACCACAACCTAAACAGGCAATCATGCAGGCAAGGATGGGATGTGCACATGCTCGCACCTGACGGCGTTGTACTCGGGTGTGCGCCAGTAGACAGTGAAGTTCTTCAAGAGGAGGAGGCGGAACTGCAGGCAAATGAAAGAAATTAGGGGCCAGAGATATCTTAACCAATCACTTAGGCCAAAGGCAGCATGGTGACCGGTGGTCTCTTGCATGGTCATGGTGCCGCCTTTCCAGGCAGCCAAAAAAAGCATGCAATGAAGGTCTATTGCGTGGTCTGCAGACAATTGGTTTTGTGCTGTATTTCCAAGGAGCCATAAAAACATGTAATCTTGCTCACCTGGGAAAGAAGGCTGCGCGAGAATTGCTTGTCGAAGTGCAGGGGCTGCGAGTTGGGGTCTGGCACTTGCAGACGCGCCACCATCTCCTGTGTGCTCCTGCCAAACGAATCATGCCCCAGCTTCAGCACAGCATCAAGGTGATCGGCTGCCAGTACGACGTGAAATTGTGATGAAGCCAGAAATAAGATGGTTATATGTCTAAGAATGCACCATTGCAACCAGCCAGGGTGTAGTTCTTTAACCATTTTTTGAACAATTAGAAAGCTTCTTATATTTTTGTTGATTTTTTTTTGAGGTCAGCATAAAGCCCTACAACCACTTCAATTGCAGGGCCGGGTTTGGCTTCCTTGAAATGTACCTGGCCAGCTCACAACACAGCCTCGAAACTTATCACACCAGTAAATCAAGAATTATCTGCATATGGTCCTGTCACCAGCGCAGGATGCAGCGCCAGGTTAGGCATCAGAAAGAGCACCTGGCCAGATCGGAGTGAGTGTACAGCTCAGAAAAATCCACGCCCAGCTTCTGCTCAGACCCCAGCGACGTCACCTGCCGGCATATGCACAAATCTGTTCAAGAGGGTTAGTGTAAAAGTACTACTCTTATGCCCAACCTCCCCCTTTGTGCATTACCACAGCTGCTGTAAAACCTGCATATCTACAACAAATGCCCAGCTAAAATAAAATCACCTTGTTCACAATTTACCCACCAGGCGCAGTGAGAGAAGAGCCAGTGCCCAAGAGAAGCCAGAGGCTATATTAGCAAGCCTAGAGTCACAGAACAAAGCAAATACATCCACAATCATTTTGCTTTAGCTTCTTCTCATTCTCTCTTGAGGCGCTACATCCACACAGCACTCAGTGACTGGGGCGCGCCTTGCAAGTACTTACAAGTACTACTGCAGTGGTGTAAATCTGAGTGCCCCACCGTGCCAAGATGCCCAGCTCAGAGAGATGACACCATTGTAACATCTCACTAGGGTAGAATAATCTCATCGAGTAAAGACCGACCCCACAAAATATCCCTTGAATGCAGCACCAACGCACCTCGAGCATCCAGGTGGCTGGGTTGACCCCTGCTGACACGGGCGGCACTCCCGGCACGGCCTGGAAGTAGCTGACCAGAAGCCGCGAGCAGTCGCCCGTGGGTCCGCCGTAAATGACTCGCCCTCCGCGCTTCAGCAGCAGCAGCTCATCAAACGCCTGAGGGGTGGAGACAAGGACTATGTCAGCAGAAATTACCTAAAAGGACAATGTACTGTGGGTTCTGTAGTTTTGGAGTCCAAATTGCTGGAAAGATGTTTGGTAGCAGCAAGTTAGAAAGCTATGCTAATTTTTGCCAGCCAGGGAAGCCTAATTTGCGTCAAGTAGTACTGATTTTCAAGCTTGAAGATCTATGTCTTCACCGTCCTTGCTAGCGTGACATGAGGCAAAATGTCATATAAGGGCTTCAAACCGTTAATTTAGATTTAGGAAAGATGTGTCCATTGTGGCAGACAGGCATTGCTTTTAGAATTTAAAAATTATATTATATAATTCATTTTCTCTATATTTTTGATTTTGGGTAACACTATTTTGAGGGTTACACATATCTTTATATTGTGTGACCCTACATTGCTTAATATATTTTATTAAACTATATTTACACTATAATAGGGCAGATATAAGTCAGTGAAGGCCCCACCTCAAAGATGTCGATGGATGGTTGGTGGATGGTGCAGACCACGGTTCGGCCGGTGTCGACCGTGTTCCGGATCGTGCGCATCACTATCGCAGCCGCACGCGCGTCCAGCCCTGACACAGTGCAACAGGTGTTTAGTAATGAGACATTATTGATTAAGATCCCTGTGGGCTACGTACGCGGACACAATTCACGCGGACACGCTTCTCAACCGATAATCTTAATACCCTCAGTGAGCGTTGAGAATGCAGGCCTTTTGGAGCGCCATAAAACTTGGTGCATCCATCCCAATCATGCTTATTGTGCTGCGAGCTGTATTATAATTGCTCTAGTAGAAGCATCTCCAGTCCAGCCCCACAGAACTTGCACCTTTGTACAGTCTCTGAATGAGCCTCAATCCAAGTGTGGACAGCTTTCCCCTGAGCGGCTGCGCACCAGAGGTGCCATTACAGCCCCACAAAACTTGCAATCTCTGTCAAAATTGATGTGCGCAATCAATGACCATATCCAGTATCTATCTGCAGAATCTCCAGTCCCGCATTACAAAAGTTGCGACCTCAAGCCAAGACCAATACTGCTCAGGTGTCTCCCGAAAGGTCTCAGCCTGAAAGCTCGTTTATGGCTTCCCTAAAATCTTCCCTGTGAGCATGCGCACCCGAGGTGGGTTCGTCCAGGAAGACGATAGAGGGGTTGGCAACCAGCTCTACGCCAATGGTGAGTCGCTTGCGCTGCTCGACGGAGAGGCCGCTGCGGCCGGGCACGCCCACCAACGCGTTGCGCAGCGGGCCCAGCTCCATCAGCTCCATCACCTGCACACATGCATGATTCCCCTTGAGAAAGCATTGATTTGTTTGCTGACGATTCAAGCAACTCTGCAAGGTCAGAGGGGGGGGAGGGGTGAAAATGTTAAATTAGTAATTTAAGTCGGTTGCTCGAGCTCGACTTAGATTAATGAGTTAAGAAAATGTTTCACTGCTCTCGACCTTTGTAACGCGGGAAAAATGAAAGGCTCCGACTAAAAGTATCATTAAAAAACAAAAATTTTCTTTCAAACTAGTGCAATTCTCCTCGAAAAGGGATCTCTAAAAGCTCAGTAGAAGAGCGGACGGCTGTTACCGTTAGGTCGTTGGTTCAAATCCGCTTCGGAGCTGCTGTTGACTGGGCGCGAATGTGGAAGCACGCGAGCAAGGTGACAGGTCTGGTGAGCAGGAATGAAAAGCATTCATCATACCTCGTCGACGAAGCTGTGCAGCTGCGCTGGCTGGACGTCCGCCAGTCGCAGCTCTGCGCTGAATGCCAGCGCCTCCCGCACAGTTGTTGCCGGCGAGTGGATGTCAAACTGCGTGCGACATCAGAGCGGGACATTCTGAGCACTCAATCTTGTTCACTTTTGCGGGCAGGGCATCGGCTTCCTCGGTTTACGTTTTAGCAGTGGGCATGCATCAGAGGAGGGGCCGACTCGTTCTGTGCTTTTAAGTGGAGAGGCACACTTTCTCTGATAGAAGCATAGTGCATGCCTTATTTTATGTAAATGTATTAATGATAACGATAACAAAAACAATAATAATGATAATAATAATATTGGAATGTTGCAAGCGAAGCAGAGTGCCTTGCACCTGTTCGACGTAGCCGGAGATTCGCGCGAAGGTGGCCTGCTCCTTGGGGTGGCCGTCTACCGTTATGGCGCCGCGCACCAAGCCGCCTGTGGGTCAAATGGACAGCTTTCTTTGTTTTTTCAATGCACCATGCTGTCCATGTCGAGCTCAACACTCACTCGAGGTCCAAGATCTCTGTATTCTCAAGTGGTTGGGTTATTGCTTTTGCGGAAAGAAACAAATGAATCCCATCATGAAGCTTGCCGTTGCCCCGCCTGAATTTTGTGAGCACATCACCACATTTAAACGCACGGCAGCGCCCTAAGGTTGCTTTCCGTTTCTGGGAAGCACCCTTTGCAGCAACATGACCAACTGCTAGTCAGGGCTGTTAAATCTTGCATGCACACTGCAGCACAACGGCAGGTGCAGCGGATACCGGTCTTGCGGCTGGCGAGCACCCTCTTGCAGCAACAATGGCCTTTTCAACACAGGGCTGCTGAACCGTGTCGAACATGCATCGCAGAACAACGCAATCTGCGCGCGCACCAGTCTTGCGGCCGGCGAGCAGGTCGAGGAGCGTGGTCTTGCCGGCCCCCGACACGCCCATGAGGCAGGTGAGCACGCCCGGCCGGAACGCGCCGCTGATGTCCGTCAGCAGCGTCAGCTGCGGCTTAGAAACGCCCTCCACAGTCTCGCCTGCGCCCGGGTGGCCCTGCGCATAATCACATGGTTTGGGTTTTTAAGTTCTTAGGGTATGCAGTTACCCTAAACTCTATTTCATAGAATAAAAAATAAAAATTCAAATAAACAGTAATCTAATGATCTAAATAGGTCTGGATACATTCTATACACTTTGTCTACTACATCAGCATGATAGTGTGTTGCTTCAGGCCCTTGCCTGCATCCTAACCGGCAGACACATATGGCACGACGAACCAAACATTTGTGTCAGACAGTCAAGGCCATATTAAGAGATTATCTTTATATCCTGTCAAAGAGTTTGTTTGCTGGGATGTGAGGCTAGCACACGTGAGGCTCACTGGGATTTATGAGAAGTCCTTCCATTTTAAGCTCAGAATTGGCACAACAAAACACCCTACATGATATAGCAGATATATCTGGCCTCAAAAGTTCAGAACAAGACCACACAAGAGATACGAGATGAGGGTGCGCACGGGTGGCAGGTCGACCGAGTAGTAGACGTGGCTGAAGGCCAGGCTGAGAGGGCGGAAGGGCAGCACCATGCCCTTGCTGCTCGCCACCACCCCCGTTCGCCGCCGTGATGCCAACGCCTCCACCTCATCTGCACCGTGTGCTGACCCCTGCACACATACACACAGATGTTTTGACTTCCCCCCCGATGACTCAGGGTTCGTAATTCAACCCTAAATACACCAAAACCCTAACTAAGAATATTCTATTTACCAGTATCACACGCTTTTCCTGTCTTAATAAATATCGCAGTCAATGTATTGCTGGTAATGTAGACTCCGCGCGGGTCAGCCAACATCAAACTGAAGGTGTCTGCTGGCCCAACCTCGACTAGCAAAGCCACGGCTATCTTATAGGTGGTTTTGTCTTGCACTGCGCTTTATCAGGAGATGTCGCTTGCACGCTAGGAACACAGCTTCCAGCTAACTGTCTGCAAACCTCCTGTCACGATAGCGTCATACATACAGCGGGATGCACCAGTTTAAATTTTTGATGGCGCACCTTGCTCTGCAGAGCGGCTGCCTCAGGTAGAACGCCCATCTCTATGTCAGATCCATCGGCCGCGGCAGGCGCAACCCTGCTTTGCCCGTTGGCGGCGGCCGCGGCAGGAGCCGCATGTTTCGATGGCGCCAGGCGCTTGCCGGTGCGCGTGAATTCGCGCTCGTGCAGCAGCTCCTCAGGCATCGAAGCCGGCTTCTTGTCCGGGGCTGACACAGCAAATAAGATTTGTCACTTGGTTGGGACACAATTGCTTAATCATACACTGTGGGTATTTACTGTTGAACGGCCTACACCCTAAGTTACTGTAGAACATGTCTGCCCAGATGTGCTCTGGAACACATGGACAGTTGGGTCACATCTCAAAAGAGATGCTAGACCTTGAAGCACAGGCTGTCCGAGGCTCAGCCAGCAAAGCCTAAGTGTCATTGCATGCTTGGAACACTGTGAGTGCAACCTGGAATAAATGTACTTGCCTCACTAAATATCTGTGAGTGTGTTACCACACCCAAAAACATAGCTGCGGCGTCCTTAGATCGCTCTTAGAATCCTGCAAGCACGCTCTTACAGGCACCCACTGCCAGCCATGGCTGCATGAGTAGACTGTCATCGTCTATAGCTGCGAATTGTGAAATGTTTATCTTAGGGGTTTCAGGTTACCACAGACCAAACCCATAACTGCCCACACACATGCAAAATACAATTATAGAAATCTTTCAATTCCTGGTCACAGCCCTGCAAGAGATACCCTACCTCAAACCACGCAGGTCCTATCTGTCCTTCTCACTCACTTGCAAGCGTCAATTTGAGCCCCAATTTGTGCAAGCTACTAGGCATGCCGCTCCTACAGCCACAGCTATGCGGGCTTGCAACGGTCAGTGCCTGTCTGCCATCTCTGCCATGTGTTGCAGGAGGTTTCCCATCAGAGAAAGATGACTCACCGTCCAGCAGCATGAGGGCGAGGGTGGTTGCGATGTTGAGAAGCACGATCCAGCCCAGCACGACCCCCACGCCCACCCAGATCCATACCGACCCCTTGTGGAACGCAAACTGCCGGTACAGCGACTCGGCAAGCGTCTGATCCGGGTTGGCCGGGTCCGGCTTTGCCCACCGCTCTGCAGTCACATCAGATGGAGGTTGATTGTTTTTAGAGGTTTCACTTTTTTATTACAATTAATTCAGGGTTCAGGTTTAGGGAAACCCGAAACTCCTTTCAAGATGAAAGAAAAAAAAAAAAAAAAAATACCTTGCCCACAGGCAATTCTGAAGGCCCCAATGTGGCCTTGCTGGGGTCGACAGAAAAATTAGGTGAAAAGTGGCCACCCGTTTATAATGGCCTGTACGGCTTTGGCGCCCGGCCGGCAAGTAGTTTGGAGGGGAAGCTGATTGCATGATGATATAGCCCATAGGGAATGCCCGAGCCGCTGTCTCAGAGCGGTCTTGAGAGGTCTGTTCCTGTCAAGAGCGTGCAAAGTGCCAGGATGAACAAAATAACCCTGCTAGACAGGAAAAAAATGGGATAGCCGCTGCGTGGATGGATAGCCGGATGGAACTTTTGATCTGAAGAGCCTTCGTTTAATCATTTGCGAAACATGCACCTGCCTGAAAGACAGCCCAAAAGATGCAAGAAGTGGATTGCTCACCATCCTGGAACTCGTTGTTGATGATGGCGTTCACGAGCCACTGCAGCGGCAGCGCCCAGTAGCCGCCCACGTACCACGGCGGGATGTCCGCTGCACAACACACCAAGGCACAAGGAGTTTGCATTGATCGCCAACAGAAGATTAAAACTCCTGAAAGGAGCTCCTCTTATGGCCGACCTTTCCTCACTTGCAATCAGCGCATCATGCATCTCCAGGGCACCCTCTTTCAGCTACAAATACAGTAGGTGACTTTGCAGTGAGGACAATCCCACACAGAATACAGACCGGCAGAGCAGGGCAGGACCTGTAAAGGGTAATTTTATTTAGGATTTAGGTTTAGGGTACGTACTTTTCATCATGCATTTTTGATGCATTCCTAGGGCATGCTTGTTGGAGGGACTTTGCTGTGCATTCACAGCAACGTCAAGTGTGAGTACAGAAACACGCAAAATGCGGACTAGTGATAACCCAGGGACCAAGGTGAGGGGTATTTACGTTTGACGAGGGTGTATCCGCAGAGGAGCATGATGAGGATGAAGACGACCCAGGCCAGGTTGAAGGCGATGACGACCGAGCGGCCGATGGCGCCGATGAGCCTGAACAGGTTGATGGCCACCTGGTGCGACAGCAGGCACAGCAGCCAGAACACAAAGAACCTGCAGCATGCACACAATGCCCAAATTCAGACAGTGTGGCAGCCTGGAATCTATAGCACTCTGCAGCCCGCACGCGATTGCCACTCCTCAACACTCGCTGAAGGAACCTGGCAGCCAAGTTCACGAAGCATCACTTTAAGGCTCACAGATCAAAGTTCCCTGCCGCCAGACCATCACAAAGAATTTGCAGCACGCATGGAAATTCCACTCCACAACACTTGCTGAAGGGAGCAGGCACCCAGGATTGTGACGCGCTGTAAAGGTCACAGTTCAAAGTATTGCATGCAACCCATGCCTTCTGGAGGAGGCGCAAACTGTTGCATCACTGCCAGGCATGGAAAGTGAGAGCTCGGAGTGATAACATCACAAGCAGTTAATTCGAAAGCCGAGTTTTCACATCAGAATAGGCCGGTCCTACGCACCCAACCCTAAGCCCTAAACCTCAAAATAAAAAATTTAGGAAAAATATAAATACAATATGATATAATAAAATATATTCAACAAATAAAAATAATAATATTAATAATAATAAAAACAAGAAATAAAGTAAATAACAATCAAAATAATATTAATTAATAAAGAATGTATTACTCATGGGTTTGGGGAATCTGCAGGAAGTGATGATTGCCCTCCTGCAAAGATCTGCCATGCATACATATCTTACATAAAGTAATAGGTATGGAGGAGTCACGCGCTGACCTGGCGGCAGAGGGTGCGAGGCCGACAGACCAGTAGATGATGATGGACCAGACGAAGGACTCCACCAGCGAGTAGGGGATGCGCAGCAGCGTCACTGGCAGCGCAAAAGCCCACTGCACGCACACATTTTCCTCTTCCATATATTTTGATTTATATAAACTCTAAACCCTGCACCCTAAACTTTGGCACCCTAGTCACATGGACAGCTCTCCCTTGAGATAGGGAGCAGAGACGCCCTGTTGAGCTGTAGTTCTGTAGTATGTGGCAAACTGACATTCAGCATGAGCGCAGAGAAACACCCCGGTCACGGTAGATGACAGCTATCGCCCTTGACAAATGGAAGCCAGTGGCCACTCAACCCTACCCAATGTGGAAGCAGGGCCATATCATGAGCTGACCATCTGATGCTAAAGGCAACTTGACGCTCTGAACATTGGACAGCTACCTCCCATGACACATGAAAGCAGGAAAAGGGTATAAGCTGGCACTCTGTTGCACGTGGCAGCTGAAATCTGTGCAGAGAGGCCGTGCAGGGACTCATAGCCTGTCTGACAGCCTATCTGGCAGTAATGCTGGAATGGACAGCTATATCAGATGAGAGTAGGGACATGGTATAAGGTAGCGTTATGGTGCACTTGGCAGCTTGACACTCTGCATACAGGCCATGTAGGAACACCGAAATATTCAAGGTCATAGAAGACAGTTGTCTCCTTTGACACATGAAAGCAGGAACATGTCATCAGCTAGCATTCTGGTGCATGCGGCAACCCGTCCAACCTGACACACTGGCACATACCGTGGCAACTGGACACTCTGCACTAAGGCCGTGCATACAATAAAAAAGATTTTGGACTCACAGCCGGGTAGAAGAGGTTGTCGCGCTGCTTGTAGAAGTCCGGCAGAGACTCTATCAGCATGCTCATCTCCGAGAAGCCTGCGCACGTGCTTCAGCTCCCTCAGACTATCACCGTCCATGCCCAGTAGTGTGAAACTTGCAAGAAGGTCACAGCCAGCCTGGGTTGGGTTGTATGTGGTAGATTGCAAAGCTAAGAGGTTGATTATCAAGGACAGCACATGGCCAGATCGGAGAGGGCCTATTTGTGAATGTGACGCCAGAGTTGAGGAGTCGCTGAGCAGCTCACCGTCAAAGAGCATTTGCACCTGCAAGCAAAAAAAAGCACTTGTCAGACTCTGCGGGAAGAAGTACCCATTTGTTGATGCCATTATCAGCAATTCACATCGAGCCACAACAGAGAGCAGGAGAGCACCGCTCATTTATGCCATAACAGAGCACTAAAGGGCACGGCGCTCACCAGCGCGAAGAAGAGGACGCCGGAGAATTTGATGGCGTCGGCGGCAGTGTCGGTGTGCATGGTGGGCTTGGCAAACAGCGTGCCGGCCACGAATGCCACAAACAGGTTCTGGGCGGTGCGGAACTTGTAGGTGAACGCGTGGCGCAGCATCAGCACACCCTCCCGCTGGCCCAGCGCCCTGCGCAGTCAGTGAAGCCATTGCCTTAATTTTGCAACATTCTGTTCTGGAGAAAATGTAAAGGCAGGGAAGTTTGGGCGAACTCTGTAGAAATGCTGATGGAGCGCACCTAGCCTTGGAAGGCTGGAAAAGTGCGGAATAAAAACAACATATTTTCCATGAATGTTACTTATCATGCAGGATAGTGAAGTCTTGCTACCAGGCAGCACATGGCTTGGCACTTCAGAGGACTGGAAGAAGTGTCAAAGGCTTGGACAGGCAATTTCAAGGATGGTCATCTATACACAGCAGGTGGGTGCTACAGAGCTCTGATGCCTGCCGAATGCTAATAAGATGCCGAGAGAGCCCGAGAGGATAGTGCTTTAAGCTATGGAGTATGAATCCTTCTATAAATTGGAAGTTTCCATATGAAAAGGACAGTTGATATCAGCGGGGCAGAAATGCGCGCACCTGAACATCTGGAAAGCGCCCAGCGCATACCTGCACACAGACAGCACACAAGTGTTAGTACACAGATCAAAGTGAAAATTCACCTCAATACGCAGACTTAATGCAAATATATGGGGTCCAGCGTTTGCCTTGCATTTCCTGTTCCAAAATGTCAGCTACGCAATGCAAAATAAGGCCCTAAAAGACCCTGATAAAATGCCGCCAGATATCAAGGTCAGCAGGGAACGCGCAGAACCTGGTGCGCACGAGCGGGTCCATCTCAGCGCATGCCTTGCCCAGGACCGGGGGGTCCCTGGCGGCTGCCGCCAGCGCACGGCCGCGCTCGCTCGCCTCAAACGCCGCTGCGAATTGCGCGACCGGCACAAAGTCGTATGGCTTCGCCGTGTCCGCCCAGTATTGCTGCAGGGCACAGAAAAGATGGAGAGAATCACATCAGTGTCCAACTTAATCACAGGAGCCAAGCTTTAAGTAACTTGGCCACTAATTGGAGGCTGCGGCTCTCCAGCAGATGCAGGAGTCTGCAAGAGTGATATGTGATTCTGCTCTCCTTTAAGCCGCTGTCAAAGGCTATCTAGATGAGAAGGTTGGCTGACCTGCTTGACCTGCAGTTGCCAGCACATACAAAAGGGGTATGATTGCACTCATCGTTCAGCCAGTGTTATTTCTGTGCCATGGCCAAGGGTTCAGAACAACCATCAATCGCACTATGTGGACTGTTTCTCAGAAAGTATCGATCTAACATAAAGTCAGAGAAGTTTCTCAGAGTTATCAGTCTCACTGGTTCTGAGAGCGCGCTCGTGCTTGCAGCTGGCCTGCACACTGACCCACGGGAGGTTGGTCTCATCAGGACAAGGGCAGATCTGCTGGTCCTTGGCGTCACACCAGGGTCAATGCGTGTCACAGGGCCACTTTCCGGTATGCAAAAACATCCATATATATCCCAATATCTTGGAAGCTGCAGCTCTCCAGCAAATGCACTGATGAAGCAAACCTTGCTCTCCTGGAGAATACTTTTGGGTGCCGCGGTGCTACCTTTTGCCCCGGCGCTTTTGTAGGCAAATGCATGCGTGCTGTTCTGTGTAATGTAGGCTTTTTAAGGTTGTAGGATTACACACTGACACTTAGGGTTTAGGGTCTCAATGATATGAGAAGTTTGACAGACCTGCTGGTCCTTGGCGGAGGTGACTTCTTGCAGGAAGTCTGCGACGCCCTTGCGCTCCGGCAGTCGGAAGCCCAGGCCGCTGAAGAATGGCAGCACCTCTTCGCGCGGACCATGAAACACCACGTGCCCTGCACCCGCAGCCCATTTTTTGAATATTTTACCTCCTTTTTTCTGCGGTGCGACGCAGGTGAAGAAGATGAAGCAAGTTAAGCTTCACTATAGCTTTGCATGCTCCGCTTCCTATCAAGTGAGCTCGAATATACTGAAACAGAGCCCAATCGCGCTTGACCTTGGCACCCTGAAGACCATGCGACGTTTGCCCACAAGCAGGTGTTTGTCACGCCTGTGCAGAATGACCACTCTGCATTGGGTGTCAGGGTGGCGGAGCAAGAGAAACCACCTTCACAGAGCAGCAGGATGTCATCGAAGAGGTCGTACACCTCTGGCGGCGGCTGCAGCAGTGCCATCAGCACAGTCGCCTGCATGCAACATACCACAGCCAATCAAATCATGCTAGGGAAGCGTCCACCTCTCCTTGCGTTACACATGCTGCAGCAGAATAAAAGCTACAGAATTGGATGGGCTGTTCACAGCAATCACTTGGAGTATCTCTGACGCTGCACCCACAATCGTCTTTAGCTGCCAAGAGAGCTCTTTTGACCAGCACAAGCTTGCTGCCGCATCAAGTAATGATGTCTTAGTCACTCCTGCCTGGCACACACTGGCGCACTGTGATGCAAGTGAAAAGTCTCGTGCCTGCAAGGCTTTGGTAATGTTGCGTATGCACTTGACGATGAGGAAGGTTGTGGACGAGTCGAGCCCTGTTGATATCTCATCCAGGAACATCGTCTTCTTGGGGCCCACAATCATCTCGCCTGCGCCAGGTCATTGCATTTGAAATGGCTGTGGCCAGTATTTCCTCAGTTGCGATCGCTCTTACAGCAGAGGAGCTAGTATGTATGATTTGCTATGGATGCATGCCTCGAGAGCACAAGACTGGCTCAGGATTGTCACTATGTTCTCACTATGTATTGGCATGGGAGTGGTGGGCAATCATTTCTTCAATCTGCCCTTGATCCCTAACGTGGTCCCGGTTAACATCAATGCTATTGTACACGAGGATAGATTAGCAACCCCTGTAGGGCAGAGGGTGAGCGCACCGGTGGTGACTCGCTTGCGCTGGCCGCCGCTGATGCCGCGCACCATATGACTGCCCACCTGAGTGTCCTGGCACACCTGCAAGCCGCACATTCCAGCCTATTTTCACCACTACAAAAGGTATGCAAAACTGTGCGCTTGGCACAGTTGCATGAAGACTTTGCAGGAAGCATCCTGCGACAGAGGTCCTGCAGATCAAGCCACCCCCCGGCGGTCATGAGCACCCCCTTTGCAGCAGCTGCGCAGCTTTGGGATGCCCGTGTTTGACAACTGAAACTTCCTGAATGTCTCGCAGCAGCAATGCGGTAGCTTCCATAGATCTTCAGTATGCAACGTCTAAGCCTTCATACATGCGAGGGCCTCTAACCTGCACATGTCCATGAGTCTCCTGCCAGGGCCTACAAGCCAGCAGGTCTCTCCGGCCAGCTCAAGACTTTCATCACTCTTTAATATCTCACAGAAGCCACCGGAGCGCGTGCGCACCTCGAGTCCCAGCAGGCGCATGATGAGGAGGGTGCCGGCGTTGGAGCGCTGGCCGCTCAACGCGCTCGCCTTCAGGTAGCCGTCCAGGTCAGCGTCAGGCTGGATCCTCAGCTCGCGTTCCCTCCGCCGTATCTCCCGCAGCATCGCTGCAGTGCAGAATTTTCTTTGTACGTTACAACCTAATGTTTTGTACTCTGCTGCCAAGCAGCATAATGCATGGTTGCTCCAGAGGAGTTGCACAGGTATTACCTTGGTGAGCCCTCTACAACAGTTTCAGACACGGCATCAATCGGTATCTCGCTAATTCATGCAGCGGCTCGAGAGCTTTGAATGGAGTCGTTGACCCCTTCAGGGGCGATCAAAGCATTGCTGCAGCGCGGGTTTTGTAGTGTACGTCAAAACCTAATGTTCTGGACTCTGATAATGCTAAGTATGCACCATGCAGGAACATCTACAGAAGTGGCAGTATCTTCATTGCTTCATGTTGAATCTAATGAAGTGGGCGCCTCTGCCAAGCAAACACCAATTCAAGGAGCTCTCTGAAAGCTCCACACGGGAGTGAAATGGGTTCAATGCAGCGGCTTCTTGCAAAGCATGCCTTCACTGCTTCCCGAGGAATGCAACAACACGGGGAAGGCAAGAAAACACCGGTTCTTTCAAAGGTGATCCAAGCAAATCAAATCCTAAACTCTGAACTTTAAGAGGCCAGACCCAATGTGATAAACATTAAAGGCAGAACCGTAAGGAGGGCAAGGCCTGCTTAAAGGCGCACCTCGTTTGCTACCGGGCCCCTGCACGCGCGAGGCAAAGTCCAGCGTCTCTCGCACGGTCAGCTCCGGCAGGTGACTGTCCACCTGGCAACATGTCACACTGACAGCTGTCAGGTCATATTTTGTGCTAAGCGGACAGGGGCAAAACCTGTGCATTAAAAATTGCACATTGCATCCTTGGCATTGCTGTGAGGCACTGCCACTGCCGGGCAAGCTTGGGACAGCTTGGGAGACCTAAGACCTTACTGGGATGAGTCACCTGGTCCACGTATGCGGCTGTCCTCTGCGCGAAGAAGCTGTCAAAGGTCTCGCCGTTGTAGGCTATCCTCCCGTCGACCTGCGCCAGGCGCAGGAAGATCATGAATGCGCCAGCAGATGCCAAATGAAGCATATCTAGGACTCTCTAGCTGCACTGCAGATCCCGTGCACCTGGCGCATCTGATTATCACATCTGGCAAAGTAAGTTGCCCAGGACAGGCATGGAGTACTTTGCACTCAGCACACGCGCTTCATCCAGGGGTAGCCCCAGCAGGACCCCACTCTGATCCCAAAACTCTAGGTGAAGTGCAGGCTGCAAGTCTGGGCACGCGATGAAAGGCGCTCAGATCAGTCCATCCGAAATCCTAAACCATAAATCCTAATTTTAAAAGGATAAAAAACCCAAAAAATACACAAGGAAAGTTGGGTGCGCTGGCAATTGGCGTGGCCGCACCTGGAGGCCGGGAGCGCGTTGCAGCTTGCCGGCCAGCGCCTTGAGCAGAGTGGTCTTGCCCGCGCCGGGGGGACCCAGCAGCAGCGTCAGCCGCCCCTGCACACCAGCAGCCTCCCGTCTCTGCTGGGCCGCGGTTTAGCTACATATTTTCACATTACAAGTCACTCGTCCAAGATGCCAGTCTTCTCCAGTCATCAAAGCATCAGCAGCGGCTGGTAATGCGCTGCGCTGTGTAATGAACAGGGTGACCCGACAGCAGGATGGTGTTGTACAGATGCAAGGCTGGTCCAGCCAAAATCACATGAGCACTTTGCGTCAGCCCTCAGCTTGCTCGCATGTCTGCCCCTAACGCATTCCATTTGGATCCTGATCTGCAAATTGTGCTTTGTGCATGACCTTACCTCAGGCTACATTACTTGGCTGTACTAAGTACATCATACTGGCCCCTCAAACCATTGCGTTCTGCAAGTGCAGGTGAATCTCTTCTTCTTTCGGCAGGCAAGGCGCCGCGTGTGGGTTTACTACTGTGGTGTACACATGGCCGCACACATGCGCGGGCTACTTAGGTACACGGGTCAGTTTGCTCTGGTCCCGACAGGTCCGCCATCAAATCTGCGGTAGTTACTTAGTTAGACAGGACGTGCGCAGGACTCGCCGGCTGCAGGGCTCCGTTGACGTTCTTGAGGATCGTGAAGGGCCGCTTATCGCTGCGCTTCAGCCGCAGCGCCACCAGCAGCCCCTGCACCCAAGCAATTGCTCATTGAACGTCTGCCTCCCCTCTGCAAGGGGGTATTACGCACAGCTGTCACATGGAATCCAGGCACAAATGCATAAATGTCCAATCCCTTTGGTGCCCCAGTGCTGACACACAAGGATGCTATCCAGAACATGTCACCTCCCAGAGGGTCTACCTGCAAGTAAGGTGGTCCACGTCACTAGCCAAGGGATCCCATCTGCAGAATCTGCAATATGCTGCGTCAAAAGCATCTCCATTCCCGGGCCAAAGGAAGCATGTATAAGTTTGCAGAGGGCACCTCGATTGCGTTGCGGTATGCGTTGAGGACCGAGGGCAGCGCTCGGCCGCCCACGTGCACAGTAGCGCCGATGTTGAGCCCCTCATACTGCACCGTCACCGTCGGCAGCTCTACTCCAGTCCTGCAGACAAGCCATATCCTCAAAGAGGGCCCCTTCCTGCGGTGCTGCAAAGACGGCAAACCTCCATTTTTGCTCATCCTCGTATTTCCCTCATCATGATGAGCAGACTGTTTATCTGCGATGAATAACCCTATGACATGGCCATGTTGGCATGCTGACTTGACATGCCATGACATGGATACTGCACACAGCCCTTCGTCATCCACTCACAGCTGATCCACATGTAGCGGGAAGGTCTATTCATGTCCCCAAGAGCTGGAGTGGCAGTGAATCTACATGCAGCTCAGAAGCAGTACTGCACATGCATCTGCCATTCCCTCTCAGGAGCAGGCAGCCAATTATCTGATCCCAACACAGGCAGCGCTGCCAAGCCCTCTCACCTGTCGATGCGCGCTCGCAGCTTGTGCATGAACGCCTCGTTGTCCTGGTCCCTCGTCTGCAGCGCTGCACACATGCCAGCAAAATCCCTTCTCAACCGCAGCATCAAATAGATGTTCACCCGGAGCTCAGACTAATACCCTCTCATGGCTTTGCTGCACCTGCATTTCATGCGTCAATGCACTGGTGCAAACCTGAAATTCAGCCCTTCCAAACGACCAGCACTTTTCGCGCGTCAACCATGAGGCAGAGGGTGAAGGTCATGAAGGACCTCCAACACAGTGCGCAGGTCCACACCTCTGTCCACGAGCAGCTGGCGGTGGTCATGTGTGATTCGTTTCAGGTCAACCACCATCACTCCACCAGCGGCGCCTGCTTCTCCGCTGCCCACGTGCGGCAGTGCATGCTTAAATGTGCGCTGGCTGCTTGCCTCGAGCGCGGCCCTGGGCAGCGGCAGGGCTGTTATGGTGACCGCAGGCCTGATGCTGGACTGAACGGGGATCCGCCCTGCTAATGAACTGCTGCGCTGCAAAGCTATTGCACTCCGCAAGCTCTCCTCACAGTGCAAAACCTCTTGCTGTTGGACACCCCTATCGTTCACATTCCCAAAGGGCACAGATAGGGCATGTCTGACTGGGCACAGATAGGGCATGTCCGACTGTGGGCTACACAAGACTTAGGCTTCCAGATGCCAGAAGGGCGAAGTGTGCAGAAACAAATTTCACTGCCAGAAACGCTCCTGGGTCCTTTGGTACGGAATTATTTCTATGGAGCCGTAAGATCACTGCACAGTGTTGTCAGCGCACCTGACCAGTTCTTGGTATTCATCCACTTCTTCTTCACCATCCCTCTGCCTCCCCTCTTCGTCTGGCGGTGCTGCACCGAGGGATCTCCTGCGCCTCGACTGTGGCCCTTGCAGGAGCTCTGCAGGGCTGTGGAGCCCGTTCTCCAGGGTGACACGGAATGGGTGATCACCCATCGAACTGTTTGGCCAAAGGAACCTGCAGCTGTGAATTCAGTGAACATTCTGCATCTAAACTGCGCACAGAAAATGATGTAAACAACAATAAATGAATATCAGGTGCGCAGGCTAACGGTTTGCAACTTAATCGATCAACACTGCACACTTCGGATCGCACGGCAAGGGGCAGGAGAAAGCAACCAAGACCTCCCAAAAATGCCATGCAACGGAACACACCTTTTCAAGACATTTTCTTGTTGCAGATGGATCACTGAATTGTCACCAGTCGCACTTCAAAATGAAAGCGAGAGGATTATAGTCCAAGTGGAACAACGAATTTCGGTAGCCCTCCCATATAAACCACGTTTGCATTAATATGACACCCAGCATACGAAAGGAATAGTAGTATGTACATGTGATCCACACGCTAAGTACGCCGGAACTTATGTAAGTTCCGGAACTTTTGTAAACAGGATACCGTAACCTCCATGTCGGCATAAAGGGCATGAATTTATCCCCTGCCCTCGGAACTATTTACAGGACCTTGTACGGAACCATGTACACCATCATTTTGCGGTCCTTCTTTCCTGGAGGCTGCTGGATCTAGCCGAGCAATAGCGATTCTTTTGTAGGCCACTTTCGTGCCATGGAATCATGAGTATGGATAGCTCGGAGACAGCCCTATTAAGCCAGCAGACGTCCTATTGATGTGTAACCAAAACGTGCTCTCCCCCACCCCCTGAGACGTTCCCTAGATAATACGGATGCATTACACAAGGTAAACGTTGCAGATCTCAGCACCAGGACCACGCAACTCCTTTCCCTAGGACTACAGCTCCAATTTCAGGTTCAAATAACCATTTATCTCACACCAGAAAATTCCTTTCTCCTACTCATCAATAATCATCATTTGCTAACACAACAGGGTACTTCCGGGACCGTCAGAGTCGTTGCAAGCTGTTCCTCTGACAGAATCACACAAATTCAGCACCCTGACATGGGTGCAGGTCCTAGCATGCAGCATGTTTAGGCAGGTCCACTCAATGTCCAGTCCAGGGGTACATCGTGTACAAATGATTTTCATGGTGGGGAACTCAGATCATGTAGACAACTGCAACCTCCCCCTACTGAAATCGGCGCGAGTCCTCGGGTGTGTCTTAACTTCCTTAGTACTACATAGCATGCATGACATCATCAAGATGCATCATGGTCACTGACATGATTCTCTTCAACTCGAAGGCCACTGCTTGACGTTCTCCGTGGATTTAATCCATTGTTGTCCCACAGAATCTTCCCCCCGCAGCGAATCTCCCCCCCGCAGCGGCGCGGAAGGGCAGCACCAATTTCAGCCGAAGATGCAGCCACGAGCGCTGCTATGGCGACGACACCGCGCACGCTGTTCACGACGCCATGGCTGGGGCGGCATCAGCTTCGCAAGGTGATGCCTTCAACACGGGCCAGCATGTATATACGTATCAAGAAGCGCAAGGGCTTGGGCATGCCGGACAGCTTAAATCGCCTCAGTTCAATGTCCGAGAAATCCACAGCAACTATGTATGATCCTCAGCAAGACTCTGTGCGGGACGAGATCCAAGCCGCAGAACGGCTCTCAGAAGGCACCAATGCAGCCTTTCTGAAAGTGCCCCTACTGGGAGGAACCTGCTCCCGCATTGCTTACTCTGCTTACGGCCGATTGATTTCATAAGGCTATCCATGGTCTGGCATGCACATTTAGAGCGTGCATGTGCCGTCTTGCAGGGGTGTGAGCAGGTGGCGACTGCAATCACTGGGGCTTCATTTGCGAAAGACCTTATAAAGACCATATATGAAAGAAATGCTGGACAGGGGGCATTGTTTTGATGAAGTGCTGGAGAAGTTGCAATCTGCAGGACTGCTGCAGCTGCCCAGAAATGTTTCTGGCAGCATCTGACAGGATTGTACAAATATGACAGCTGTAGAGCAGTCACGATCATTGCCCTTCTTTTTGTTGGTTGCATTGGCAAATCGGCTCAACTGGGGCTCCACACCTGGATTTCTTTAGCCAAAGGCATGTATTGCAAGTATACCAAAGGCAAAAATGATTATGGCAACTTGTGAACAATCTGATACTGATCTGAGTTTGTTGTATTGTGACACCAGTGAATCATTCAAAGAAAATTGAAGGCTGATGTAAACATGAGGGCAATTGTTTATATTATTACAACACGCCTACGCGTTACACGCATGCAAGCAGTCAAATGTGAACAAATATGACCAGAAGCCACTAACTGGCAGGAACCTGAATTAGTTTGTGAAAAAGTGCTAGCTTAAATGGTGAACTCACTTCTAGCCTAGCTAATCTATTCAACGGGCTCCCAGCCTGCTGGCTTGATGCGCACTGCATATGTGCACAAGGCTGCCCTGATCTGCTGTGGGCCCACCCCGGGGTACCCTCAACGGCTTCCCCGAGTGCGGCATCAATGGCAGCCTGCTCTGCCATCGCTGTCGCAAGTGCTGTGCCCCGGCGCGTCAGCCTTTCTGCGTGGTGATTCCATTGCAGCAGATCCATGGCCTGCCTCTCATTCTCACACAGATTGTGCAGCACACATGCAGACCCCACAATCTCGCAGACACCCTTCATTGAGTGGCTGTCAAGATCTATGTACAGGATTCTCCACCTTTCCTTCAGCCTGCCATAGCACTTCTCAACCACCATTCTACCACAGACAGCTCATTGGATGCCATCACAAGTGCCATGTGGCTCAGTAAGTTGTGGGGTGTCTTATAGAATAGTATAGTCTAGACGACCTAGACTGCTTTGGATGGTCTAAATGCTATTGGGATGGCTTTGGGTTTGCCGACCTGTAACAATAATAATGCATATGACTGCCCATGCCATGATTGACTACACATATGTTTGTCTGTGATTGTCTGCCCAACGCTGGGTTTTCCTGCAAGATACCCTCAACGTCACTGACGATGGTGTTGCGTTGCTGGCAGGCCAGAGGCCCCGGATATCATATCTATGATAGAGGGGTACTCATCCGGGGCAGGGAGTGCATGCATGTATATGATGAGTGAGTGATAGGCTGCAGACTAATGAAGGCCCCACAGATGTGGCTGCAGACGCCCTGCGTGTATGCCCTATGGCCTCTGGCTTTGGGATTGCCGATCTGTAATAATAATAATGCCATGGTGGAAGAAAGGAGGGAAGGAACATTACACGTCAACTCCTGCCGCGCAGGGCTGTGTAAATGTGGTGGTGCAGACAGTAACCAAGTGATCAAAACAATCCATGACAAAATTGAAGTGTGCAACACTGACGACTCGGATGTCCAACTGCCACATGAAGTGTTGTATGGTCTCAGCGGCTGGACTAAACAGGTCATCTGAAAGACTTCAGTATAAATGTAGTGAAAAGGGGAACTACCATAGGATGCGCAAATAGATTTTCGCACATGTCCTCTTTTCCTTGCAAACATTACACCCCCACTAGGGCACCGCCCTGGCAATGCCGCCTCTTCCCGCCGGTTCAAATATTTTAAGACTCGGCAAGGACTTGGTAGACATTTGAGATTATGCGGTTCCCAGTGTTTCATTCTTGGCTTATAAAAGCCAATGCGGTCCTGTGAGACTTAGGCCGTTATAGTACAGAAGGCTTATTTGTGGCCATTGGCAACTTGAAGATTCAGGATGTCGATGCAAAGCCACAAATTGGCGTTGAATTAACAAAGCACAACAATTCTGCTGAAGCCACATTTCGCACAATTTGAGCTACAATGTCCCCAAAACCACAAGTGTTTACAAGTCTGCGGTAGCCAAGCACCATGTTGTGACATCAGGCTGGCAGTGACTGTGTTGTTGACATCGATTAGCACGCATATATAGTTGCTGCTATATAGTTGCTGCTCTAAGATTGCACTCCTGAGACCTGTTTCCAGCTGAATAACGTCTGGAGACGTGCCCATTGTGTCAATGCAATTCCCATTCCCAACCCAAGCACGTTGCAGTTTCCGATGGAACCGTGGAACACGGAATTTTTTTCTGCCGGGAGAATGTCAACGTTGCAGAGTCATTCCCTGCCCGGGAACCCAATTCAACCAATCACAGCGCAGCAATCTGGTTGGCCCCCCCCCTTACGTAGCCATTTTAATCACTGGCGTTGTTTACAATCTCAAAACGTGCCACGGTGGTCGTCATTCATGGAAGAACCTTTCTTAATGATCTTAGCGAGCATGTCGTGCACTATCTTTTTATCAATATCTCTTAGGTTCCAAACCTTCGTCGGAGGGCGTTTCTCCTTCAGGAGGAAGAAGACTGCTCGGTGGAGACCCCTACGCACACATTCAGAGAGAGCATTCAAGACACATTGTATGCAATGAAAGTAGAGATATTTATTTTGCCACATAGCTATT